TATTTATAAATAAAGTGATTTGACTTTGCAGGGTTACTTCACAACAGACACTGAGTAATCACAGATTCAGGTAAAAATGGATGAGACAGAGTGAAAGTCTGCTGCCTGGCAGGATATTAACAGTCTCAAAGAAGCCACCCACAAGATACTTAATAATTTCTAGAGAGGAAGTGCCGAGTTTCAAGTGCAGAGGCTGGCGGATCCGGCCTCAGTCAAGTGATTTCTTGTCTTCCTTTTCTGTTTTTTGCACTGGGATTGCCAGTGATCAAAATTAACACTGCCGCTTACAGCCCTGGTCGGCAGATACTCCTGATAGGAACTGGCGGGGCACGGTGGTGTACAGCGTGATCCCGGCCCGTGGCAGACTGAAGCAGGAGGATTGCACAGAGTTCAAGGCCAGCCAGAACCACATCAGGAGATCCCGTCTGAAGGAGGAAGGGCCAGGGATTTAACTCAGCGGCATAAGCACCTGCCTTGCAAGCGGGCGGTCGTGAGTTCGATCCCCGTTACCAATAAAAATAAATAAATAAAATTTTAAAAAGCACCAGCCTGGCAGGGCAGGGTTGTGAGTTCAGTCCCCAGTACAGCAGGAAAAAAAAAAAAAGAAGACCTAAATGCCCATCAACTGAGGGCTGAATAAAAAAGATGTGGTATTTTGGGGCTGGGAATTTAGCTCAGCAGCATAAGCACCTGCCTTGCAAGCAGGCGGTCGTGAGTTCGATCCCCGGAACCAATAAAAAGAAAAAAAGAAAAAAAAAGTGTAAAAAAAAAATTTAAAGACGAGTCTAAAAAATAAATAAATAAATACCTTATAGTCTCCCTAGTGTAAGAAATGATACGAGTACATAACATACAAAAAACCCAACTATTACAGTGAAATCTGCCCAAAGGGGGGAAATAATATCTCAAGGAAAAGGAGGAAAAGAAAAAGGAAAGGAAAAGAAAAATACAAAATTGCATAAGCACGCTTAGGCTTGCTGATATGATTGTGCTACAAATTGTTACTGGAATAAAGTAGTTAACATTAATAGAGTTGGAACAGCTGTGCATACCGTTGCACGGTGATCGGAGGAACTCTCAAGATCACTACGTAAAATAACCACCCGAGGTACGTCCCACCACCTTGTTTTCAGGGCCTATATTGTCAGTGTTCTGGGCTCTTTGTTAGTGTTATTTATTTGTCTTTTTGGTTTTGTGTTTTTCTGGGAATCTGTTTTGTTTTCGTTTTTCCCTCTAATACAGAAAGGAAAGGTACACATGTGGAGACTCATGCAGGTGTAGAGCTTCTCCTGAACAGTTTGTGAGAATCGATTACATAACGCATGACGGAATGAACAGCTATTTGAAGAAAAAGACACCCTAAGGTACCCAGTGCTGATTTTGTAGCACCATGATGTGAATCCAGCAAAACTTTATTCTTTTTTCAGAGTTGTTTTAGTCTGTTTTAACTTCAACATCCTTGAAGCTATGGACAGCTATTTTGAAGAGAACGAGAGACATTATGGCAGTGATTGTTGATTACCCTATTGTCTGCTTTTGAAGGCCTTCATCACTCTGTTCTGGTCAGTTTAATACTATTTTGTTTTATATGAATTCAATAGATGTGATGATATGGGCAGCTATTTAGAAGAAAATGAGACAATGTGATAGGCAGTGATGATCTCCTGTTGTCTTGAAATCGGTGTTACTTACACTGTTTTCTTCTTTTTTTTTAATTTTTTTTTAAATCAGTACCAGGGATCAAACTTATGACTATCTATCTGCTTGCAAGGCAGGCACTGATGCCGCTGAGCTAAATCCCCAGCCCCACATTGTTTTCTTCTGAGCCCTTTTTTGTTTTGGGTTTTTTTGTTTTTTTGTTTTTTTGTTTTTTTTAGTCTTTTTGAGGCAGGGTCTCCCTATGCAGTTCAGGCCGGCCTTGAGCTCACTTTGTAGCCCAGGTTGGTCTCGAACTTGCAATGATCCTCCTGCCTCAGCCTCCACCGTGCTGGGATGACAGGTGTATCCCACAGTACCCAATTCTGAAGCCTTCTTGCCAAAGAAGCATAGTGTTGGGGCTGGGGATTTAGCTCAGCGGCATAAGCACCTGCCTTGCAAGCAGGAAGTCGTGAGTTCGATCCCTGGTACCGATAAAAACGAAAAAGACAAAAAAAAAAAAAAAAAGAAGCATAGTGTTTTCTGCCATAAGACAGGATAAATTTGGGGCGTCTGTAGGTACAATGGATGTATCTAGAGACCCTAATGTTAAGTAAAATAAATCAGACCCACAGTTTGTATATCACATGGTTTTCTTTACGTGAGAAACCAGAGGTATAAATAAAAAGCCAGGGGCCAGGGATATCACTCAGTGGTCCTAAGGAGTGAACCGGGCACCCTCCCAGAGTCTGCTTCCTAGACTTTCTATCATTTCTTTTTGAGACAGAGTCCTGCTACGTGGATAAACTGTCCAGGCTGGACTTGAGCTTGCAGTCCTCCTGCCTCAGCTTCCCGGAGGGCTGGGATGACTGGCGCGTGCTGTGACCCCCAGGCTGAAGTCTGCAGGGTTTCTTTCCCCATGATTCTGATGTTCCCTAATAGTCAACCTGCCTCCCAAGTGAAAAACTAGATGGAAATCACCCACTTCCTGTAATCCGGCCCCTCCTCTCTGTCCTCCAAGAGTTGAGAGCCACCAACAAATCGGATCTTCACAGCAGGGTGCAGGAGGATCAGATTTCCGTCTTCCAGGGCTGGGTGGGTCCAAAGCCAGCGACCTGCACTCCAGCTGCTCCTTGACCTTGGCCGGTTAGTTCCTTATCAAAGAGCCGACAATAATGACTCCCTACAGTGTGATTCTGAGGATTCCCGGAATTGAAAATCCCGCTGGGCTCTAATTTGAAATTCTCCTGCCTCAGCCTCCCAGTGCTAGGATATAGGTATGCGCCACCACACCTGGCTTTGCATTGACAGTATTTACTGTTAGGATTCGTGGTATCTGTAAAAGGCTAGCAAGAGCTGAGGGTTTAGCTCAGTGGCACAGCATCTGCCTGGCAAGCGCAAGGTCCTGAGTTCGATTTTTGGTACCAAATTTTTTTTTAAATTTTAAATTAAAATTTAATTTTTAAAAATTCTCTCTTTTTTTAAATCAGTACCAGGGATGAACTCACGACCGTGTGCTTGCAAGGCAGCTGCTTACATCGCTGAGCTAAATCCCCAGCCCATATTAAAATTTAAATAAATAAAAACTGTCAAATGAATCTGAGCCACTTGTTTTTTTTTAATCAGTACTGGGGATCAAACTCATGACCCTGCTTGCAAGGCAGGTTCTTTTCTTATGCCACTGAGCTAAATCCCCAGCCCCGAATCGGAGCCACTTGTTACAGAGCTTTTTCTCTGCCTCACTATCTGTGATACCACCTGCACCCCCAAATTATTGCTTCCCCTATTTTGTTTTCTCCTTAGCTTGCTTTGCTTCCTTCTCTTACCTTATTTTCTTTATTTGCAGTACCAGGGACTGAACCCAGGGCCTCAAACAAACTAGGCAAGAGCTCCACTACTAGCTGGGTACAGTGGCACAGGCTTCTAATCCCAGCACTCTGGGAGGCTGAGGCAGGAAGACTGCAAGTTCAAGGCCAGCCTGGGCAACATGGCAACTTAGTGAGACCCTGTCTCAAAATAAAAATGTTAAATGGACTAGAAATGTAGCTCACTGTGAAGACTCTGGGTTTGATCCTTAGCACACAAAAGACAGCAAGAGGCAGAAACAGTGTTCTACTGTAGACCTACGTTCTGGTCCCTGGTCAGTACTCAACACTCACTACAAGGGCTATCATGGGTATCAGGCATGGTGGCACACCAGGAGGCTGAGGCAGGAGGATCGCTTGGAGTTAAGGCCAGCCTAGACTGTGGCAAACAAAACAAAATTGAAATACAATAAATGGGGGTGGAGGAAGCACGTGGGCATCTGGGGAAAGTTTGCTAACTCCGGCTTTCCCCAACCCCACTAACCTCCAATCCAGCCGGGGCTCAGAGGATGCTCTGAACTGCAGGCGGGGAATTCCGCTGAGGGTTACAGGCCTGAGCCCCCATCTGGCTCCGGCTCCCCCTTTCCCACTCTGTCCTCCTGACTGGGTGCTGGTGGGCGGAGCCCCACTTTGAGGGCCTGGAATCCCCCCTCAAAATTCTAGACCTGTCTTCAAAAGAGCCAGCTGGGCGGGCATGACGGGGCACACGTGTCATCTCAGCATTCAGAAGGCTGAGGCGAGAGTCTCTGTGAGCCGGAGCCCAGCCTGAATTACACAGGGCTTCTCCTGGTTCTGTGTAAGGTTCACGCGGCTGTCTCCATAGCAAAGCGGGAGATCAGGGGCTTCCATGGAGCAGCGGTCAGCCTGCTGGATTCAGATCAGACCCGTAACTGAGGGCTGTGTGACCCTGAACAGCTCGGTTAACCTCTCTGAACCCGTATCTCTGTTAGTTTATGATTGTTCTACTTCTCGAGGGCCCTTATTGCCTGTGGTGCTGGCGATCGAACCTGCATGAAAGGGGCCCTCTTCAAAAGAAAACAGAGGCCAGGGATTTAACTCAGTGGCACAGGCGCCTGCCTGGCAAGCCCAAGGTCTGGAGTTTGATCCTCGGTACCAAAAAATGAGAGAAGAAAAGAAAACAGAGAGACAGTAGGCCCGTGAATTCCTCAGAGGAGCCAGACAGTGTTGACAGCCACCCAAAGGGAAGAGGGCTCTAGGCTGAGCCCCGTTTACTCAGACGCCACTGCAAGCCAAGTGTGGCAGCGCACGCTGGTCATCCTCGCACCCTGGGAGGCTAAGGCAGGAGGACTGCAAATTGAAACCTAGCCTGGGCAACTCAGGGACTAAGTGAGACCCTGTCCCAAAATAAAACAATACAGTGGGCAGGGGATGGAGCCCCAGAGTCACCACAGTTCCCCTCTGGCGGGGTCGAGGGTGGGCTGGGGCTCCAAACGGGGAAGAGAGGAGCAACCTTCAGCCCCCAAAGATACAACACAGAAAGACAAATTGAACCGTTTATTGGCTCAGGTCTGGGCTTGGGCTTAGGGGGCATCTGGGGAGCTCTTGAGGGGTACAAGGCCCCGAATGGCTCCTGGGCCCCCAGATCCCCCTGCCCCCAGCCTCTGCATTCACAAGATATTGTTTTGAGGAGTTTCCCGGCCCGTGAGATGAGCCCGAGCTTCCAAAGGGGTGTGGGCAGAGCCCAAAACCCCTAGGCAGCATCAGTATGGACAGGGACCCGGGGACACAGGACGGCATCCATTCCAGGGGTATCGGGGTGCAGGGAGGTCACACACACCCTGGATTTATACACACAGGCACACACACACACACACACACACACACACACGCACAGACACATAAATATGTACCGCAACGACCCTTCCACAGAATTCAGCGAAGTCCTTCAGGCGGCAGGCGAGGTCTCACCCCAGCCCCAAGTGGCTCAGGGCTGCCCTGCCTTAGGGGACCCGGGGGTCCCAGACTGGGGAGAAGCGAGGGCCAAGGAGCTTGAGGCTGCTTCTTTTGGGGTGGGAGTGGGCAGGATAGGCCAGATCTCTCTCTGAATTTTCTCCTGTGTCACCCTGCCCCATGGGGGCCTCCACAGCACCCCCCAAACTGGCTTTTCCAGCCCTGGGTGACTTTTCTGAGTCTCAAGCAGTGCAACTGGCCAATAAGGTTCAAGAATGGAAATGGGGCTCAGCCCCCCTTCCTGTCTTTACCTCGTGGTTTCCTTTCCCGGCAGATGAGAGGAAAGAGGAGTGGCTGGCGACATTTGGGGAAGCTGTGGATTTGCGCCTGGAGGGCTGGGGAGGAAGCCTGCAGTCTCCAGGGACACTGATTCCAAGACGCGGCCTAAGGTTGTCCACAGAAGGTGGCAGGACGATAAACTCAAAGGAGCTGGACACAGGGCAGAGGTTCAGACGGAAAAATGTTAAAACCAGGGCCGAGCTTGGTGCACATGCCTGTAATCCCAGTCCTCAGGGAGGCTGAGGCAGGAGGATTCCAAGTGCAAGCTCAGCCTGGACAATTTAGTGGCCTGGTGAGACCTTGTCTCAAAAAATAAGAAGAAGCAGGCCAGAGCTGGGGATGGCGGTGCACGCCTGTCATCTCAGCACTCGGGAGGCTGAGGCGGGGATCACTGAGAGCTGGAGGGAGCCTGGGCTGCTGACTCAGACCATTTCAAAAAATCGAACAAAGTGAGGAGGGGAGAGAGGAGAAGGGAGAGACCTAGCTCCGTGTGAGCATCCTGGGTTCAATCCCCAGTACACGCGCGTGCACACACACACATGCACACACACGCAGCTGGTTGTACCTGGTGGTAAAGTGCTCCCACCGACAATCCAGCCCTTTAAGGGTCCCCACACCAGCCTCTACCACCGTATGGCAGCCCTGCGTCCGGGTACTCCATGCCCTCACCGGCCATCCTGGCTGTGGGCCATCCGCAGGCCCCCAGGCCCAGGGCAGGGGCATCTTGCTGGGCAGCCCCTAGCCTCTATCTGAGGTCAGCAGTCCCTCTGTCGGCAGCTCTGCGGCCTGGCCCTTGCCTTTCAGACCACCGTGTTGTCCTCCAGGAACGTGGGCGACGTGGGCATGTGCGTGCCCCTCTCCAGCGAGCTGGAGTTGCGAAGGGGCAGGAGGCGGTGGCCGGGGGTCCTGTCCCGCCGTCCCGCTGCCCTGGCCGCCCTCCGCCAGCACTGCAGGGGCCGCAGCACCTCCCGCCGCAGGTCCCGGCTCCGCCACGTGTAGATGACAGGGTTGAGCAGCGAGTTCAGGGTGGCAAAGGCAAAGAAGTAGTGGGCTTTGTAGAGGACGGGGCAGGAGCGGACGGAGCAGGCATAGTCTAAGAGCAGGATGCTGAAGGCCGGCAGCCAGCACACGATGAAGACGCCCAGCACGATGGTGACCGTCTTGAGCAGCGCCAGCGTCTGCGGGCCGGCCAGGTCCGCGTGGCTGGAGCGGACCACACAGTAGATGCGGACGTACAAGACCACGATGGCCAAGAGGATGACGGAAAAGATGGTCACCACGCACAGCACGTACTGCTTGGCGTAGAGGGGCAGCACAGTGGAGCAGGTGTCCAGGCGCCCCAGGCAGTTCCAGCCCAGGATGGGGAGGCCGCCCAGGACCAGCGAGATGACCCATGAGGCCCCGATGAGCAGCAGCATGCGGCAGCTCTTGTCGCTGCCGTACAGCTTGACCTTGGCGATGGCCACGTGCCGCTCGATGGCGATGGCCAGGAGGCTGAAGACGGAGGCGGACAGCGTGATGAAGGCCGAGCCCTCGCGGGCGAACCACTCCACCGGCGTCAGCTGCAGGGTGACGGAGCCCGACAGCAAGGTGTTGGCGATGAAGGCCACGCCCGCCAGGAGGTCGGAGGCCGCCAGGTTGCCCAGGAAGAGATACATGGCCGAGTGCAGCTTGCTGTTCCGGCCCACGGCGACGAGCACCAGCAGGTTCTCCACCACGATGGCGCAGCACAGGATGACGATGAAGGCCGAGGCCACCTGGCGGGACGTCGTCTCCCGCACGTCCAGCGTCTCTTTGGTGTAATTGTAATGCTCCAGGACCTTGTTGGAATTGAGGTACTCGGAGTAGAAAGCGCCCATGGTGGGGCTCAGTGGCCGGCCGGGGCCATGAAGCTGTTCAACTGTAGAAGACAGAGACAGAGACAGACAGACAGACAGACAGACAGACTAGGTCATTGCTGTGGCTGCTGCCAACCAAGATGCTGGCTGTTCACATTCTGGCTCCGTGCCGGATGAAGTCTCGGCACACACCTGTAATCCCAGCACTCAGGAGCCGGAGGGCTGCTGTGAGTGTGAGGCCAATGTGGGCTACACAGTGAGATCAGCTCAAAAAAGGGAAAACAAAACCTTCTAGTTCTGGGATTTCTCACTGTGTGGCCATGTGAAGCTGGATTCATCATCATGTTTTCTTCTTCCTCTGGGTTTTTTTTCCAGATCATGGGAACAGAACCCAAGACTGAATTATATCCCCACCTGCCTTTTTGATTTCTTATTTTGAGACAGAGTCTTGCTAAATTCTCCAATCTGAGCTGGCACCTGGGATCCTAGTGCCTCAGCCTTTCTGAGTGCCGAGATTACAGGCGTGCGGCACCGTGCCCGGGTACCAGTCTTGCCTTACACCCGGGATGCCCAGGGATGTCCGTACACTCCTGGACACCTCCCGAAAGTGGAGGGCCAGCGAGACTGGCTCCACTGCCTCCGTAGCCCCGAGGGGCACTCTTTCAAAGCCATCTTTCAGAGGAGCAGACAGATGCCCTCCCTCCCTGTCCTGTCGGAAGGAACCTCTCGGGCAGCCTGGAGCAGCCATCTCCTCTTTCCAACACACAGACGCCTCGGGCCTCGTGCAGGACTGTGACCTAGGTCAGCGAGATCCTTGCCACTGACAGCGCACCGCCCGGCTCATTACCACCCACTGCCACATTTCAGGCTGGGTAGAAGCCTGGAGGCCCTGGGCGCTCCAAAGATAAGAGTGTGGGGAGACACCAGGGCGCCCTGGGGTTCAGCCCTCACAGCATCACTCTATCTCAAGGGCACAGAAATGCCAGACGGTGCAGCCTGGGCTCATCCTCACTGCAGCTCTGACCTGGGCAAGGCACTCTATACCCAGCCTCTGACCTCAGCACCCTCCTCTGTGCAGTGGGTACGAGAAAGCCTCCTTCAGAAGAGTGACAAGAAAATCTCACTGTGCAGCCCAGGCTGGCCTCGAACTCACCGTGATTCTCCTGCCTCAGCCTCCCAAGGGCTGAGATGCAGGTCAGGGCCACCAGGCCTGGCTAAAAATAACCTTTTGAAAAATACATGAAACCAGAAACCTGACATCCTAGTGCCTGGGAGAGGGAGGCAGGAGGATTAGGCAACACAGCCAGACTCCATTTTTTTTTTTTTTTTTTTTTTTGGCCTTTTATCGGTACCGGGGATCGAACTCACAACCGCCTGCTTGCAAGACAGGAGCTTATGCTGCTGAGCTAACTCCCCAGTCCCCAGACTCCATTTTTAAAAACAAAACGTCGGTGAAGACTGCTTAGCACACAGAAGTATCAGCTTGCCTATTCCTTTTCCTCTCCCGAGGCGGGGCCCAGGGCTCCTGACCCGTGCCCTCCACCCAAGCTTTTTGGGAGAGGATGCTGACTAAGTCAACAGAAAAAGACTCCTAACAGCTTGTTCCCATCAGCGCAGTCTCACTCTGCCCCGGGCCAGAGGGTCCCTAGGGGTGGGCAGGGCGCTGGCACCCCCTCCCTGGCCAGGATGAAATCCAGATGTGAGGCCCCTGGAACAAACAGGGTGGAGTCCTAGTCACATCCGGTGTGGGGCAGGCTGGCTGGGGAGTCGGGATGGGGGGCTCACAGGACACCCATCTGGGAGGTCCTGGCTGGAGAGATGAGGCAGCTGCGCCGAGAGTCACGTGAGCCCGTGGGGAGGGGGCAGGGCACCCGCTTCCATGGAAACCTGAGTCCCCCCCCCCCCCAGGAAAACTGAGCCAGGGAAGCATCAAGCGGCGGACTGCATGGGCCTGGAAGATGAGGGGCGCACTCGGGGGAGCCAGCGTGTGGGTGGGGCGCCCCTGAGCAGCTGGCTTGGGGGTGCGGGGAGGCAGCTCCAGGCCTTTGCTAACTGAACAGGAAGACAGAGAGTCCCTGGAAGCAGGCCTGGCACGGACACGTGTGAGCCTGAAGCCACCGGCCAGAAAAGGCTGGTTGGGCCGGTTCTTGGGGTGAGTGAGCGTAAGGGTGCTAGGGGCTTCCGGAGTCGCCCAGACATCTCAATTCCCGGACGCCCCCTCTGTCCCCAAAGGGGCAGCTGCTCCCTCTGGGCAGAGGGACATCCGTCCTAGTTTGGGAACAGAGAAGAGCTTGTGCGTGTCCTTGGGGACAGCTGCCCCGCCCTGATCGGTACACAGAGGCCCCTTGTTCCACAGTCGGACAGGGCCCCGGGCAACCCGATGCCCTCTGCCCGCTGCAGCCGGTCCCAGGCTGGCCCGACCTTAACAAATTGGCCGTCGGGCCCGGAAACCGCCTGCACTCTGATTGGCTCACTTTTCAATCCCAGACCACAGAGCGATTTTTCTATTGGCTGGAGCTTTCCGTCCTCTGGCACTGATTGGCCTAATTGGGGGCACTCTACAGTTCGTCCCACCCACCCAGTTTATAAGTGGTGGCGCGCAGTTCTTTTTTTAGATCTGGGAGTTAAAGTTGCGCGCCTTCGGTCCCTGAGGGCCAGGTTCAACCGCTGCCTCACAGCTGGGTCACCCCGCGAGACGCCCCGACACTGGCCTGAGTCTTGAGCATTCAGGTCCCTTCCCAGGCCCAGGAACCACATTAGCTGGTGGGCAAAAAGCCCAGGGTTCTTCTGACCACCGCCCCTTCTGCAGCTCACCGCCCCTGTCCAGTTTGGTGGCGGAACGGGAAAGATTTACTGCTGCTTCCTGGAGAAATAAGAAATGTGCTCAGCCCTTGCCCCCGAGGGACCAGGCCAGAAAGTCGGTCCTCTCCCAACTGCGAAGTCTGAGCTGAGAACCAGGAACCTAGGCAATCAGTAGCACGAGGGCCGCTCTCTTAGTTCCGGAAGGGGAAACCGAGGCCCGTACTATCCTAGTTTCCTCTTCCCGGCCAGAACTTTGTCATGGCAGAGGCTTGGGCAGGTCAACGCTTCCCACAAACAGGAAGCGAATCCAGGCTTCGAGCCGCAGAAGCAGCACCCTCTGCATGATCAGAGGGTGGCCAGGTTCAGGCCCACACTCTGCGCAGAGCCGGACTCCTGCTCGTCTCCCCAGACAGTCCTGGCTTCCACTAAGTGACTCCAGAAGCTAGGGTCGTGCTGTACCCCTGTACTCCCAACACTCAGGAGGCCGCAGCAGGAGGCCGGCAGGCTCCAGCCGGGCCTTGGCTAGCAGCACATGAACTGCGTAGTGAACACCTAAGGAACACGACCGAAAAAGACACCAACTGGACACAATGGCCTGGTAAGGTGAAACCAAGTTACAGGGACTGGAAGGGGACTCAGACAGAACAGTTCCCGGGGAGATTAGCAGAAGAGCAGGCCGGAGGAAGGCTCCGTGGCTTCCCCAGCTCCGTGCTTCGGCCTCCCGGCTGCAGACAGACAGACAGACGCTGCGGTCACTGTTCCCAGTTCCCACTTGTCACCCACAGATCTGTCCCTTGCCAGGACCAGCCCTATCCCCACTTGGTTCCTCCCTGGCTGTCACCCCCACCCCGCCTCTTCCATCCTCCACCCAGGAGGGGGATGGGGGGCCTTTTTATCTCCCAACGCGCAGGTAGGTCACGCCCCAGCTCCACAACCTTCCACGGCTCCCCGTGCCCCGGTGGTGTGGCCCCTGCCCACCGTGCTTCCGCCCACTCACCTCCCCAGCCACGGGCCACTGTGACCACGCTGACTTCCTAAAAGCCACCCAGACCACGCTGACTTCCTAAAAGCCACCCAGATCCCGACTCTGATCCTTGGCCCCTGCTGTTTCTCCATTTGCTGCATCCTCCTCCCAAAGCCTTCGCCTGTCTCTGGTTTGAGGTTTCTTTATAAAGGTCACCTCCCAGAGGGACCTCCTCGACCACGAGCCCTCCGGCGGCGGCAGCCTCCCCAGACTCTAGTGCAGCATCTTGGCTCATTATCTCCGCAGCACTTGCCACTATCAAGACCTTATCTTGTCGTGCATCTGCCTTTCCACTGTCTGATGCAAATTGCTGTCGGCCAATGACCAAGTTCCTTCGTAGGATGCCTGATTTAAAGAGGCACTCTGGGGGTGTGAGGAGGGGGCAGAGAGGTGAAGCGACCAATGAATGAGTGCAGGGTCCAGCCAAGGAGACCCTAGCGGGAGGCTGCTCGGCGCAGTCGGGGCCCAAAGAGCAAAAGGGCCGAGATGCCTGATTCTCCCGGCAGCCCCAGCCAGCCAAGCCCGGCCCGTCTCCATGGAGACCGCGGCAGGCCCGCCCCGCCCCGCGCCGGCCGCACTCCTGGCCTCCTTATCTGGCGGAAGAATGCACGGTATCCACGCTCGCGCTGGGGTGGCGCCTCCTCACCCCGAGACTGTCACACTCTCGGGTCCCCGACACCGTCGGATATGGGTGGGCGACCCCCGTGGATCCCGCCAGGGGGTTCCGCCCCCAGATTCCCAGGAACAGAAGAGGGAGGGGAGGGGTCCGAGCTGTAACAGCTGCACCCCATGTGCCAAAGCCCGCCTGGCGCCATGGGGGCACCGTGGGCTCAGCGAGTGGCATCTGCCTGACAAGGTCAGAGGCGGAGGAGGGGTGGAAATCCCCGGGTGAGTCAACTCGTGCCGGAGGAGGGGGCGAGCTTCGGCCCGGGACTCTGCGGAGCGTGCGACGCCACGCGTGCCTCCCCCACGGGTCATCGCTAGGCTGGAGGGAAACCAAAAGGCGCCTGAGCCACATCGCCGCTCTTCTCTTCGTCCAGAACAAAGCCATGCCCCAGCGGGGGTGACGAAGAGACCGACGACTCGGGGAAACTGAGGCACGAAGCTAGGCGCGCAGTGACGTCTGTCCTGCCCGGGGTCCCCCTCCTGACCCTGCGTTGCAGCGCGGGGCACTCTTGCGCCCTAGGCTTTGCCGGACGCCGTCCCCCGCCCCCCGCGCCCCCCACCGGCTCCCCGCGACCCACGTCCCGCCTCCCAGAGTCTCCAGCTTCGAAAGCGCTCGGATTCCGCCGCGTCTTCGGCGCCAACTTCCTGCCCGGGGAAGGCGGGGAGCACAGACTGGGGGTTCGCGGCCGAGACGCTCGGGGCCGCGCGGAGCCGTGGAGGGGACCCTCGGGGCGCACCCACCCGTGCACACGTCTCGGGCCACGCTGCGCCCGGCCCCCCAGCCCCTGCAGCTGGGACCCGCGAGCTCGGCGTCCCGCCCGCCGCCCCGCGCTCACCTGGCTAACCGGCCTCCCGCCTGGCAGCAGGGCGGCCGCGTCTGCGCTCCCGGGCGGGCGGCGGCGGCGGCGGAGCTGGGCTGCGCCCGGGCTCGGCGTCCCGGTTTGAGGACAGGGACGGAGGGGGCGGGGAAGCCACCGCCTCGGCCCGGCCCCGCCCTCCTCGCCTCCCCTTTCCGGCGACGACGGCCTGAGTTCCAGATGTGGCCGCCGGGACTTGGGGGGCCGCCGGGGGCGGGGCGCGGGCCCCTTTGTCCGCCCCCCCACTCTGCCCCGCCCCTCCCAGCCCCCACCCGTGAGAACCGGCGGGCGAGTGACGTCACGCCTGCTATGACGTCACCCCAGCCAGGTGGGCTCACCCAGCGCTGCAGACTGGGCTCCTGCTCTGGGGGCCGGGCGAGGGGCAGCACGCAGTCGCCTTTTTTATTCAACGAGGAATCTCGGAGCACCTTCTCCGTAAGAACTCCATAAACAGCCATGAGGGGTCTTCTGTGTGCCCTCCCAGCAGCTCGGATCCCAGTGCGTGCCACAACCTGCTCCAAAGGCAGGATTGTCCTCCGCCGTGGTAAGATCCCAGAGTTCAGGCCGGTGTGGTGGCGCAGGCCTGACAGGAGGAGCTAAAGTTGGAAGCTAACCCGGGCACCTTAGCGGCTCAGACAAAAAAATAAAAAAAATAAAAAAAAAAAAATAAAAATTGAAAAAGTGCGGGGATGCAGCTCAGTGTGAAGACCCTGGGTCTATCCCAGGACCAAACTAACTGCAGAGAAATGGGTGGAAAACAGGCGCTGTGCAGACACGGTGGGTTTGTAATTCAGCGGGAGAGCAGAGCGAGTGCATCCCACGCTGTGGGAGGGTCTCGAGTCCATAATGTGCGTGAAATAAGACAGACACAGAAAGGTGACTGTTCCGTGGTGGTTTCTCTTCCTGGAGGAGCCCTGAGCATATATAAACCATAAAACAGAGGCAAGATGGTGGGAAACGCGAGCCAGATGTTTTGGAGATGGAGGAGGAGAGAGGAGGGGAGAGTGAGGCGGGGAGAAAGAGGATTAAAAATGAGCAGGGCATTTGTATCAACTCCCCAAAACATATACCGGCAAAAATAAATATATATGCAAAGAGCCAGGCTAGCCCAACAGCCCTGGCACCGAGGGAGGGATCCAAAGTTTGAGTCCCACCATGAATAGCAACTTAGTGAGTCTGAGTCAAAAATAAGTAAATAAATAAATTAAAAGGAAAGGGGATCTGGGCTGGGAAGCAGCTCGGTGGCATAAGTGCCTGCCTGGCAAGCACAAGGTCCTGAGTTGATTTCCAGTACCCTCACCTCCAAAAAAGAAACCAGGAATGGGGATCTGCTTTAGTGACAGAGCACCCCTAAGTTTGATCCCTAGCACATCCAGGAAAAAAAAAAAACAAAGGTAAAAAGAAAGAGGTTTTCAGGGGCTGGGGTGCGTGTGGCTCAGTAATGCAGGGCTCGCCTAGCACAAGTGAGGCCCTGGTCCCGGCCCAGCACGGTGGGGAGGAAAGACCAGCACTTGTGCAAATGCGCACATAACCTATTTGCATGTCTGTTTGCTGTGTAACCACAAACCGGGCTGCAGACAGGCTGGAGGTGCCCGTGCTACCATCCGGCAGGCCATGGTGACGTGCACCTGTAACCCCAGCACTGGGGAGACTGAGGCAGGATTGCCACAAACTGGAGGCCAGCCTGGACTACAGAGCAAGACTGTGTCTCAAAAAGTAAACAGAACAAAACAAAACCCACGTGTATCACCAGAGGAACTGACAAAGCTCCCGGTTCCTGCGGAGCGGGGACTCTCGGCACAGAATACCCCGAAGAAAGGAGGAAAGAGACTTGGCACACTTCCTGGAAGAGAAACCAAGAGATGAGAGAGATGAAGGAAAGCCTGCCCCACTTCCCCTCTGGGCATCCTTTGTACTTTCTGATTTTCATAGCATGTGCACACACGTTCAGCCTCCACAATAAATTAAATGGCAAAAACGAAGGCTGCCCAGCTCCTTGCGATGGAGCCAATAAAAAATAAGGAGCGGCTGCTTACTCTCTGCTTTATGCGTATTCTACCTGGGAACGCAATGAGAAGGTTACAGTGGAGCCCTGAACGTCTGTGAGAAAGGCGGCCAGGCATGTGGCGCACACCCGCCATCCCAGCACTCGGGAGGCTGAGGCAGGAGGATCGCTGTGAGTTCAAGGCCAGCCTGGACTGCACAGAACAACTGTCTCAAAAAGACAAAAATAAAAATAAAAACGGGGGTTGGGGTATAGCTCAGCAGCACAGCACCTGCCTGGCAAGCACAAGGTCATGAGTTTGATTCCTGGTACCAAAATCAAATAAGTAAAAGTGGATTGAGGTGTGGTGGGGCAGGCCTGTAATCTCAGCTCCTCAGGAGCTGATGCAGGAAGACGGCAGGCCAAGACCAGCCTGGGATACGTAGAGAGATGCGTCAAAGTGAACATTCAAAAACTGGGAATGGAGCTCAGGGGTAGAGCATTGTCCAGCATCCACAAGGCGCCATGAAAGTCATTAGTTAATTGATTGATTAAAATGGGGGCTGCAGACAGACGCGGTGGCACATGCTTGGAGTCCCAGCATTCCGGGAGGCCGAGACAGGAGGATTGCTGTGAGTTCGAGGTCAGCCTGTGCTGCAAGGGAGACCCTGTCCCAAACCAACAAATGTGTAAGTGGCAGGGGCAGCCGGAGAGATTGAGTGCCCACCACGTGCGAGGCCCTAGGTTGAACCTTCTGCACCACATAATTAATCATTTTAAAAATGGAGCACAGTCTTGTGTGTACCGATGCAAAACCGATTTCAGCCTATCACAGTAACAAAAGCATCGCGCGCTGTTTTTCTCCACTGCTGAGTGTATTTTAGAGAGCTGTATAAATACACACACATTTGCCTGTGGCTTCACGAGCCACCTCCGGGCAAAGGCATGCGAGACGCTCGTCACAGCTGTCACCCTCAGGGAGGAACATTAGGTAAGAAGGGCCAGCTTCCACAGTGTACCCTGAGGAGCTATTTAAAAATTCCAACGTGCTAACGATTCAAAAAATTTACTAAGCCATTAAAAAATAAAAGCTGAGCCGGGCGTGGTGGCTCACACCTGTAATCCCAGCACTCAGGAGGCTGAGGTGGGAGGATCCTTTGAGTTTAGACCAGCCTGGGCTACAGAGTGAGCTCAAGGCCTGCCTGGACTGCATACAGAGACCCCGTCTCAAAAAAAAAAAGCTAACAAATATCTTGACTTCCAGTTACAAATGAGTTCTTGCCAGTGTGGCGTGGTGAAATAGGCCTGTTACCCAGCACGTAGGAGGCTGAGGCAGGGCGATAATAGCGTGCACGAGATCGTGGGTTCTGGCCTACGGTAAGCACCACCAAAACCAAAACCAAACCTTTCATAACTGGGTTTTCAGTGCAACTCAGAGACTTGCACATACCAGGCGAATGCTCTGCCCCTGTAACATTAATGCACACATCAGGGCTGGTGTACATATCAGTACCTGTCACCCCAGCTGTATAGGAGGCTGAGGCAAGAGGATTGCTGTGAGCTTGAGGCCAGCCTGGCCTGCACAGTGAGGTCAAGGCCAGCCTGCAGTACAAAGTGAAATCAGGGCTCAAAATGAAAAAATAAATATTTTTTAAAAGAATTTTTTTAATTTGGGGATGTAATTCAGTGCAAAGGCCCTGGGTTCAGTCCTTAGCATTGCAAGCGTGTGTATACACACACACACACACACACACACACAAATACATTTTTATTTGTTTTTGTGTTTCTTTTGTTTTTTAAGACAAAGTCTCACAATGTAGCACGGGCTGCTCTTAAACGAGCCAATGCTACTTCTTGGCCATTCAAATCCTTGAGTTATAAGTGTGTACTGCCTTGCCCGGCTCTGTGTGTGTGTGTGTGTGTGTGTGTGTGTGTGTGTGTGTGTGTGTACCGGGGATTGAACTGATGACCCCATGCTTGCCAGGCAGGCACTTGTGCCACTATGTATATTTCTTATTCAGCACATTGAGTTTCAATTTATATATTTTTTGAGTTTCGATTTATGTTAAGAAAAAGCTTACATTTAAGTTAGCAATAACAGAGGTGAGGATGTAGCTCAGTGAATGTGTCCTTAGCATGCATGACAGCCTAGGTTCCATCCCCAGCACGAGGACTGGGGTGTAGCTCAGTGGTAGACCACGTGTCTAGTGTGTGACACCCGGGTTCAAGCCCCAGTACCGACCAGAAACAGGGAGTGACACATAACGACTGAATGTTAAGAACACACTAACGCTACACCAATGCATACAACAAGTGCATGTAATATGTCACGTTCTTTGATAGGCCCTAGTTAGGCTTTTTGGTTACTGCCATGTAAAGCTGACAGACTCGCCATGCAGCATAGTGGCACACACCTGCGATCCCTGCTCTTAGGAGGCTGGGGCAGGAAGACTGCTGTGAGTCTGAGGACAGACAGCCTGGGCCTCAAAATGAATTCAGGCCAAGCTGAACTGCAGAGTGAAACTCTGTCTCAAAGAGACCACAAAAAAAAAAAAAAAAAAAAAAAAAAAAACAGCCCAGCAGCCCTAACATTCATACTTTGGTGAAGAGATACAAAGAGTGAAGGAAGACCGTGTGATAGTGCTCACCTGTAATCCCAGCGTTCTGGGAAGCTGAGGCAGGAGGATCTCAAACTGGATGGAGCCCAATCTGAGAACCGTGGCAAGATCCGATCTGAAAAGAAACAACAGAACTGGCGTTGTAGCTTGATAGAAAGGCCCTGGCTTCAGTTCCTAGCACTGGAAAAAGAAAACCTTCAGTAAGGTGTCATCCTAGACTTTACTCTTTTTCCCCAAGCTGATTTCAGAGAGGTTCCAGGCCAGAGTTGGGGTCCACTTGGACCTCAGCACAACCCTGCGCTCCTCTGCAGATGGAGATGGGTTGCCAGGGCAACATCTAGACACCAGGTGTTCGGCCCGCCGCAGGGGAGGAGGGGGGAGAACCGGTCTCCCGGCAGGGCCACCGGAGCGGAAATCTCCGACCTCCTCTCCTCCTCTCCGCGGCCCTGAAGACTGGGCAGGAAGTGCCCCCCCAGCCGCCACCACCCCGCGCCAGCCTGGCTCAGCAGTTTGCAGTCTCCCCTGAGCCCCGAGAGGTTGGGGTGATGTCAAGGCCACAGACACATCCGGCTGGCTGTCTGCCTGCCCGGGAACAGCGGGTCCCACTCCAAGGTGATGTCCCCGGGGCGCACTGACCACACCGCAGGGCGACTTCCGCCTCCCTCCCACCTCTGGGGCCTCGCAGGGTCTCGGCCAGGTCACCTAGAGGCCTGGACTTCCGCTTAGCACCAGAGATCAGGGGAAGAGGCTGGGAAGGCACCAAGGGGAAGGAAACTAGGCCCTGGGCTTGGAGAGCGCCCAGGCCGGGAAGGAGGGCAGGGGAAGAGGCAGGACAGCAGTCCACTAATGACAGGGTCTTGGACAATAATGGCTAACGCTGGCTGGCTGCACAGCGGCTGTGTGCTGGGCTTGGCGGGGAGCACGCTCGCTCCCCAAGGGTGCGTATTAGTGCTGTCATCACCCCGTTTCTTTAGTTAACTTGGTGTTTAGAGACAGGGTCTCGCTACATCGTTCGGGCCGGCCCGGAAATCACTACACAGCCCAGGCTGGCCTTGAACTTCCTGCAGCCTCCTGCCTCAGCCTCCTGCAGTGCAGCCCCACACCTGGGTTAATGCCCCATTTGGGGTGAGGTGTAATAGGACTCAAACTCAGGACCCTGCTCTGACCAGGCTGGTTCCTGCACTGCTACGCTCTGACCCCAGCCCTGTGGCCCCACTTTGGAGATGAGGAGAATTCAGTGCTATGGCACGAAATGGTTTGAACGTGGGCCCGAGGCTTTACGGGTTAAAATGCGGTCACCATGGTACGCCACCCTCCACAAGGACACGTAACCTGACCGTGGTTGGGGCAGTGCAGGCTTTGCGTAATGATGACCACTGGGCAGGGGCATTGGGACAGAGCCCCCCGACTGAGTTCTAGTGGCCGAATCAGGGGAGGCAGAGGCTGGGACTGGTGGCTCACACCTGTCATCCCAGCAGTCGGGAGGCTGAGGCAGGAGGGTTCTTTAGAGTTCAAGGCCATCCTGGACTACATAGCAAAACACTGTCTCAGAAAAAAAGAAAGAAAGCAGGAAAGAAAGAGGAAAGAGGAGGAGGAGGAGAAGGAAGAAGAGGTGGAGGAGGAGGGAGCCTGGGACACAGCCCGGCAGTAGAGCCCGCGCTTAGCATTCCCAGTGCCCAGGACGGGGAGAAAACAAGATGGCACAGGACAGAGAGACAGAGAGCTGGAGGGACGCAGGGACACATGTCCACACCCTCTGGTCTTTCTGCCCCTCATCACGTGATGCCCAGCGTGGCCGGAGCTTCTGCCAACAGAAAAGCCATTTCCAGACATGGGCCTTGGCCTTGGACCAGACCCTGAGCCCAAAGGAACCCCTGCTCTTGATAACTTACCCTGCCTTGGCCGTTCTGGTACAGTCTCCGAAGGGAGCCCGAACTGCCGGGCACACGGCAGGGCTGGATTTGAGCCAGAGTGACCTGGCCGCTCTCAGCGTGGGCGCCCTGGTCCTCTGTCCTCTTGTCCCCAGGGATCTGGAACGGAGAGCAGCGCTCAGCACCACCACCCTCCTATTGCTGATCACCCACTCAGGGAGGCCCCAGCCTGAGCTCCGCCCTCCCGGCCCTGCACCCCCACCCCAGCCCAGGCAGGAAGGGTGTTTGGCTCAAGAACCTGGAGGGGAGAAGCCTCTGAGACCTGACCAGCTTTCTGAGTCTCCGGGCCTGGAGAAAGGGGCCCTGCAGCCACAGAGAAGCTTTCCAGAAGCCGAGCTGGACAGGGCTGGGCCAGCACAGCTGCAGGACGCCGGGGCGGGGAGGCGCACTGAGCAGCCCCTGCCTCGCCACGTGGGCACCAGATGCAGACTCGGCCCCGGAGCCTGGACGGAGGCTGGCTTCTCAGCAAAGCGCCCCTGCCTTGCATAGTAAGTGGATGACAAGGGCAGTCACCGTCCCACCGTCCTGAGCACCTGCCAGCTCTTCACTGAAGAGGAGCTCAGAAGCAGTAAGTCGGGCCTGGTGGTGCACACCTGTTATCCCAGCGGCTCAGGAGGCTGAGGCAGGAGGACTGCAAAATTCAAGGCCAGCCTGGGTAACTCGGTGAGACACAGCCACAAAAAAAATTTGTGGATTTGTGGATGCCAGCCTGGGCTACATGGTGAATGCAAGGCCAGCCTGTACTGCATAGCTCAGAACAAAATTGTTCTGTTTTGTTTTTGTTTTTGAGACAGGGTCTCACTATGTAACCCAGGCTGACCTTGAACTCCTGGTGATCGTCCTGCCTCGGCCTCCCAAGTGCTTGAGATTATAGGTAAGCGCTTCTGTATCCATTTCTTTTTTTTTAAGTTACTGGGGTTGGAACCCAGGCAAGAATCTTCCACACAGCAGACCACCACGGCTCACCACTGAGCTGCAGCCTGGTCTCTCAGCTGGCTTTTCATTATAATGCTTTGACCGTTGCCAAAAAACCGGGATCAGTTACATTGAACCCTGCTGGCTAATTCCGTATATATTTGGGGGACTGCAGATATAACTAAGTGACAGGTCACTTACCCAGAGGGCATGAGACTCTGAGTTCCATCCCCAGCACCTCAGAAATAATTACAAAAATAAATATATAAGCTGGGCAAGGTGGCTCATGCCTGTAATCTGAGCACTCGGGAGGCTGAGGCAGGAGGATCGTTGTGAGTTGGAGACCAGCCTGGGCTACAGAGTGAGCTCAAGGCCAGCCTGAACTGCATAGCGAGACCCTGTCTCAAAAAGACAAGATAAATAAGTACATAAATGAGAAGGGACTGATAATCTGTAATAATGTGGAGGAATCTCAAGGGCATTGAAGAAGGAAAGGTATATTAAAATACAAATAAAAATATAAAAGCACACAACTGTACAATTCCATCTTGTTTTTTTCCCCTTCCGATTCTAAAGCACATCTTCTTTTTTTCTGGAGACTGAACTCACGCATGACTTCAGGCTTGCCCGGCAGGCACCGTGCCACTGAGCTACGTCCCCAGCCCCTCCTTCCATTCCATTCCCTGCCCTCCGTCCATTCTTCCTTCTTTCTTGCTATACTAGAGGCTGGCCCCAGGACCTTTGCACTGAACTGTATCCCCAGGCCTTTTTGATCTCTTATTTTGAGACACGGTCTTGCTAAGTCAGGCTGGGCTCAGACTTACGATCTGCCCACCTCAGCCTCCCACAGAGTGGGTATAACAGATATGTACCATCGCACTGAGCTATATTTCCTCATTTCTTTGATGTTTTAGAAAAGGCAGGTGTGTAGGGCCAGGGGAAGATGAGTAGCGGGCAGGACCTGGGGCGGAGTGGGGTCTGGGTATGAAGGAGCCTGGGGAATTTTGCTAAAGCAACCGTTTTACATTTTGACCGTGGTAGGTAGTGACTACGCAGCTTTGTGGAAAATTTGTGCCTCTGTGTGCTAAAAAGGGACAGCTTTGTTGCAAAGTTGTATTTTAATTTTTGTTTGAGGCAAGTGTCCTACTATGTAGCCTAGGCTGGCCTCAAACTTGGGGCAATCAATCCTCCTGCCTCTGCTCCCAGAGTCGGAGTCCTGGGGTCACAGGCACACACCACCCTGGAAAAATGTATTGGAAAAAAATCACGTTTGAAAAAGAAACCTGGGGGCTGGGGGTTCAGCTCAGGGGCACAAGCACCTGCCTGGCAAACTCAAGGTCACGAGTTTGATCCCTGGTACAGACAGACAGACAGACAGACAGGAAGGAAGGAAGGAAGGAAGGAAGAAAGAAAGAAAGAAAGAAACCTGCTCAACAACTCTGCATCAGGGCTTTAGTGAAAAAATAATCTCAAATGGGAAAATTTAATAATTTAAATTTTTTCACACACACAAAAATAAATTTTGTCACGAATATATGTTTGTAGTCCATAATTACATTCATTGAAATGATGGGATTTAATTTGGTTGGTTACAAAGGTGAGAACCCAAAAGATGCAGAGAAACCAGGCAGGGTGGCTCACGCCTGTCATCCCAGCACTCGGGAGGCTGAGGCAGGAGGATCCTCGCGAGTTTGAGACCAGCCTGGGCTACAAAGTGAGCTCAAGACCAGCGTGAACTGCATAATGAGACCCTGCCTCAAAATAGAAACAAATAAATATAAAAAGATGCAGAAACTTTAAAAATTGGCATGTAGAGAATCAAGTATGATGTTGCTCTCCTGTAATCCTAGCTACTGGGGAGGCTGAGGCAGGAGGGTTGCGAATTCAAAGCCAGCCTGGGCAACTTGGATATTTTACAAGCTACTGTCTCAAAGTAAAATACACACAGAGCCTGCCTGGCAAGCACGAGGTGGTGAGTTCGATCCCTGGTACAAAAAAAAAAAAGGTAAAATATAAACAGGTAGATATAGATGGACCAGGGATATAGCTTAGCGCAAAGGTCCTGCGTTCATTCCTTAGTCTGGCAAAAAGAAAAACAGATTAGCACACGGGGGCTGAGGGTATCTCCAAGTTGGGGGTCTGGGTTCCATCCCCAGTGCCACCAAAGACGAAAACAGTGTCTTAGAAAAGGCAATGATGTCCCAATTTTACAGAGGGGCAAACTGAGGCCCAGAGACCCCAGGTACAGGCCCAGAGGTTCAAATCCCCAGGAAGCTCCGCCTCTGCCAGACCTGGTTCCAGGCTGGCCTGTGCCCCCGTCCCCCACCCCCGTACCCCTCTGTACCCCCCATGGTTGCTAGGGCAACCGAAGCCACCGGAAAGACCCCCTCCCGCGAGCCCCTCCCCAGGGGCGGGAAGGTGCAGAAGAGGCTCCGCCCCCGAGCTGGAGGCCGACTGCGAACCCAGCAGAACAAACCCGGGCGGAGGGGAGCGGGGGCTGCCCCCCAACACCACAGCGCTGACCACCGGCCTTAGGTGACGCTGGAGTTGGGAAATATCTGATGATGGGGACCTCCCGGGCTCCGAACGTGCACCTCCAAATGCTCACCCCCAGATCTTTGCTCTGCAAGGCAAGCAGAGATCCTCTGAGAGCTGCCCATTAGCGATGCTGGCACCGTGCTGCTGGGGACAAAGGTCCCTGGGATCAGCCTTTGATGCCTGCAGAGGCACGGTGGCACAGACCTCTGACCTCCCCCAGGCTTGGGTCAGAACCCCCAAACGCCTTTGCAGTCACTGGTGCACGCTGCCTCCTCCTGGACACCAAAACCCAGGAGCCCTCTACCACTGAGGGCTCGCAGCTATTTTTATATTTTTATTTTGGGCCCATTTCTTGCTAAGTTGCTGAGTTATCCAGGCTGGGTTTCAACGCATGATCCTCCTGCCTCGGCCTCCCAGACTGCTGGGAGGACAGGGGTTCCTGCAGGCACTCTGTGCAAACTGTGCTCTGTGTGATCAATGCACTGAGTGTGGCAGTGCACATCCTATAATCCAAGAACTGGGGAGGCTGAGGCAGGAGGATCGCCATGGGTTCAAGGTCAGCCTGGGCTACCTAGCCAGGCCCTGTCTCAAAGAAAGTAAAAATAACAGAAACTGGACAGGGTTGGTGATGTGGCTCAGTGCTAGAGCACGTGTCTAGCACGAGAGATCAAAGTTTGACCCCCAGCACAACAAGAAAGCAAAGCAAAAAACAGGGCATTATTGATGAGAATATGGTGAGAGTTCTGGAGATATTTAGGGTAGGAAGGGAAAGGTAATTTCAGAGAGTGAAGCCCACAGTTTGGTGGATGGGAGACAAAAGGACTAATGATCAGAGCAGAAGTCCTGGGGCTTCAGTGTGGTTTGTGGGATTGGATGAGTAGGCTGGCGCAACTGCAGCCCCAGAACGATGGAGGCAGAGGCGGGGGAGTGGACAGCAGGTCCTGCCAGGCCCTGTGGGCTGTGACGAGGACTTTGGCTGTTGTTCTAAGGAAACAAGGGATAGTTCTGACTGCAATGTTTAAAGCTCCTCCCTCCACTGGGGGAAAGACTCTTGGGAACCCAGAAGGAGGAAAAGATCATGACCCTCAGCATGGCTTAGTGGGGAGGGGGACACTCATGGCTCAGAAGCCACAGTCCAGTGACTCCCAGATTCCACCCGTGTCTGTGTCACTTCTGGCCCATTGGGGAGAAGTCACTATGGGCACTTTTTAGACCCAGTGGCCTCAGAGAGACAGAGGTTTTGAAACCCCAGACCCTGCGATAGTAGGATGAGTGAAAAAATTCGCTGGAGAATTTATCCAGCAGCCAGCATGGGGGTACACACCTGTGGTCCCAGCACTCGGGAGGCTGAGGCAGGAGGTTTGCCAGGAGTTCAAGGCTACATAGTGAATTCCAGGCCAGCCTGCACTGCACAGTGAGACCTTCTCTCACAAGAAGAAGGAAATCAAAAACTTTCAGATGCAAAGCAAATGGTCAGCATTGGGGACACGGAAAATGCTGAGCCTCACTGATTATCAGACATACAGATACAAACCACAAGAGCCCTTTTCACCCCACTTTGACTGGCATAACCAAAAAGACAAACAAACAGCAAATGCTACCAGGATGCAAAAAAAAGGGGAACTTTCATGCCCAGAGAGCATGCAAATTAATACAGTTATTACGGAAAATAATATGAAGGTTCCTCAAAAAAACTAAAAATAGAACTACCATATGATCTGCCAATCTCACACCAGGGCTATGAGTATACGAAAAAGATTTCTGCACTCACACACTTCTGGCAGCACAAATACTGCTGATAGGTGAATGGGTACAGAAGTGTGGCCTGTGTTCAGGGCGGAATATTATGCAGCCAGAAAGAAGAGCGAAACCCTGTTATGTGCAGCAGCACGGATGAAACTGGACAGCACTGTAAGAGAAACATGTAAAGGGGAGCTGGCCGAGTACTTAGTTCAGCAGTTCAAGCATTTGCCTGGTAAGCGCAAGGTCATGAATTTGATCCCCAGTACTGGAAAAAAAAGCAAAACCTCAAATTCAGCCCAAACTACATAGCAAAACCCTGTTTCAAAAAATCAAATAAACACATAAATCTAAAAGCATTGTCAGTTCTTCTTCTTCCTGTCTTTCCCCCCCAGTTTTGGGAATGGAACCCCAGGCCTCCTACACATGCAACAAACTCTATCACTGAGCTGCAACGCCAGCCTCGTTGCGCATCTTTATTAATTTTTCATAAAAATGTTCCAATATAATATGTCGGATGCAAAAAATTGTTAAGAGTTCACATCTTTGGCACAGCACCGAAATACTCCAGGACTCACGCAATCTTTGTTTTAGCTCTCTTTTCTCTTTGATGACAAAATCCTCCTTCAATAATAATAACGATAATCGCTGGGGATTTAGCTCAGCGGCATAAGCACCTGCCTTGCAAGCAGGCAGTCGTGAGTTCGATCCCTGGTACCGATAAAAATGAAAAAGACAAAAAAAAAAAATGATAATGATAATGATAATTGTCAGGCGTAGTGGCACAGGTTGGTCATCCCAGCATTCCGGAGGCTGAGGCAGGAGGATCAGCGTGAGTTCAAGGCCAACCCGAGCAACTCAGTGAGTGCACGGCCAGCCTGAACTGCACAAGGAGACCCTCCCTAGCCACCATCCGCCTCCTCCGCGTCGTAGGTGCTGTTGAGTTTTCACCTCGTGTCAAGCACATCACCCTTTGCCTCTATCATGTCACCAAAGTCTCATAACCTCTCCATTCTCCAGGTGGAGAAAGTGGTGGGTTCGGAGAGCACGTGGTCCACAGGAGAGTTCCGTCTGGACAGCGCTGACCTCCCCCGGCCATCCCGGCCCCGCACGGGCTCGCGGCGCCCCCTGGCGGTCAAATGGGGAACATGGAGAAGAATCGGGCAAAAAAGCTCATTCATTGGATTACTGCTGGGAGGGTCCGAGAGACTCCCCAGTTTGCTGCTCTAGGGGAGCCCCAGCTGTGAGAGGGGACAGAACCGTGGCCTCGGGATGGAGACACGCAGACCAGACAGGGATTTCAGGAAGGCAGAGCATGGCTCTGGACCAAATGACCAGGCCGACTCAATGCCAAAGGTTTTTTTTTTTCTTTTTTGTCCTTTTCGTTTTTATCGGTACCAGGGATCAAACTCACGACTGCCTGCTTGCAAGGCAGGCTCTTATGCCGCTGAGCTAAATCCCCAGCTCCAATGCCAAAGGTTTTGAGAGGCGAGGCCCTGCGTTTAAACTAACCACAAGAGTTTTTTTCTTGTAGAATTTTTTTTTTTTACACTTTTTTTTTTTTCTTTTTTCTTTTTATCGGTACCGGGGATCGAACTCACGACCGCCTGCTTGCAAGGCAGGTGCTTATGCCACTGAGCTAAATCCCCAGCCCCTCTTGTAGAATTTTTTATTCCCGTAACCAAAAGAATGCATTCAGGGGCTCACACCTGTAATCCCAGCACTTTGGAGGCTGAGGCAGGAGGATCGTTGCAAGTTCGAGACCAGTCTATGCCACAAAGTGAGCTCAAAGCCAGCCCAAACTGCATAGAGAAACCGTGTCTCAAAAAGACCGAAAGAGAGATTCTTTTATAACTAAATGTCTCTAGATTCTCAGGTTGTATAACTTGAGACAATACTTTAATATAGATACGTAAATCATGGTGTGGAGGAGTTAACCTATACAGATGTATGCAACTGTGTAAATATTCTGTGCTTGCATGGTGACGCACGCCTGTCATCTTGGCGCTCTAGAGGCTGAGGCAGGAGGATCACTGTGAGTTCAAGTCCAGCCCGGGCTACATAGTAAGTTCAAAGCCAGACTGGAATGCAGAACGAGACCTTGTCTCAAAAAATAAAAATTACAGGAAGCAGTTAAGGGAAGCTTGGGGAGGCTGGAGATTTAGTTCAGTGGCATAAGCGCCTGCCTTGCAAGCAGGCAGTTGTGAGTTGGATCCCTGGTACCTATAAAAAGGAAAAAGACAATAAAAAAAAAAAAAAAAAAAAAAGGGAACCTTGGGAACAGCATGGTCCCGCATACAATAATATGCATCTAATCCTTTACCATCCACCTGTCAGTAATTTTCATAAGATCAGCATTAAAAACAGCCAAATACACATAAGACCCTCAAGCTTCACATAAAAAATTGGTCTTAGTTCACTCTCAAGTGACAAGATATCCCAAGAGTGACACCATCTGTTCTTTTTGGAATCGTCCGGTAGGGAAGAAGCTCCGGTGCAGTCGAAGCCGGGCCGGCCGGCGCGCCTCTCCCGACAGGGTGCGCTCGTTCGCTGCACCGGCGGCTGGAAACGCTGCTTCAGAATCTCCGCGTCCAAGCGGAGCTGCAAATGCGGGTCCCCGAAGTGCGAACCCTAGAAGAGGCGGAGGGGACGAGGGGCAGAGGAGGGGCGGGAGTGGGAGGAGAAAGCCATCCCCGCAAGGCCTGGGCACCAACCCAGCGACCTTCACGGTCTTCACACTGCACACAAAAACCCGCGCGCAAATTTTGAAGCCTAGGAGGGGGCGGGGCTCAGGGCGGGGCTAACGTCAAAAGTTATTGGCTGTAATTTCTTAGATTCCCGCCAGGGAATTAAGAGTCCCAACCAGGGGAGACTTAATGACTTAATTCATGCATACTTACTGCTCATTGGCTGATGCTGGAGCGTGCTTTTGATCCGGAGAAGTGTGATTGGCTGCATTCCATGTTCCACTTCTAGGGGGCGGGATGCGAGACAATTAAGACCCGCAGGAGGTGGTCGGCTTAGGGTCGTGTTCCCAAACGTTGGGAATGGTCCTCAAGTCAGGAGTTAAGCACACAGGGCCGGGGGCTTGGTTCTGGGACTGACGTAAGAGCGCACGGGGCTTCACCCATTGGTCGTCACTCTAACACGCCCCCGCTTCCTAGCGCTGAACCCGAGCGGGGCGGGCCCGTCGCGTGCGTGACGTCATAGCGAGGCGCCGCGCGCGTTGAGCAGGAGCCTCGACCTCGCTGTCCAGGAGACCGGTGAGGCGATGCTGCACTTAGTCCCGGCCGGAGCGCGGGCCTGGCTTCGGTCCTCGGGCTGCAGGGTGAGGCCGAGGACTGGGGACAGGGTTAGAGGAGAAAGGGTGACGAGTTCGGGGACGTATCTCATGCTCGGCCCCGCTTGCAGGGCCTGAGCTCACTGGCAGAAGAGGCAGTGCGGCCGGTGAAGGAGTCGGAGCAAGAGCCGGAGCCGAGCGCTGGTGAGCAGCCCACCGGGATCACCCAGCAGGGAGTGACCTTTGACCCTGACCCCTGACCCTGCCATTGCTGCAGGTGCCCAGGAGCCTGTGCTGCGCCGATGCGAACTCCCGGTCCCCGCGCACCGGCGCCCGGTGCAGGCCTGGATCGAATCCCTGCGAGGGTACGAGCAGGAGCGCGTTGGCCTGGCCGAGCTGCACCCTGACGTCTTCGCCACGGCGCCCCGGTGAGCGGGGCTGTGATGGCAGCTAGGAAGGGATGGGGGCCCGAGTTCAGGAATCAGCGTGACCGGGGTTCCTATCCTTGCGCCTCAGTGCTTCCACCTGTCAAAGGGGGATGGTGGAGCGGGATGATGGCTCAAGCCTGTAACTGGAGCACTCCGGAGGCTGAGGCAGGAGGATCACCGCAGGTTCGAGTCCAGCCTGGGCTACATAGTGAGTTCAAGGCCAGCCTGAACTACACTAGAGCACTAAACAGGACCAAATTCACTAGATGCCTGTCTTCATTTTGTAGTTAACCGGTGCTGCATAGCAACCCTAGAGAAGGATGCTGTAATGCTTCTTTTTTAGAACTGAGGCACAGAGTTAGGTAACTATTCCAGAAGATTACACAGCAATAGAGCCAGGACCAAAAGCTGTGCAGGTGACTGCCAGGGGGCCCTTTCCTGTGCAGTTTCTGGCACATAATGTTGTTAAAGCCAGGCATGGTGGCATACGCCTGTAATCCCAGCGCTCTGTAGGCTGAGGCAGGAAGATCCTGAGTAGAAGGCCATCCTGGGCTACTTGGTAAGACCCTGTCACAAGATAAAAAGGGGCTGGGATGCAGCTCAGTGGCAGAGCATTTGCCCAGCATGCACACAGGGGATTTCGGTCCCCAGTAGCATGCAGAAAGAGTGGTTTAGATGTAGTGATTTAGGCCTGCAGTCCTAGTACTTGGAAGGCTGAGGCAGGAGGATCACAAGTTGGAGGCTGGCCTGGGCTACATGGTAACACCCAGTTTCAAAAACAAGAACAAAAATGCTGAAACAGGTGAGGCTGATTTCAGTGACATATTGTATTTAACCTGAGATATCTGGAAATTTTGTCAGCATATTTTAGCCATTCAGGAGCCAGATGTGGCTGGTGTCCTCTGTGGGAGTGGTAGACAGCTGGAGAAGAGGCTCACGGAGGAGTCGTTAATGGCAGGAAGGAAGCAGAGTCCAGCGAGAGGAGAGAGGGGCAGCTATTCCTTTAGCAAGGGAAGAGCAAGTGCAAAGGCCCTGAGGCTGACCTCTATCTTGACTGGTAGGGATTCGAGATGAGGTCGGAAAAGAGCAAATTACATAGAGCCCTGGGGGCTGTGCAGGGTCGGGGTAGGGGAACCCTGGATTTTCTTTTAGTGAGTGAGGAGCTGTGTGAGGGTTTCCTTTTTGTTTTTGGTATGGAGGAGTTGAACCCTGGGCCTCTGCACTGAGGCATACCCTCAGCCCTTTTTTTATTTTTTATTTTTGAGGCAGGATAACAATAAGTTGCCCAGGCAGGACTCCAATTTGCAGTCCTCCTGCGTCAGCCTCCCAGAGTGCTGAGATTATAGGCATGGGCCTCTGTGCCCGGCAGTGTGGGAGGGTGCAGAGGGGAAGTGGCCTCTCATGTCTCCGTCCTCTGCCCCAGGCTGGATGTCCTGCACCAGGTGGCCATCTGGCAGAAGAACTTCAAGAGAATCGTGAGTGTGGCGAGAGAGAGCAAAGGCACTGGGGCAGGAGACCAAGGAAGTCATCGGGTTTTCTCTCTGGCGTGCTTGGCCTGGCCTCCTGGCCCCGTCTGGCTCTGTGCGTGGATGGCATCTCCTGAGCATCCACCTCTGTGAGCTCTGTGCTCGGGAGCAGATTCGGCCTCAGGACAGGGACGGCTTCCAGCCTTAAGGAGTTCACGCTTAGGGGGACCTGAATCAGGCATTCGAGGCTATAAATATGCCATGATGGGCAGCTGTCCCAGAGAAAGGGACGTTTAATCCTGGACCTCGTGTAGAAGCTGAGCAGATCAGTGGGGCCTGGGTGGTGACAATGGGGACAGCATGTGATGTGCAGAAGCCCCGTGTGCCACAGATGTCAGTGGGAAACATCCTGAGAACTTTGGAATTTATGGCAGGAACATGAAAGAGTCCATTATGGGGCTGGGGGTGCAGGCCTGTCACTCCAGCACTTTGGGAGGTCGGGAGCTGGACCTCAGCCTGGGTAACCTGATGACGCCCCATCTTCAAATAAAAGAGGGCTGGAGTGTCACTCAGTGTGAAGACCCCAGGTTCAGCCCCAGTGCCGCCAAAGACAGAACCCATTTTCCGAGTCCTCGATTTTGAGCCCGCACCCCTGAAGTCTAGGGAGTCTGTTCCCTGCCGCCCCAGCCCCGGGAACCCTCCAGCCTCGCCTTCCCCACGGTTGACGGTGCCCACGGTGCCGTCACCTCCCACACCTGAGCCGCCTCTCGCCCACAGAGCTACGCCAAGACCAAGACGAGGGCTGAGGTGCGGGGCGGCGGCCGGAAGCCCTGGCAGCAGAAGGGCAGCGGGCGGGCGCGGCACGGCAGCATCCGCTCCCCGATCTGGCGAGGCGGTGAGTGGCTGGGCCCTCGGGGGGGCCGGGATCTGGGTGCCGCCCCGGTTCCCTCTGTGAGCTGACAAGCCCTGTCGGCCTGGCCTGGCCACAGGCGCTGTCCACGCTGCCAGTCCATGGCAGCTCGTGCCCAGTGCCCGCCCCCACCAGCCCTAAAGCCTCGGCCTTCCTATGACTGCAGCCTTAAGCACATAGGCTTAGGGTGCACGCCTGTCATCCCGGCCGCTCAGGAGGCTGAGGCAGGAGGGTCGCGTGTGTCAGCCCAGGGTGAACAGCTTAACAACTGTAACCTCCTAAGTTGGTAAGAAGACCCTGTCTCAAAATAAAATTTTAAAAAACAGGCTGGGGATGGAGCAGAGGATGAAGGTCGGGGGTTCTATCCCCGGGACCTGGTGTCTCAGGATTCAAAGCTGGGGAGACGGATCCAGAGAGGAAAGTCAGGGCTCCCAGTGTGTCCCCCACCAGCCTCCTTTCTCCGCCCCGCCCTGTGCCCCACCTTCTCTGGTGGCTGGCTCCTTAGCCCTGGCTGAAGCATGGTCCGCCCTGGCGGTGGCCTGCACACCTCAGCTCCTCTGTCCCCGCAGGGGGCATCGCACACGGCCCCCGGGGCCCCACCAGCTACTACTACATGCTGCCCATGAAGGTGCGAGCGCTGGGGCTCAAGGTGGCGCTGACCGTGAAGCTGGCGCAGGTAAGGGGCCTGCCTGGCCCAGGTTGGGGGGCGGCGCGTGGGGCACTGTCGGGCTCAGCACCTGCGTCCCCAGGACGACCTGCATGTCGTGGACTCCCTGGAGCTGCCCACCTCGGACCCCCAGTACCTGACGGAGCTGGCCCACTACCGCCGCTGGGGCGACTCGGTGCTGCTCGTGGACCTGTGAGCGCCCGGGGTGGGGAGGGGGCGGGCAGCACACACTCCGCAGGCTCACACCCCTGTGCACAGGACACACGAGGGGATGCCACGCAACATCGTGGAGGCCACCAGCAGGCTCAAGACCATCAACCTGATCCCAGCTGTGGGTGAGCAAAGGGCCCCGGCCCACCCCAGAGTGAGCGAGTGTCAGCCCAACTGCTGGAGGCGGGGTTGGCTCAAGCAGGGCCTGCATTCAGGCCCAGCTCGGTGTCGCAGGCCGGTAATCCCAGCGCCCGGGAGGCCGAGGCAGGAGGATCTCAAGTTCAAAGCCAGCCAGGGCTAATATAACAAACCCAGTCTGGACACACCTGCATCTGTCCTTGTCCTGGAGTGGCCTTGAGCGGACCCGCCACGATCAGTGATAAGACCCCTTGGCTTTCCCTAGTGGTGCCTTTCTCAAAAAGTGCCCCGTTCCTCCTGTCCAGTCTGTTCCGGCTGCAGCCACCAGAGGGCACCGTGAGCACCCGAGTCCATCGAGCCCCTCCACGTGCCCTCCTCCCTGGGCCTGCCGACCTGCCCTTCCCCTCCTCCCCTCCTGTCTGTCCTGTGTCCAGCCTTCCTCGCTGGTGCGAGGTCGGAGTCCCAGTAGGGTCTTCCGCTTTCTGAGACAGGGTGTCCCTGTGTAGCTCGGCTCAGCCACCTTCCTGCCTCAGCCTCCCGAATGCTGGGAAAATAGGCACGTGCCACCACGCCTGGCTGGCCCGGGTCTTGTGGGCAGCAAAGGCGGGGGCCAGGTCAGGCTGCGGGGTCACCACTGACACTGGGTCTTGACCCCCCAGGCCTGAACGTGCACAGCATGCTCAAGCACCACAGCCTGGTCCTCACGCTGCCCACCGTCGCCTTCCTGGAGAAGAAGCTGCTGTGGCAGGACTCACGCTACGGGCCGCTGTACCCGTTTTGCCTGCCCTACCGTGACTTCCCCTGACGCACAGCGCAGCCTTCCTGGGGTGGCCCGAGGCTGGGCCCGCAGTCACCCCGGAGCAGCTGCGGGACTTCAGCTCGGATGACATCCTGCCCTGCCTGTCCCGGACTGCTTTCAAGTAAAGCATTTTATTTTAATTAACTACATGTATTTCTGTATTTTGAGACAGGGTCTCACTCTGTAGCCCAGGCTGGCCTTGAACCCACTTTAGAGCTCAGGCTTGTGACCCTCCTGTCTCAGCCTCCCAAGTGTTGGGATGACAGGCCTGTGCTACCGTGTCTGGCTAAAACTAAGTCTGGTTTCACACAAGAGTCAGGAACGCAGCTTGGCTCAGTGGCGCACACCTGTGATCCAGCCCTGGGGAGACTGAGGCACGGGGCCGGCTCAAGTTCAAGGCCAGCCTGGGCTGCAAAGCGCATAGCGGGCTCCTCTCTCAGAAAAGAAAACAAACAGAAAAGAACTTTGAGGGAAGCAAGGGTAACAAAGAAGCCCTCAGAAGCTGTCACGCACGCCAGAAGCTCACAGCCAGATCGAGTGCCAAAGAGGCTACGACCTGTCCCCTTTGGAGTAATCGGGAGTTGGCTACATGCACTGGTGTGTGCTTAGGGGCTGAGGCAGGAGGGTTACAAGTTCAAGCCCAGCCTGAGCAACTTAGTGATTTTTTTTTTTTTTTTTGTCTTTTTTTGGTCTTTTTCCTTTTTATCGGTACCGGAGATCGAACTCATGACTGCCTGCTTGCAAGGCAGGTGCTTATGCCACTGAGCTAAATTCCCAGCCCCACAACTTAGTGATTTAATAAAATACTGATTCATGAAAATACAAGCTAGGGATGTAGCTGAGTGCAGAGATGCAGGGGTTCATGGCTGGCGACCCCCTACCTCTTAGTGTTTACACAGAACCCATGCACAGCCCCTCCCCTGTGTTGTTCAGGAGTAAGGAGCCCCAAAGGCATCCTCGAGTCCAGTCCGAACCATAGAGCCCCTGAGGTCAGGGAGAGGCAGTCACCTGAAAACCAGCCCCCCAACGCAGAAAGTGTCTGGCTGGACACTGGTGCTGGTCCTGGCCCTTCTTTTTTTTTTTTTTTTTTTTGTCTTTTTCCTTTTTATCGGTACCGGGGATTGAACTCACAACCACCTGCTTGCAAGGCAGGCGCTTATGCCGCTGAGCTAAATGCCCAGCACCAGTCTTCGCTCTTCTAGAGGTGACAACAACCGGATATCAGAAAGCTTTCAGCAAGTAATGAGGTCCTGAGTTTATATAATGAGAGTATCAGGACAAGTGGCCAAGAGAGCTGGGTGTGGTCTGGGATTGAGAGGATGTGGGGTGGAGCAGTTCAGGAAGGTCTAGCTGGAGACGGAGAGGAGACCGGAGGGGAGGTGCAGACACAGCCCGGTGTGGTGGCGCACGCAGGGAGGCTGAGGCAGGAGGACCGTTGTGAGTTCGAGACCAGCCTGGGTTACAAAGTGAGCTCAAGGCCAGCCGGCTCCGGGCCACCTGTGCCCACCCCGGCCTGTGGGAGACTGCGTAGCACCCGGGAGGAAGCCGTGCCCTTCCAGGAGGCCACCACCAGGGCTGGGCATCGGCTTTTGCTTTCCTCAGGGAGAGGCGGCTGGACAGCGCCGCTCCGCCCCTCCCACGGGGTCGGCCTGCCTCAGGAGCCGCCCTGGGCTCTGCGTCGACCCCTCAAGCCCAGCGTCCTTCCAGCGAGTCCAGCCAGGTCTCATCCGCCGCCCAGGCCCACCGCGGCTCGCTGGGCCCCTGACCGCATCTCCTCCTGAAGCCTCAAGGGGGCGCCGAGAGCACCCGGTCCCCCTCTGCTCAGAACCTCCCGCGTCCCTGCCGTCCACCCCCACGCCGCCTACCTGGCTGCAGCCTCGCGGGCCTTCCGGCTGCTCCTGGGATGGTTCCTGCCACAGGGCCGTTGCACCTACCGTGCTCGTTGGTTGTTATGTTCCTCCCCAGGTGATTCCTATCACGTTCACCTTGGTGCTTTCTGGTCTTGTTTATTGTTTTTCTTTTTGTTTTGATTTGTTTTTTGAGACAGGGACCCACTATGTAGCCCAGGCTGGCCTCACTCTCATGACGATCCTTCTACCTCAGCCTCCCAGGTGCTGGGATGACAGGCGTGCACCAGTCATGCATGGTTTCCTGGTTTCAATTTCGCTTTCCAAGTCTTCCCAAGATACTCCAAGTGTGTTAACCCTCATGGCTTGTATTCTCTTTCCTGTCTTATTTTTCTGTTTTATCACTAATGCTTTATTTACTTGACTGGAGATAGAAGTCTCCAGTTTTTTTGTGATGATGATGGTAGTTTTCCTTTTTCTTTTCTTTCTTTTTCTTTTTTTTTTTATACCAAGGTTTCATTTTGCAGTTCAGACGGGTTTTGAACTCATGGAGATCTTCCTGCCTCGGCCTCTCAGGTGCTGGGATTACAGGCGTGTTGTGGGTAGTGGGCAAATGCTCTACTCCTGAGCTATATCCTCAGGCCTTTCAGAATTTTGAGACAAGGGTTCCCTAAGGTGCTCAGCCTCGAATTTGGTTTTTTTTTCTTCTTTTTGTCTTTTTTGAGACAGGGTCTCTCTGTGCAGTTCAGGCTGGCCTTGAGCTCACTTTGTAGCCCAGGCTGGTCTCGAACTCGCAACGATCCTCCTGCCTCAGCCTCCCGAGTGCCGAGATTACAGGCTCGGATTTGTGATACTCCTGCCTCAGTCTCCCCCGCAGCTGGGGTTACAGGCGCAGCATAACTCCTGACTGTGTACTGTCATTGCTGGAGCAGCGCCCCGCCGCAGCGGACGCCCCTAAACCCTGAGCCAGGGATGGAGAGTGGCCCTTGGGCCGCCAGGGGGCTCTCGCCGCGCGCTCCTCCTGCGGGGACCAGAGGACCCTGAGAGGTCAGCGCAGAAAAACCCGCTTGAAAATCACCGGCCAGCGCACGGGATTTTCCCAGAGCCTCGGGGGTGCAGGGACGCCCCGATCGCACTGTGTGATCCGTCCCCGGCGGTTCCGGAGCAGGGATCCTGTGCCCCAGCCCCCCTCAAGCCTGAAGATCCCCATGGAAATTCCTAGGAGCCCCCGCGGGGGTGCGGGACGCGCGCTGGGGACGCGCCGGGATCTCGGGCGCGTCCTCGGGAGGGGACAGCGCATCCCGCCCGCTCCCTTCCTGTTCTGCGGCTCGACCTCGGTGGCCTCGGTCTCCATGGCGACCCCTGCAGCATCCCACAACAGGAAGCCTCGGCGGCGCGGAGACGCGGGGTGCCCCGGCCTCCTTGGGCAGAAGCGGGGTGCTAGGGTCACACGCGCCGCACAATCGTCCTCGCACAGTGGCTGGAACCCCTCTCCTAAACTCTCCCCTCAGAGCCCAGGAGCTGCCTCGGTTTCCCCTGGAAGGAGAGGGCGCCCGCGCGCCGTCTGGGGCTGAGCTGCTGACTCACTTTGCCCGAGGAGCAGGGGAGCAGTCGGGGAGTCCAGGCGTCAGGATCGCTGCCCTTCCTTCCCTTTTTGGGGAACTGCGAGGACGCCCCCGCGGCCGAGCAGAAAGGGGGAAGTGGGGTGCAGGGCAGCCGCACGCAGATTGGCCAGAAGGAGGCCGGGGAACCTTCCCATCCCGGGCTCACTGCGCAGGAGCTGCCCGGGCCCGCTCGCCCGCTTCCCTGGAAACCTCTGTGTCACCCGGGCGGGGCCAGGCCCCTTGGGGGTGGGGGCACTTTCAATGGAGGGCTCCCCAAAAGCCCACCCCACAAGAGGCTGCTGCGCTAACCCTAACAGACTTTCAGGGCTGAGGAGTCAAGATCTGATTTCACGCAGGGTGTGGGGGCGCACACCTGTCACCCCTGCACTCGGGAGGCTGAGGCAGGAGGATGCGCCGGTGGTCCCGGTCAGCCTGGGCTGCGCAGCGAGACCCTGCGTCACAAGCCAAAACCGAAACCGAGACTTGGGTTCCGATCCCTTGACGACTCGGAGCCTCAGTTTACCCTTCAGCAAAATGAACTTAGTGGCCAGCCGGTTGCCCAGCGGGGTGGCCAGTGTCAACGGTGCATCACGGTCACCCAGGCCGGAGGACATGTCTCGTGGCCCGGACGGCCCCCTCATCTCCTCCCTCGGTCACCGCCCCCTACTTCTTCAGCTGGGAAATTCCGGGGCGTCAGGGCCAGCGAGGGAGGACCACCCCGCTCACTGGGCACCCTGGGTCCGGAAATGCCAGAGCCCCAGTTCCGGAGGGGAAGGCACGGGGTTTCCGGGAAGGCGAGAGCGCCGCCCCTGGTCCCCGGCCAGCGTATAAAGGCCGGCGCGCACGCTGCACCCCAGCTGCGCCGAGCCTGCGCCTCCGCCTCTGCTCCGCCCGCCCGCGATGGCTGCGCTGCCGCCCGCGCTGCTCGCCCTGCTGGGCGGCGTCGTCTCAGGTGAGCCGCAGTGGCAGGCAGGGGGCGCACCCGGGGACACCTCCGGGATCGGGGCTGCACCGGGTGGGGGGCCCTTCGCGCACAGGCAGCAGTTCAGGGCGCCATCCGACACTTTTTCTGTGGTTTGCTTCTTTGGGGATCCTCGAAGACCGAGGTCGCACTTTCGGGGTGGCCTCGAACTCGCCCCAGGGCTGGGCTCGTCCCCGGCTGGCGGGCCGCCCGGAGGCAGCTGTGCGGGAGAAGATGAGCCCAGGCCCGGCGTGTCCCGGCCAGCTCCCCGGTGGCCCCGGCGGCTCGCAGAAGGCGCTTTGGGGGGCAAGGGGGGCGCCTCGGCTTCTCCGTTGTAAACCGGGTAGAGGTGCGGTGGCCACCTGCAGAGCTTTGCGTGACGCTGGCGGCCAAGCGCGCCCCCTCCTTGGGGTCCATGGCGTGGGAATTTGTGCCAGCCTCGGGGGCGTGGGTGAGGATTGAGGAACCGCCCTGCCCACGGGTGCTCTGTTCCTCAAGCTCCTTCCCTGGGGAAGTCCGAGCTGCTTCTGCTCCGGGGAATTCCACGAACTTCTTCCTCAAGGGCCGCAAGCTGAGAAAGTGGGCAGTCCCAACCGTCCCCAGCTCTGCCCTCCCCGCTAGAACCGACCAGCTGGGGAAGATGGGGGGCCGAACTCCATTCCACAGGGGGGAACATGGACAGGGCTGTTACCATAACCAAGGATTCGCTTCCCAGCCCCCTGCCTTCCAATTCAGCAGCCACCCCTGTTCTGGCCTCTAGGTTTCCCTCTGTGAAATGGGAATAATTCCAGACTAACACCCAGGGAGCTTCTGGTCAGTGGGGTCATAGACCATCACTTCGGACGGCTAAGCCGAGGACTGGACTCTGCGAGGGGAAGCTAGCTCGGTAGTTTTTCTCCAAGTTGTTTAGTAGTAGTGGTGGCATCAGGAGGCAGCGTCTTGCTATGTTGCTCAAGCTGGTCTCCAACTCCTGGGCTCTAGCAATCCTCTAGTCCCAGCCTCCCCGGCCTCCCACGCTTTGGCACCAACTTATTTTTAAACTCCGCAGGCACTAACGTTGGAGCTCTAACCTAATAATCTTCCTTGTCGGGCCAGGGATTTAGCGCAGTGGCCTAAGCGGCTGCCTTGCAAGCATGAGATCGTGAGTTCGATCCCCCGTACCAAAAAAAAAAAAATCTTCCTTCTCGCCTAGGAAGCAGACATTTGCTACCTGCCCTGTGCTCTGACAGATGGGGAAGTTTAGGCCTGGGAAGGGAGTGGGAACCAGCCTGCTGCCTGCGCTCAGCTCATGTTAGCATCTGACGGTCAGGAGGCTGAGGCGGGAGCTTTGCTGTGAGTGGCCCGGGCTGCACCGCACTACATAGCGAGGAGACCCTGTCTCTAGCTACAGAAAAAAAAAATCTGAATTTTCCCGTGGCTCCCCACTGTCCTTAGAATGCAGAACACATTGGTTGAAGGTTTTTTGCGTGCCAAGGAGCTGCGCCATGGCTGAGCTGCACCCCCAGCCCTCCCCTCCCGCTGGCCCCTCCCTGACTGGCTGGGCACTCGGGGAGTTAGTACTACACCCCTCAGCTCCAGTCACCCGCCTAGGACTCTCACACTTCCTCCTTCCTTTTCCAGGAAACCCATCTTCTCCTTGTCACTAGCCTTTTCCTGTCAATCACAGCTCAGCTCAAATCTGACCCCAAGGAGCCGGGCAGGGCTGCCCACAGCTGGCATCCCAGCTCTCTGGGAGGCTGAGGCAGGAGGATTGAAAGTTTGAGCCCCCTTGGGCAACGTGTCTCAAAATAACAATAAAAAGGGCTAGGTCCATGCAAAGGCCCTGGGTTCCATCCCCAGTCCTGGAAAAAAAGTCTGTCACCAAGATTGTGCAGTCTATAGTCCTGTTTGGTGATCGCCAAAGCTCTTACATCCAGTACTGATGACTGCGCCTTGGGAAGGTTTCTGGCTGTCACCTTGCTCTGTCCAGGGTCAAGGCCGTGCCCGGGACAAGCCCAGGCCGGGCGCCCAGTGCCCTGCGCTGCTGTCAGCTCAACTAAGCCGGCCGCCTCCTCTCCTCACTTCCCTTGCAGTCATGGCCAGTGACCTGCAGGTATCAGTGTCCCCCAGCAAGGCCACCGTGCCCCGAGGAGCCTCCGTCCTGGTGAACTGCAGTTTCTCTGGCTGTGACAGAGAGCAGAATCCGGGCCGGAAACTGGGCCTGGAGACGGAATTGACAAAAGTCGTCGTGGACACGGGGCCCACCTGGCAGCTCTTCAACCTGACGGAGGTCCTCGAAGACAGCCGGCCGCTGTGCTTCCTGACCTGTTCCCCAGAGAGGCAGGCGACAGCCACAGTCTCCCTGACTGTGTATGGTGAGTGGCCAGGGTGGGGTGCTGGCCCGGGAGGTGGACGGGTGGACCCCAGGCCTCGGGCATGCCAGGCTCCACTCCACACCCACCCCCAGGCTGTGCCTGTCCTGTGCAGCCCATGTTCTAAAAAAGAAAGACGTGCTGGGCGTGGTGGCACACGTCTGTCCTCCCAGCACTTGGGAGGCTGAGGCAGGAGGCTCGCTGCGAGTCGAAGGCCAGCCTGGGCTGTGTAGGGAGCTCCGATCTAGCCTGGCTGGAGCACGTAGGGAGACCCTGGCTCCCAGTGAATAAAGAAGAAGAAAAAGGAAATTGCAGGCCTGGGAATGTAGCTCCCTAACGGAGCAAGCCTGAGTCTTTCCCAGCACTAGAAAAAAGAAAAAAAAAATGCAATTTATCATTATTATTTTTTTAAGATGCAATTTCAAACCAGCCCCGGGACAACATTTTTCATATATTGACAACAATCAAGGGAATTGGTAACAGCTGTGCTGGGGTGGGGTCAGTTCTCCAAGAGACTTGTGCAAGTGTCCTCTGTGTGACATAAAAATCCAGTCCCGGGCCCTGGCCAGAGGGGACCTGAAGGGGAGCTGGTCTAACCCGGGGCCCGGTGTGTGCTGGGCAGGGCCCTGTCGCTCAGCGGCTTCCACGGTCCACACCACAGCCGAGTGGGGGGCTTAAGGGTGTAGGGCACTCAGTGTAGGGCCGGGCGGAGGAAGGGCCCTCTGGCCATCATCCCAGGGGAAAAGGAGTGCTTGCTTTGCGTGTGGGGCGAGGCGCTCCGAGGTGTGCCAGGCCTTGGAAAGAAGAAAAATATGCTGGGCATGAGTGGCATGCCACTTCTGCCTTGGCAGGTGCCAGAGGCCGGGGCGGGGGGGCTTTCTGTTTGCCCTTAGAGCCCTGGCCGGGTGCGGTGGCTCATGTCTGCCATCCCAGTGCTCAGGGGGCTGAGGCAGGAGGATCGAGGTGAGTTCGAGGCTAGCCTGAACTACATAGAGAGATCTCGTCTAAAAACAAAAACAAAAACAAAAAAACAGAAACCTTAAAAGAAAACTCTGGAAATGACAGTCGGCTTGGGTGCACATGTGGCCTTGGGAGAGTACAGGGAGGGAATTTCTCTGCTTTGAGGATTTTTGAGCTTTGAAAATTTTGTTACCAAGGCAAAAAAAAAAAAATCACAACAGAACAAAGTAAGACAAAACTCAGGGAATTAAAAAACAGAAAAGTGGAACTGGTATTATAGGACTATAATCCCAGCACTCGAGAAGCTGAGGCAGGAGGATCCCAAGTGTAAGAGCAGCCTGGGCTAGTTAGTGAGACTCTATCTCAAAATTTCAAACACTAATAATAAAGGGGCTGGGAATGTGGCTCGGTGGAAAGCCCCAGCTCCCATCCCCAGTACAAACAGCCACCACGGTACCTGGCCAAGCAGTGTGTCAGACCTCAGTCTTCAGGCAGCTTGGTGACTGATTCATAGGCAGACCGGGCAAGGAAGTCCCCAAACATTCCTGGTAGCTTGTGAAAACCCCCGGAGAAATCTGTGTCAAAGATTTCCCACCTCTCTGAATGGAACGCTAATGCTCCGGATTGGGGTGCTGGCCTGTTGCATCTCTGCCTCTGTGGTGCTGGGGGTCTTCTGTGTTGCCTCTCTTCATGACATGGAGCAGAGAGCTGGCCCACAGTAACCGGGAGCGTGGGGAGGTGACTACAGGGGGTGTTTTGAGTGATGTGTAGGAGTTTGAGACGGTGGGTGTTCTGGGTGGAGAAGCAGAAGGAAATTTTGAAGTTGGAAAGTGTCCTGACGGGGACACAGCAGAAACTGACCATCAAGAGGGAGGTGAGGCTGGAGGTGAGGGGCTGGGCCCTCCCTTCCTTGGTGTAATAGACGGCCGTAGAGGGTTTTTGAGTAGGCCTCGTATTTAGATAGATTAAGCTGGACTTTCAGGAAGCCCGGAGCCAGCTGGGCATGGACCTAGTCCAGGCTACACATGCTGTCCCAGATGTGAGGGGCAGATAAATATTTGAAGAATGGTGCCCCAGGTGAGGGAGGAAGATGTGGGGTGAGGGGGAGGGCAGTGCAGCCCTCCCCACGCCGGTCCAGCAGGAGGGGGCTGGGCTCAGCGTGCAGCTGGGTTCTATTTTGAGGTTGGGGTTTGAGGGGGCCTCAAATGCTGCAAGTTGGATTTGCAGAAGTGTTTAGAGCTACTCACTAGGCCGCTGAGGTCACTCGACCTTTCAGCTATTGTTTTAAATAGCTTTAGGGAGATGTGAGTTGCACACCACAAAACTCACCCTGTCAGGGCTGGGAGCGAGGCTCAGAGCAGGCACTTGCCTGTAGTTCCAGCCTCTGGGAGGCTGAGGCAGGAGGATGGCCATGAGTTCAAGGTCAGCCTGGGCTACAAGGTGAGTTCAAGGCCAGCTTGAACTACAAAAATAAATCAATATTAAAAGTAAACAGAGGCTGAAGGTGGAGCTCAGTGCAAAGATTCTGATTCAATTCCCCTATAGCACAAATTTAAAAGAAATAGTATCTTGGGCCAGGGGTTTAGCTCACGCCAGGCGAGTGCTCGCCCCCAACTGCATCCCCAGCCCACGGGGGTTTTCTTTTAAGCAGTGCCTGGCAGGGCGAGCTACCGCCCACTGTGCCCATTCAAGCAGGTGCCTGGGTCAGGCTTTGAAATGCTTTCGCACTCCTCAGCCACTGCTGGGGCCAATGAGAATGTTCGCGCCCTTCACACCGTCCTGCGGTCCCCCCAAGGTCTGGTCCCCCCAAGGTCTCGCCATCCACATCTGCTTAGGTGGGGGAGGGGCGTGGCCTTGCAGCTAGAGGGCCTTCGGCTTACGGGACGCTCACTGTCCCTGGTGTCCCCTCAGCCTTCCCTGAGCACGTGGAGCTGGAACAACCCCTGCAGCCCTGGTACCCTGCCGGCGAGAGCGTCACCCTGCGCTGCCGCGTGGCAGGCGGGACACCCCGGGACCGGCTGGCCGTGGTGCTGCTGCGGGGCCAGGAGGAGCTGAGCCGGCAGCAGGTCGTCCAGGGAGGGGGCCAGCGGGCGTCCAGCCAGCAGCAGGTCATCGGGGAGCCCGAGGAGCCCGTGGAGTCCGTGGAGTTCACTGTACCGGTGGGCAGAGGCGACCACGGAGCCAACTTCTCGTGCCGCACGGAGCTGGACCTCCGACCCGAAGGCCTAGAGCTGTTTGTGAACACCTCGGCCGCCAGGCAGCTGCAGACATTTGGTGAGGCGCTGGGGAAGTGGAGGGAGGGCTCCCCGGCCTCTGCGGGGCTGAGAGGGTGGTTGGTGATGATGGAAACCGCTGAGACTCAGGAAGGAACGGTCGCTGGGGTCCGAAATGGGGTGTGCTGCCAGGTGTGGTGGCGCACTCATCGGGAGGCTGAGGCAGGAGGATCTCTGCATGTTCTTAGGCCAGCCTGGGCCACAAAGTGAGCTCCAGGCCAGCCTGAACTGCACAGCGAGGCTCTTGGGAGAGAAAGTTCCAGAATGAAAATGTCGCAGAAGGGAACTGCGGGAGGTCCCTTCCTCTGTGCTCACGCTCACCCTCCCTCCCCAGTCCTGCCAGCCACCCCTCCAGAACTTGTCACCACCAGGACCCTGGAGGTGGGCACCCGGCAGCAGGTCACCTGCTCGCTGAGTGGGCTGTTTCCCGCCTCGGAGGCCAAGGTCCACCTGGCGCTGGGGGACCTCCAGCTGAATGCCACAGTCACATACCACGATGACTCCCTGACCGCCTCGGCCTGGCTGGAGGCGACTGCGCAGGAGGAGGGCGACCGGCAGCTGGTGTGTGCCATCCTGCTAGGGAACCGCAGCAGAGCGTCCCGGAGCAAACTGATCGTCTACAGTGAGAGCAGGGCTGGTGGGCGGGGCTCTCTGGGCGTGGTCTTTGTTAGGGGCGGACTTAACTGTAGCCCCGCCTCCAGGCTTCCAGCGCTGTAAGAAACTATCTAGAAGCATGCAGGGGGCTTTGTGTGCATAGGGAGGTGGAGCATACCCATGATCCCAGCACTCGGGAGGCTGAGGCAGGAGGCTCGCTGGGAGTTCAAGGCCAACCTGGGCTACAGAGTGAGCCCAAGGCCAGTCTGAACTACATTGTGGGACCTTCCCTCCCGCAGAAAAACATCAAAACAAGAAAAAGAACCTATGTACGGTTGGTGAAGTGTGGGTGGGGCTATCGGTGGGTGTGGCTGTGGGCGGGGCCTTTACTAAGGGCGGGGCTCGCCGCATGCCCCGCCTCCAGGCTTTCCCGAACCGGTCCTGACGCTGAATGCCACCGAGGTCTCTGAAGGGGATGTGGTGATGGTGAACTGTGAAACGCACTCTGGCGCCATTGCAACACTCAGTGAGGGCACAGCCGTGCTACCGGCCCCCCACTTGCTGCTGAAGGCCAGAGCTGAGGATAACGGCCGTCGCTTCTTTTGCTCTGGGGCCCTGAAGGTGGCCGGGAAAGTGCTGTACAAGAACCAGACCCAGCAGCTCGCCGTCCTGTGTGAGTGGCACTGCCCGAGCCCTGTGTCCTGAGCCCACCCCCGGGCCCGCTGTGCCCGCGGCCCCCGACCTGACCCCGGTCCCCCTCCTGCTGTCCCTCAGATGGCCCCCGACTAGACGAGAGCAGCTGCCCCAGGAACTGGACCTTGCCAGAGGGGTCCCAGCAGACCCTGAGGTGCCAGGCCTTGGGGAACCCACCCCCCCAGCTCCGGTGTCACCGCAGGAGCGACAATGCTTCGCTGCCCATCGGGAGCCCGGGACCTGTCAGGCGGGAGCTGGAGGGCACCTACGTGTGCCGGGCCGTGAGCTCCCGCGGGGAGGCCACCCGGGAGGTGCTGGTGACAGTTCTCTGTGAGTACCACCATGGCCAGTGTGCGGGGCTGGGTGGGGACCGTGGGCAATGAACCCTGCTCAGTTCTCACCCCCTGCCCCGTGTCTGCCCACAGACGATCAGGGTAAGATGATCATCGTCATTGCGCTGGTGACCATAGCAGGCATCGTGGGCTTTGCAGCCTTAGCCGCGTATTTATATAACCGGCAGCGGAAGATCAGGGAATACAAGCTACAAAAGGCAGCCCAAACCCTGCTACTGAAGCCCAAGCTACCGCTGCCAGAGCCCGGACCAAACCCAGTTCCCCCACAGCAGCAGCAGCAGCAGTGCTGAACTGAACTGAACCCTTGACATGCACCTTGCAGCTCTGCACACCTCCTCGGGTGACAGAGGACAGGATGGAGGCCTCAGGTGGCATTTGGGATCCTGGCGTCGGCACGAGTGGGGTCCCAGGGCTGTGCAGCTGACCTGTAGCCCTGGGACTGAGCGTAAAAGCGAGAAGCCTGGAGAATGAGGCTGGGCATGAGAACCCCAGCATTCTGGAGTCGGATCACCACAGGTCTGAGGCCAGCCTGAACTGCATCGTGAGACCCTGTGTCAAAGCAAACAGAAAGCCTTGGGCATGTCTGTGGTGGATGTTGAAGTCCGGCCTGGACATAGGGGCAGTGACAGAGACACCAGCCTGTGGTTTTATGGACCAATAGCCAGAAAATGTGGAAACTCCCTCCCTGTTGGATGTGCAGAGGCCCCACAGCCCTAGGAGGAGTCACCTGCACGGATCCATACGTGGAGCACTGAAACACAGATGCGCTTGCTTCCTGTGGGAGATGCCAGCTCTGGTACTACTGTCCGTTAACCGTGCCCAACTCTTGCCAATGATGTATTTATTATGTTTTTTATTTTTTTAAACTTTTATAAAAAGTTTTTATAAATTGGCTGTGTCCTGGGTACGTTTTAGGAAGGCTAAGATGGTGACCAATGATGTGAATAGAGCGGTTCCTGCCCTCACAGAGCGCACTCAATATCATACATTCACAGTTGCCAGGTACAGTTTAGCAGGCTGTGCACTGCACAAGCGCACCTGGCAAAAACTTTAAGTGGATCTAAGATTTTTCCCTCTGTTGGTCAAGCTGCGTTCTCTCCAAAGGGTATTCTTTCTACTTTTCTATTGGGCACTAGTCCTGGCTACTAGTTCATTAAGCCCTTACTATCCCTCTTCCAATACTGGACTGTTAGTCACCTTCCCACCCACAACCATTTGTGCCAGCATTCCTGACACTGTGACAGTGTCCAAATATCATGCCGACCCCGGCGGTTAAGTCATGGAATCCCTTGGAATGGAAGCCTTGACCTGGAGCCAGTAAAGCACCTCCCACCCCACCCCCTGGCCTGGACCTCCGTGGGTGTGGGCAGGGGGCAGGGGTCCCATCCGGTGGAGCTGTTTCCAGCCACCTAACCCTAACCTTGACCTCCCACTTCCTTCCCCAGTAAAAGCTGCCGCCTGGCCCAATCCTGAGGCTGCGGCCAGATCCGAGGCTAAAGCCCTGACCTGCTACTGCGGTGAAAACGAAAGATCCTGGTTCAAAAGAATAAAATAATATGTGGTTGACAACAGTGTCCTGAATCTCATTCTGGGTCGGAGGAAGCAGAGCTGGTGTCCACTGTGGGACTCCCGAGTCCTCTGGGGGGGGCCCCTGGCCCTCTGGGGCGGGCCTGGAGAGGCGGAGCTGCGGGGCCTCCTTATCGCCTGAGCCAGCTCCTGCTCCCTGGCGCCAGGTCCCTTTTTGGGGTCTCTTTGCCATGAGGTCTCTGCTTCTCCTGTTGCTGCCCCCTTTGCTGGTGGCCGCCTACCCGGTAGGTGGGAGCGCGTGGACGCCTCAGGCTGAGCTGTTGCAAACCCCCAACCCCAGCCCCAGCCCCAGCCCCAGGCCCAGGCCCAGCCCCAGCCCCAGGCCCAGGCCCAGGCCCAGCCCCAGCCCAGGACCCGGCCCCGGCCCCGGCCCCAGCCCCAGCCCCAGCCCAGGCCCCGGCCCCGGCCCCGGCCCCAGCCCAGGCCCCGGCCCCGGCCCCAGCCCTCCCGCGCCCTTGGGAGCCTCAGTGCCCTTCTGGGTGCGTCTGAGCCCGAAGCTGGTGGAGGTGGCCCCGGGTCACTCCGCCTGGCTGAACTGCAGCACGAGCTGCCCCCTGCCGGAGAGACCCAGCTTCTTCACCGACCTGCGGCTCGGCCGCACGGCCACCGGGCCGGGCTGGGTGTCCTTCGAGGTGGTGAATGTGACGGCCTGGACCTCCATCGTGCGCTGCTCCGCCACCTGCGCGGGGAAAACGCGCCAGACGGCGGCGAAGATCAACACTTACAGTGAGGACGGCGACCCGGGCCGGGCCGGGCGGGCGGGCGGGGGAGGGCAGCGCCGGCTGGCCGCCGCTAGGGGGCGCGCGCGGGCCCGTCTCAGGGGCTCCCCTCTCGCCTTAGAGCGGCCACGCAGCGTGATCCTGGAGCCGCAGGCCCTCGTGGGCGGCCGCTACACCCTGCGCTGCTATGTGACACACCTGTTCCCCGTGGGCTTGCTGGTGCTGACCCTGCGACGTGGCGGCCGGATCATGTATTTTGAACGCCTGGAGCGCTTCAAAAGCCTAGATCTGGCCAACGTGACCCTGACCCACACGTTTCACGCCAGGCCCAGAGACCTCTGGCAGCCCATGACCTGCCACGCGCGCCTCAATCTCAGCGGCCTGGTGGTGTACAGCAGCTCGGCACCTGTCATCCTGACAGCCCTGGGTGAGGCCCTCTGTGATCCTGGGGACTTGGGGACTGTGTGTGTGTGTGTGTGTGTGTGTGTGTGTGTGTGTGTGTGTGTAGTGCACAGATCAGAGTGTAACTGGCATCAGACGATTTCCTGGATTTCTAATTCTCCACCTCCTGCTCCCAGATTGGAGCCCTGAGTCCAAAGCCTTGGCCTACACATCCATTGCGGCCTTCGTGGGGATCCTTCTAGCACTGGGGGTCACCTTCCTGAACAGATGCCTAGCAACGCGACATACAGGGAAGTGCTCTGCCGGCTGAGAGCAAGGGAAAAAAAATCTGGAACAATTTGCAATTCGGAAAACTGCTCAGACCAATAAAGATTCCCCTTGGCTTTTGCTATGCCCTGGCCTCATGATCCTTGGAAGAAAAAACAGCCTCCTTTTTAATCAGCTTTCTCCAAATTTCTGCCTCCTTCAGGACATCAGAGTTTGTCCCTGAGGGCCCACTGGCTCAGAGTCCCCGAGTCCCAGTCCTTCTGCGTTTCCAGCGGGTGCAGTGAAACTTCACTTTTTGCTGCCTTTATCGGCGGGGTGCAGATGGGCAAAGCAGGGGCCTTGGAAGACGCTGGGCCCTGGGAGGGCGGGTTTATGGTATGGTTATTCTTGATTGGCTCTGCCGCAGCCACACAGTAACTCTGATTGGTTGTTAACTTTCTTTTCCACTCCCATCCCCACTCACTTTTTTTTTTAGTACCGAGGCTTGAATTTAGGACCTTGCACTTGCCAGGCAGGCGCTTATGCCGCTGAGCTAAATCCCACCTCCACCTTGGACCGGGGGGCCTTCCGGAGCGCCACCCCGCGGTGGAACAAGAACGCATCCCTATAGTTCACACTGAACCACAAGGGGCGAGGTAGCCACGTAGGGACAGCGAGAAAGAGATAGTCAGATGGCCCACGAGGGATGTCACAGGCTCGCGTCAGGGTAGCGAGCTTGCTGGCAGTCGTCCGGGCAGGTGGGCGCATGGAGAGAGTGGGTGGTAAAGCTTGGAGTCCAGATGCGGGGTCTAAAGGGTCACAGCTGGTCTCTTGGTCTCGCGTGGCTGCAGAATCGAGGCTCACACGGGAGGCCGGAGCCGGGTTCGCCGAGCGCACGACGCGCTCCGAGGCGCTCGGGAGAGGAAGGCGCTCCCCCGCGCCTAGACGCTTGCCCGCTGCACGCTGGGTAAATGCAGACCCCGAGTCGAGCCGACTCTAATTTAGACACCCGCGAAGGCTGCGCGCATGCACACGTGTCCCCGACTCGCTGGCACTTTGGTCCCCGCCTCCTCCATCGCGTGCGGGAGCTGAGCCGGAGAAGGACCCGGGGTGTGGCTGTAAGCCTGGGCTCCCCCTCCCCGTTCACCAGGACGAGGAGGCGTACCCCCTCCCAAGCTGCGCTCCCCTAGAACTCCTCTCGCCCCCAAATCAATCTCCGCCCTAAGGGGCGCGCTGCTGGGAGGAGCTAAGGAGAGGGGCGGAGCCTGGGGTCCGGCACGGATTCCGAGCCTCCGTGCACGGGTGGGGGGGTCTGGGCAGGGCAAGCCAGCATCCCCCCACCTCCGCGTCGCGGCCGGGGATGACGCGGGAGAGCGTGGTCGCCCCCAGAAGGCTGCAGGCGATCGAGCTGACCTCCGCGTAGACTCCGGGGGTCGCTCGCTCTCAGCCTTCCCCAAGGCCGGGAGCCCGGCGCGCGCGCGCCTCCCGCACCCCCCTCCCCGCCGCCACCGCCGCCGCCGCCGCCTCTGCCGCCGCCCCCTCCTTGGAAACCAAGTTACCAACGTTTAAACCAATCCCCGGGCGCAAGCCGGCCTCCCCCACACTCCACCCGCCGCGCCGCGCCGTCCTCTAGCCCGGCTCGTCACTCGCGCTCCCCTCGCCTCCTGCGCTTCCCCCGCGGCGGCGATGCCAGGGCCTTCGCCGGGGCCGTGCCGGGCGCTACTCGGCCTCTGGGCTGCCCTGGGCCTGGAGATCCTCCGCCTCGCAGGTAAGAGCGCTCCGGCCGCGCAGGGCGGGGACGGCGCTGAGGGACCCGGGCGGCTGCCCCGCGCCCCTCCCAGCTCCGCCCTCTGCTCGTCCCACGCTTCTGCCTTCACCCGGAGCCGCGTCCTCGTCGCTGTCTCCCTCCTACACACACGGAGACCCAGCTCCCCAACTCCCGCTTTCCTGGGGCGCTACCTATTTCCTGGGAGATCCAGGTGTTCTGCGCCCAACCGCGCGCCCTGGAGGCCCTGGAGCGCCCCCGTCCCCTCCCCGGGGGTCCCCTCCCGCTCCGCGGCGCACCGTGGTCCACGGACACCCGTCCCCTCCCGCCCCCCTGCGATGCGCAGAGACCCCCATCTAGAGCCCCAACTAATGTGACTCAGGGGCGCTGTTCCCGCTCCACCCTGAGCCCTGGCAACCAGGTCCCCCGGCGGTTCCCGCGGGTCCTTTCCCGAGTCCTGCCCCGAGTCTCCTTTCCACGTTCTTTACCCACATCTGGGGACCTCGCTTGACCCTGACTCCTCTCTTCTTTGCCTGCGCCCCCGTCTCAGCCTCCCCCTCGCCTGGTCATCTTCCAGGACCTCAGGACCAGGCTCGGTCCCCATCCCCCATCAGCAGTCCCCTCCTCCCAGCCTTGCTGTGCGCACCCCAGACCCCAGCTCCCCGCTCCTCTCTCCCCTCCCCCATACCCCTACCACCTCCTCGGAGCCTTGGGGGCCAGGGCCGACTCCGTGGCAGAGTGCCAGCCTCGAGGAGGTCCGGACTCGGAGAGCAGCTCCAAAGCCGAGGCCGAGGCGGGCCGTGGGACTCCTGGGTTCTTTGCGCACCGCGGTCCTCGGGGGTCCTGGGGAAGCCCTGCCTTCAGCGAGGGGCGCCGAGATCTCAGGGAGTTGGCTCCCCAGGCTGAGCCCGCGTTTCCCCGGGCAGCGGTCGCGCAGGAGCCCTTCTGGGCGGACCTGCAGCCCCGCGTGGCGCTCGTGGAGCGCGGGGGCTCGCTGTGGCTGAATTGCAGCACCAACTGCCCTCGGCCGGAGCGCGGTGGCCTGGAGACCTCGCTGCGCCGCAACGGGACCCAGAGGGGCTTGCGCTGGCTGGCGCGGCAGCTGGTGGACATCCGTGAGCCCGAGACCCAGCCTGTGTGCTTCTTCCGCTGCGCGCGGCGCACGCTGCAGGCGCGCGGGCTCATCCGCACTTTCCGTGAGTTCTGCGTGGTCGCGCCCCGCCCCCGGACCTCGGGGTCCTCCCTTTCGGGCTCCACCCACCGGGTCACCAAGCCCCGGAGTCTGAGCTTGTAGACTCCCCAAGGTGTAGCGTTTCCAAAAACAGCGGTTCCTTCCCTCGCAGAGAAACCGGATCGCGTCGAGCTGGTGCAGCTCCCTGCCTGGCAGCCTGTGGGAGAGAACTTCACCCTGAGCTGCAGGGTCCCGGGAGCCGGACCTCGCGGGAGCCTCACACTGACCCTGCTGCGGGGCGCGCAGGAGCTCATCCGCCGGAGCTTTACGGGGGAACCGCCCCGAGCGCGGGGCGCGGTGCTCACGGCCACGGTGCTGGCGCGCAGGGAGGACAACGGCGCTAATTTCTCCTGCCGCGCGGAGCTGGACTTGCGGCCGCACGGCCTGGGGCTGTTTGAAAACACTTCGGCGCCCAGACAGCTCCGCACCTTCGGTGAGTGGCATCGGGAGCCCCAAGTGAGACTGGGCGGAGCTGGAAGCAGTTCAGAGGCCCGTGCATCTGAATGCTGATCCTTACTCCGACAAACAGCAGCTGGCTTGCTTCGCCTCTGTGCCTTCGGAATGGTGTTACAAGATGTGCATGTTAAGGGCTTAGTACATAGTGAGTGCTCAGTATAGATTCAAATGCTGAGGTGGGCGTGGTGGCGCAGGCCTGTAATTTCAGCGCTCAGGAGGCTGAAGCAGGAGCATCGCTGTGAGTTGACGACTGCCTGAGGTACCTAGTGAGTTCAAAACCAGCCTGGAATACATACATGTCTCAAAAAGCAACAATAATATGATGATAATAAGTCCAAGCTCTGCTCTTCCACCCTTAGCCCTGTCTCCAGAGCCCCCGCGTCTCCATGGTCCCCGGCTCTTAGAAGTGGGCTCAGAATGGCCAGTGAGCTGCACCTTGGACAAACTCTTTCCCGCCTCTGAGGCTGGGGTTTCCCTCGCGCTGGGGGACCAGAGGCTGAATCCTGATGTCACCCTCGAGGGGGACACCCTCACAGCCACTGCCACAGCCACCGGTATCGCTGAGCAGGAAGGTTCCAGGCAGCTGGTCTGCAACGTGACCCTAGGGGGCGAAAGTCGGGAGGCCCAGGAAAACGTGACAGTCTACAGTAAGCGGGAGTGGGCGGGGCCTCGGCGGCTGGGGTGGGACCAGAGGGATGAGTGGGCGGGGCCAAACAGTGGGCGGAACAGGGAGTCTGTCAGGGGCTAAGCAGAGGATTAGCCAGTGGCTGAGGGGGCGGAGCCTGAGGGGCGGGGCCTCGGTTTGTTCGAAGCTGTGAGAGGTTCGGGCGGAGATGGGGCGGAGGTTGGCCGGTAGAGGGGCGTGGTCGGGAGGACTCGTGCCAGTGCTCCGCCCCCAGGCTTCCCCGCACCACTGCTGACTTTGAGCGAGCCCAGCGCCCCAGAGGGGCAGATGGTCACAGTAAATTGCACTGCGGGGACGCAAGCTCTGGTCACCCTGGAGGGAATTCCAGCTGCAGCACCGGGACAGCCTGCCCAGCTCCAGTTCAACGCCACTGAGAACGACGACGGACGTGGCTTCTTCTGCTCTGCCACCCTCGAGGTGGACGGGGAGACGCTTAGCAAGAACGACAGCGCCGAGCTGCGCGTGCTCTGTGAGCTGGCGACCTCGGAGGACCTGCCGGGCCCCTGACCCTGTCGGGGAGGCGGGGCGATCCTTCATTCGCCACCGCTAGCCTGTCGGACCCTTGTCCGCAGATGCCCCCCGGCTGGACGACTCCGATTGTCCCCGAAGCTGGACGTGGCCTGAGGGCCCGGAGCAGACGCTGCGCTGCGACGCCCGAGGGAACCCGGAGCCTTCGGTGCACTGCGCGCGGCTGGACGGCGGGGCGGTGCTGGCGCTGGGCCGGCCTGGTCCGGTGACGCGCGCGCTGGCGGGCACCTACCGCTGCACGGCGGCCAGTGCGCAGGGCGCGGCCGTCAAGGACGTGACGCTGACCGTGGAGTGTGAGTGGGGCGTGAACGGGCGCGTCGCTTTTGCGGTCTCAGGGACTGCAGATGGTGGGGGCCTTGTAAGAAGTTGCAAACCTGTAGCCAGGCATGGTGGCTTCTGAAGCCTGTCATTCCTGCACTTGGGAGGCTGAGACAGAAAGGTCGCTGGGAATTCCAGGCCAGTTTGGCTACAGAGCCAGGCCATGTCTCAGAAAGCAAAGAAAGAACAAAGTTTCAAAAACAGTTAGCATGGGCTGGGGATTTAGCTCAGCGGCATAAGCGCCGGCCTGGCAAGTGTGAGGTCGTGAGTTCGATCCCGGGTACCCCCCCCCAAAAAAAAAAAAAAACAATCAACCAAAAACAGTTTAGTAAGAGTCCGAAGTAGTGGCTAGCGTACTGGCCCACTGAGGGAACAGTCTGCCCACCTCTTCCTGGCGGTCCTGGGGCACAGGGGGAACATCAGATCGGTCCCCCAAATCAGCGCCACACATCCCATTCCAGACGCGCCGGCGCTGGACAACGTGGGCTGCCCAGACCGCATGACTTGGGTGGAGGGAACCGAGGCATCGCTGAGCTGCGTGGCGCGTGGGGTCCCGGCCCCCAACGTGAGCTGCGTGCGCTCCGGCGAGGCCGACGCGGTGGAGGGGCTGCTGCGCGTGGCCCGGGAACACGCAGGCACCTACCACTGCGAGGCCACCAACGCGCGAGGCTCTGCAACCAAAGCTGTGGCCATCACTGTGGAGTGTGAGCAGGAGCGTCTCGGGCCACCCCAGCCGGGACTCCTGTCTGTCCTCTTGTGACCCCGGCTCCCCGCTTTGCAGATGGCCCCAGCTTTGAGGAGCCAGGCTGCCCCAGCAACTGGACATGGGTGGAAGGATCCGGGTCGCTGTTCCCCTGCGAGGTGGATGGCAAGCCACAGCCCAGCGTGGAGTGCGCAGGCTCGGAGGACGCCAACCAGGGGGTGATGCTGCCCCTGGTCTCCTCCAGACCCGGCCCCCGGGGACCCCCTCTCTCTAGCGACCTGCCACCCGGGGTCTACCTCTGCAATGCCACCAACCCCCACGGCTCCTCGGTCAAAACTGTGGTCGTGAGCGCGGAGTGTGAGCGGGGTCCGGGTGGGCGGGAAGGAGGGAGTGATCCCCGAGTGCGTCCCCCTGATCCCTTCCCGGCTGCTTTGCAGCGCCGCCACACATGGACGAGGCCACCTGCCCCAGTCACCAGACGTGGCTGGAAGGGGCTCAGGCTGCCGTGCTGGCCTGCTCGGCCCGGGGCCGCCCGTCCCCACGCGTGCGCTGCCTGCGTGAAGGCACGCCCCGGCTCGAGCGACCGCGCGTATCCCGGGAAGATGCAGGGACCTACCGCTGTGAGGCCACCAATGCGCACGGCACGGACTTCCGGACCGTCACCGTGGGCGTGGAATGTAAGGGGGGCGCAGGATGGACGGCCCTCAATACAGGGAAAAGGGACTTGCGGGGTGGCAGAGCCCAAGGCAGCTGAGGGCACCTCTTCTGGTCCCAGTCCTGGGGAGGAGGAATCCAGGCCTCAACTTGGGGCTCATGGAAAGTCCGGGGAGCAGGAGCTCAGCCGGCTCAAGACAGTGGGCAGGTCTCATCCTCCGATGAGTAAGAAGGTCACGATTTTTTAATTCAGTTTTTGGGGGAGGTTACCGAGAACTGAACCCAGGGCCTTCACATTGAGTTACATTCCCAGCATTAATTTTTTTTTTCTTTGAGACAGGATCTTAATAAGTCACAGGTTAGACTTGAACTTGCAACCCTCCTGCCTCGGCCTCCCAGAATTCTAGGATTATTGGTGTGCACATACACACCGGTCTGGGTAGAACTCTTTTTTTTTTTTTTTTTTTTGGTATTTTTGAGACAGTATCTCAGTGCAGCTCAGGCTGGCCTTGAGCTCACTTTGTAGCCCAGGCTGGTCTCAAACTCGAAAAGATCCTCCTGCCTCAGCCTCCCGAGGGCTGGGATTCCAGGGCTGCGCCACCACGCCCAGCTGGGGTAGAATTTTTGTCTCCCACCATAGGCTGGGGGGTGCCTGTCTGAGAAGGGGTGGTCTCTGATGGACTGTTGTGGGTCAGTGGGACTTGGTCAGCTGTGACCTTTCACCTCTGTCCCTGCAGACCGGCCTGTGGTGGCCGAGCTGGCTGCCTCCCCATCCAGCGTGAGGCCCGGCGGGAACTTCACCCTGACCTGCCGCATTGAGGCGTGGCCTCCGGCGCAGATCAGCTGGCGTGCGCCCCCGGGGGCTCCCAACATCGGTCTGTCCAGCAACAACAGCACGCTGAGCGTGGCGGGCGCCGTGGGCAGCCACGGCGGCGAGTACGAGTGCGCGGCCACCAACGCGCATGGGCGCCACGCACGGCGCATCACGGTGCGCGTGGCCGGTAAGTGGCAGCCCAGACAGTGGCTCTGAAGAGGGGTGAGACCTGAGTCTTGGGCTCTGACCCCGCCTCTGACTGTCACCCCAGATGACATCAGAGTAAGTAGAGTAGTGATCAAGGGAAGGGAGCCAGGTGCACGCCTGGCATCCACACTTGGGAGGCTGAGGCAGGAGGGTCACCATGCATGCACGGCCAGCCGGGGCTGCGTGGTGAGACCCTGCCTCAAAACCAAACCATATCAAAAGCGGGGGGCAGGGTGCTGGGGCTACAGCTCAGCAGCCCTGCGCCCGGCCGGCAAGCCCTAAGTCCTGAGTTCGATTCCTGATGAAAACCCCTCCGAGTGGGAGGTGGGACCTGTGACCCAGCCCCAGGCCGCGCTGCCTCCGTGGAAGGAGGGTTGGAGCAAGCCCAGGGCAGCCGGGGCTCCGTGCACATCCCTCCCGGCTAAGTCCCCCGGCCCGGCTGGGGGCCTCGGCGCGCTGACTCGGCTGTCCGTCTGTCCGTCCGCCCTCCCGCAGGTCCCTGGCTGTGGGTCGCCGTGGGCGGCGCGGCGGGGGGCGCAGCGCTGCTGGCCGCGGGCGCGGGCCTGGCCGTCTACGTGCGCTCCACCGCGTGCAAGAAGGGCGAGTACAACGTGCAGGAGGCCGAGAGCTCGGGCGAGGCCGTGTGTCTCAACGGCGCGGGCGGCGGCGCCGAGGCGGGGGACCGGGCGGCCGAGTCCCCGGCCGAGGAGGGCGAGGTCTTCGCCATCCAGCTGACGCCCGCCTGAGCTGCGCCCTCCCCGCGGGCCGGGGCGCCCCACTGCCAGAGGGGCTGATCACTGCGCTATTTATTTATTTATTTATTCAACTCTAGGGGCGTCGCCCCATTTTCTACCCGGCTCCCCCAATAAAGTTTTTATAAAGGACCCGGGTTCTTCTAGGTTTCTGGGGGGCACTGGGGATTGGACACGTTCCCAGCCCCCCACATTAACGGATACACGTGTTCCTGAGAGACGGGGCTGGGGGGGGTCCTCGCTATGTGGCCCAGGCTGGCCTCGATCTCGTGGCAATCAACTACCGGGCTGCGGGCTCTGAAATGTGGACGGTGTGGGGAATTTCCAGCTTGAGCATAACCCATCCCCCCAAAAGTTTCTGTTTTACAAATTTATTTAAGAGTCCGCTATGCGGCGGGCACACTCCGAGCCATCTGCGCCCTGTGACCCTTTGCTGGCCGCCGACCCCGGTTCCTGCAGTCCTGGACCCCGGGCAGGGCCTGCGGTGCCCACTTCCTCCTCCCCGCCTGTCTCTTCCGCCCAGCGATGCCCTCTGCCCCCAGCTCTGGGCAGCGGGACTTCAGGTGCTTTCCCCGGGCCTGGTTACCAGCAAAGCCTGGCTGGGCTGTCCCGACAGGCGGGGGCCCTTGGGGGGTCCCAGGTGACTATGATGGTCGCTTTCAGGATGTCTCTGCCAGCGAGGCACACACCCCGGCCCACCCTCAGTGCCTCAGTTTACCCCCACTGCCTTTCCACTGGGGATGCATGATGTGATCTGGAGCACAGACGCGGCATCACCACCCCTCCGCCAAAGGCAGAAGGAGAGAACAGCTGGGCCTCCACCCCCTCCTGCTCCTCTGCTCCTCAAAAGCAGAACACTGGGTCCCAGAAAAGGAAGTCGGCCGGCAGCTCCGAGGCACATGGGCTGCTGGGCGGACAACAGGCAAAGATGGGGACAGGAAATGGGGGGAAGCCCCCACCGCAGCTGGGGTTGAACCCAGGCCCTTCGATACCAGGCAGGTGCTCTACCTCTGAGGTACCTCCCAGCTGTCCTGGGAGCCCACAAAATCCTGCCTGCCACCGGGCCTTTGCCTTCGCTGTGACTGTTTTTTTTTTTTTTTTTGGTCTTTTTCCTTTTTTCGGTACCAGGGATCGAACTCACGACCGCCTGCTTGCAAGGCAGGCGTTATGCCACTGAGCTAAATCCCCAGCCCCTGTTCTGTTTACCAGCACGTGCACCCACTGGGGTCTGACACATAAAGTCGTTGGTCAACAAATGGAGAAAAACAGCCGTGTGTTTACAGACGCAGTCAGAAAGTTTCACATGTTGAATGTGCAGTCTTGCTAAGCTGCTCGCCCCATGCGTGCTGTGCGTGCCTGTGATCCCAGCACTCCTGGAGGCTGCGGCAGGAGGATCGAAAGTACGAGCCACCCCGGGCATCTTAGTGACTCAGTGAAACCCCACCTCAAAATAAAAAATAAAAAGGGCTCGGATGGAGCTCAGTGTGAAGGGCCCAGACTTAACTCCAAGTGACACCTGGGAAAAACAGACACCTTCATCCCTCCCTCCTTCCCAGACCACGACAGTGCCCCGGCTGGGATGCCACGTCACACCGCTCTCCCTCAGAGCAGCGCCCCATATGGCACTGCCAACAGCAAGTAACACCGATCGATACTGAGAACTTCCTTTATTTGGGGCCCAGCCAAGCCTGATTGGGCGGAAGAGGGGGGCCAGTCTCCACCCTGGGACCCCTGCACGCGGGCTGGCTGGATTTCTCCTCACTCGTTGGGAGCTCTGCCCCTTCTTTCCCTGGGGAAACTGAGGTAGAACAGACTCAGCTGGCTGAAAGACAGCTTACACTGCCTGAGATGGGCCTTCGAGAGGGCCCAGGGACACCCCGCATCTGCCACAGAGCTTCTTGGGCTGGACAGTCTTCCTGGGCACCAGCCAGCAACCCGAGCAGCGGGTACCATACTTCTTATACCTGAGGTGGGGGTACAAGAAACCACCATTGAGAATGCAGCAGGGGCCCAGAAACCTCCAGAAGACCACCACTGCCCCCGAAAGGCCTGTGTCCTTGAACTTGCTTGGTAGTCCAGGCTGGCCTCAAACTCACAGCAATCCACCTGCCTCAGCCTCCATGTTACTGGGCTGCACCATCACCTCCGGCTTTGTGTGTGTGTGTGTGTGTGTGTGTGTGTGAGTGTGTGGCACATGACTGGAATCCCGGCACTTAGAGGGCTGAGGTAGGAGGATTGCTACAAGTTCTAGGCCAACCTGAGCTGCATAGTGAAACCCTGTCACAAAAAGACAAAAGAGCAGAGACAGAGCCTGGCCTGGAGCTCACAGGGATCCTCCTGCTTCAGCCTCCTGAGTGCGTGGGCTGCCGCCGCCCTGGCACCCCGGCCCTGAGGATGACGTGGCCCCGCCCCCACCTCCCTTTGCTGTGCTGAGCACCTGATCCCACAGGCATTGCAGAGTGGGGTCCCGTCCTCGGCGTCTCTCCAGAGGGGCGTCCTCTGGGTCCTGCAGGACGCACAGCGCCGGGGCCCTGTGGGGTCAGAGGTCGGCACAGCCGTCAGCAGAGCCAGGAGTCGGCGTGAGCTGCGGCTGTGCGGGGCAGGGCTGTCGTGAGCCGCTCCGCGATGGTCCCCCCACTCTGGGCCGCCACAGGGGGAGCCAGGAAGAGAGACAGATGGTGGAGCCGGGCGGCGGGTGGAAGCTGGGGCTGGGGTGACTCAGCCGGCTAAATGGGGAAGCGGGGTGGGGAAGGAGGGCAGGGAGAGACTGGGGAGACGGGAAATCAGCCCCCCAAACATTTCTAGCTCCCGAGGCTGGAGGGCTCACTCACCCAGGGCCTCGCTAGCTCTGGGGTTGGGCTCGGTGGCGGCGGTGCTGGCAGGGCTCTCGGGGGCTCCCTCAGTTTGGCTGCTGCCGGCCAGGCTGGGGGGAGACAAGGTGTTAGCCTGGGGGGGTCTGCATCCTGTCCCCGATGGTCCCCCAAAAGGAAGGTGCATTACCAAGGAACCCAGCACCCCAGGGACTGAACCCAGGGCCTTTGCACTGAGCTCCGTCCCTGCCCTTATTTTATATTTTGAGACGAGGTCTTGCTATGTTGTTCAGGCTGTGTGCAATCTTGCAACCCTCCTGCCTCGGCCTCCAGAGTCCTGAAATGACAGCCGCCAGGTCTTCCCCACCCACGCTGTGTGACCCAGGCAGGGTGGGTCTCCCTCCTGGCCTCAGTTTCCTCATCTGAAAAATGGGCTTCCGAGAGCTTTAACAAGCTCACATAAGCCTTCTGTGGCGGTGTGATCCCCGGACTCTGGGAGCCTGAGACAAGAGTAGCCCAGGTTTGAGTGCAGCCTGCACAATTCAGTGAATTTTGAAGACCTTGTCTCAAAATTAAAAATGACAAGGGCTGGAGGTGGAGCTCAGCACAGATGCTCTTGGTTCAGTTCGCAGCACAACAGAACGATCACATAGATAAATGAATCAAAGCCGAGAGCTGCACCCGTCCAAGCCTGTCCCTCCTGCTGCTCTGCCTGCTATTGGCAAAGCTGGCTGAGATCACTTGTGTGGAACACACAGAGCAGCTGGAAGCTGCGGCCAAGCCTGGCTGGCACAGGACGCCAGGCCTGAGTCGGGGCATGAAGAAGCGGGCACGGCGGCACACACCTGGCCTACCGGGAGCAGCTCGGGGCCACCGTGGCCACCCAGCTCTGGGACATCCTGGCTCCAGCCTTAGCAGGGCAAGACAAAGCAAACCACAAGGAGCACACTTGACTGAAAGCATTCGGGGGACACACACCTGACATCTGCGCTGGCATGTCCAGACTTCTCGTCACTACCCCCCACACCAGGCTGTAATCTCTTTTTTTTTGAGGCAGGGTCTCATGTGCACTCCGGGCCACTCACTGTGTGGCCCAGCTGGCCCGCGCTGGCAGCGACCCTCCTGCCCCGGCCTCCTAGGTGCTGGGACCACGGCCTGCCCCACCGCACACCGTTGGCAACTGTTTTTGTTACCGGGGACCGAGCGCACAGCCTTGCACTCCCCGGCAGGCGCGCCTGGGGCCGCTGATCTAACCCGGCTGGCTGTAACTATCTCCGCGGCAGGTGGACGGCAGGTTTTTGTTTCCTCTCCCCCGTCCCTTCGCACTGAGCTCCATTTCCAGCCCTTTATTTTTGACTCCCACTAAGTCGCTAAGTTGCCCAGGCTGAGCTCAAACTTGCAGGCTTCCTGCTTCAGTCTCCCAGGGTGCTGGGAGGAGGAGGAGGAGGAGGTGGCTGCCAGCTGTGTGTGTGAGGTCGCATCACGGAGCTGACCGAGTGTTCATGGAGGGGACCGCAGGTCCTAGGGAAACACTAGGCAGCTTTACACAAGGCGCTGGCACGGTCTTGGATTTGGGCTTTTGGGGTCCTCCAGCCCTTCCCACACACGCTAAGCACCTACCTGTAGGTGGGTGAGATCTGCAGGCTGGAATCCGCCTTGATCTGGAACTTCAGGGTCACCCCCTTGAACGCGGGGTCCACCCGCTTGGCTCCCTGGCGAGGCTTGGGCTGCTTTCGGGACCTTCTCTGGGGCGGGGCTGCAGCTGGCCTAGGGGACTCCCGGCTGCGACACTTTCTGCTGCCCAGGATCTGCTTGTTCTTGGAACTCCTGGCCATGGTCAGGGGGCCTGCAGCCCCCCGGGCCACAGGCTCCCAGCAGGCCCCCAAGGCCTGGGCGGCCTGGGTGGGGGCCAGGGCCTGGCCCTCTTCTGTCTCTTGCAGAAGCCGCAGGATGGTGACAGAGTCCTGACACACGGGCCAGAGGGACCTGAGGACGAGAGGCAGGGCGGTCAGGGCTTCCCGGGTGACTTGGGTCCAGGAGCCCAGGGCTCCCACCAGCACCTGTTCTGCCTAAGCCTGTGCCCTGGGGCAGCACGGGGTGGTTAGAAGATTTCAAAGTTACAAAGTAATCAAAGAGGGCCAGTCTGGTCCACTCCACCACCTCGCTACCCAGCGACTCGGGGCCCTAGGGACCCACCAGGGCTCCAGGGCGGCTTTTATCATTTTAAGACCTTTATTTCCATTTTCTCTTTCTCGGGGCAGGGCTAGAACCTCGTGCAGCATGCCAGCTCGGCTTTCTGATTTTTATCATTAGATTCCCCCCTTGACCCCCGCCGTGCGACCCCCAGTGGTTCGCGCAGGAACCCCGGAGCGGGGGGCGGAGCATGCAGGCCTCTGATCTCCGCTGACCCCCGTGTCCCTCGGGCCTCGAACCGGACCTCTGTGAGTGCCGGTAGCTCACGCGGTGACCCCGGGGTGACCCTAGGAACCCGAGATCGGGCCGTGGACCCCGCGGGTCAGTGAGGCGGCGGGAGGGCGTCTCACCCACCTGCCACCGGGCCTGGGGCACTGCACGGGCCGCGGCTGCCGCTGGGCCGAGGGTCCCGGGGGCGGCTCGGGGTCCAGACGCGGTGGGGCCAGCAGCTCCCTCAGCAGGTCCGGGGCAAGATCAGCCTCCATGGTGCCAGCCCGGTCCCCGTCCCAATCTCGGTGGCCGCCCCGCCCCCGCGGAGAAGCCCTGATGAGAATGGGCGCCACCTGTGGGCGGAGGTGGCGTCGGGGCGCTTCGGCTCCCGGTGCAAAGAGGCGCAGCTGGGGGGGGCGGGGCCCTCCTGGGCTCCTGCACAGCCCTCAGGGCCCGGGTGGCTGCATCCCGCCCCTCAGAGTGGCCACTGTTCCTTCCGGATCCCTGCAAATCCCTCCACCGCCGTAGGGGTGCGGAGAGCCCAGTGCTGTCAGAAGAGGGGCGTCCCAAGCTGGGCTGGTGGCACACCCCAGTAATTCCAGCGCTTGGGAGGCTGAGACAGGAGGTTCTCTGCGAGTTGGAAGCCAACTGGGCCACAAGTGAGTTCAAAACCAGCCTGAGGCGGGGATTTAGCTCAGCGGCAGAGGCGCCTGCCTGGCAAGCTTGAGGTCATGAGTTCCATTTCCGGTGCAAAAAAAAAAAAAAGCCAGCATATCCAAAAGCAACAAACAGCAAACCAAACCAAACCAAACCAAAAAAACGGAGGACGGGGTGCAGGCCTCGGCCACAGCTTCCCCCAGGACCCTCTCACCTCCAGGGGAGGCTCGCAGATGTGGCTGCAGATCTAGCTGGCGCTGGCCCCAAACACACTCGATATGCCAGAGTGCCGCGACACAGTTTTATTGCCGCTGGGACGAGTCCACCCCTAGGTACGCCTTATGTCTCAGGGCCTGGGAAGGCTCCCCGGGAGGCACCCGTCCCCAACCACAGCCTGGGTCTGTCCTCTGTGGGGCGATGGCCTTCCCGGGTCTGCGACCCATCTCTCCCGGGTCTGCACTGCGGGCCGGCCGGCCACTCTGCTCTCCCTTCAGTCCTGCTCCCAGGGCCACCACAGTCCTGGGCTGGTCCTGCTGCCCGTCAGTGTGGCTTGGGGACGTGGCCGTCCACGTAGAAGTTCCTGGTGATCTTGGGCAGGGTGAACTCCGCCCCTTCCAGCTCGGGAGTCAGCACGATCTGGCAGCCCAGGCGGGAGTTCTCCTGGAGCAGGGGCGCCATGTCCAGCATGTCGTCCTCCCTGGGGCGAAGGGGACAGTGAGCAGCTGGCTCCTGGAGAGGGAGGAGGGATGGCCAAGGGCAGGGGCGCGGGGGACCTTGCTCACCGCTCCTCAGGGGGAGGCAGCAGGTCCAGGTGGGCCTCGCTCACGTACACGTGACAGGTAGAGCATGCTAGGGAGGCTTCGCAGGCTCCTGGGGCGAAAAGAGAAGGAAGGACAGACGGGTGACATCCAGGTACAGGCGCCAGGAGCTGTGACTGCACTGCGGGTGCCAGCTCTCCCTCCTGTGCTGGCTGCCACCCTGTCCTTCAGCCAGCACTCTGCTCCTCAGCTGCCTGGAGGCTTTGCAAAGGGACATCCGGGTCAGGTGTGGCGCACACGCCTGTCATCCCAGCATCCAGGAGGCTGAGGCAGGAGGATCTCTGCTGAGCTCAAGGCCAGTCTGGGCTACACAGTGAGACCTGGTCTCAAAAACCCCCCCAAAGCCCTAAACCCCAAACAAACAGAACCAACGGTACATCTAGGGTGTCCCAGGGCGGTTGAGAACTTGGTTGAGGAACCACTGGACAGCATGGATGTGACTTCCAGTAGCTGAAGGGCCAGGCCAGGCCCATTCAGTGGCCTGGGAAGCCTTACCGTGTCCCTCGCTGGGTCCTCTGCTCCCGGCTGGTGGGGGGTGGAGGAGAAGGGGCAGTGTCAGGATTGGGAGGTATAGCAGCTATAGATTCTGCTGTCCGTATGGCCCTGCCACAGTCCTGACCCCTCAGACAGGGCACCGAGAACTTTACCTGGGGACAGTGGCCTTCCTGGTTGGAAGCTCTGCAGAAAGTGTTCACACCCAGGCTAAAGTCCAAACCCTCCGTGCTGTCCATGAGGTCTGTTCCCTCCTTTATTCACTGACCATTTCATATGTCCAGTCCATCTCTTCCCCAGGGCCTTTGCACCTGTTGTTCCCATGGCCCAGAATATTCATCTTTTCAATCTTTCCCTGGCTGGATCCCTCTTATCTTCAGGGATTTGATGAACTATCCCCCAATTTGATGCCCCTGTCTCTGTTTCTTGTCACTTTCTCCCTTTTAATTTTGTGTCTCATTTAGCACCATAAAAACATTTTTTAAAAATATTAAACAAGCTGGTCTGTAGCACATACCTGTAATCCCAGAACTCACGAGGCTGAGGCAGGAGGATCACTGTGAGTTTGAGGCCATTGTGGGCTACAACGGGAGTTCAAGGCCAGCCTGACTACACTGTGAGACCCTTTCCCCCCACCAAAATAATTCACGTTTCAAAGCCACATATAGTCGCACACACCTATCATCCCAGCACTTGGGAGGCTGAGGCAAGAGGCTGACCATGAGTTCAAGACCAGCTTGGACTACATAGCGAGACCCTTCTTAAAAAAAAAAAAGTAAAGTAATATTCACGTCCCAAATTTTGACCTGAATTGTTATCTACAGGATTCTGGAACAAAACCACTTCTACAGGAGGCAAGCCAGGCAGGACCTCCCAATGTCTTGCTCTCTTTAATGATTTTTTTTTAAGACAGGGTCTTGGCCTGGGATTTAGCTGAGTGGTACAAGTGCCTACCGGGCAAATGCAAGGTGGTGAATTTGATCCCTGGTACAAAACAAAAAACAAAAAACAAAAAACAAAAACCAGACAGGGCCTCACTGGGTAGCTCACACTGGGCTTGAGTTCACTGTGTAGCCCAGGCTGGCGTCAAACTCACTGTGATCCTCCTGCCTCAGCCTCCCAGCGCTGGGGTTATAGGCATGTACCATGATGCCCGGCCCCGTTATGATTATATCAGGCTCCCTTCTACATTCTTCCAACAAAGAGACCACCTAAGTGACTGCACGTAGCAGAACGTTCCCTTGTAGGCCTGCTGGACCCAGCGGGATCAAACTGGAGACGGAGGCCTGTGTTTGCTGTGTGCTCAGCAGTCACAGAACACAGAAGGACAGCACACGTTAGTGGCTAAAACGCTGAAACGCGCTGCACCAACATGCTGCAGGACTGGTGCGAAGAGCTTCTTCCGGTTCTTCTCTTTTTACTGTGAGGTAAGTTCTTTTTTGGTCTTTTTTGTTTTAATCGGTACCAGGGATCGAACTCATGACTGCCTGCTTGCAAGGCAAGTGCTTGTGCCGCTGAGCTAAATTCCAGGCCCGGTGAGGTAAGTTCTTATTAAACTGCTAAAGTTTCTATGCTGGGCTTGAACTTGAGATCCTCCTACTTCAGCCTCCTCAATAGCTGGAAGACAAGCAGGTACAGACTCGAATGTTTTGAATCTAGTTTTGTCACTTACTTTGTTTTGGATCAGGTCTACTAAAACTGGGGCTCAGCTTCCTCATCTTTAAAATGGAGTAATAGTTTCCTCTATTCTATGAAGTAAACATGTATTAATTTGCTTCAAGGAATTTCTGCTGTTACTGCCTTCAGCAAATGCTCATCTAATACCTGTTACATCTCAGTACCACTAAACACAATGGGTAAATGTGAACAGGGACTCTGTGCTCTCTGTTGGACAGATAAGGAAAGAAACAAGCCAGTAAGAAATGCTGTGAAGGGGCTGGGGATTTAGCTCAATGGCATAAGCGCCTGCCTTACAAGCAGGCAGTCGTGAGTTCAATCCCCGGTACCGATAAAAAGGAAAAAAGACAAAAAAAAAAAAAAAAAAAAAAAAAGAAATGCTGTGAAAGGCTGAGGCAGGAGGACTGCCACAAGCTCAAGGCCAGCCTGGACTACAGTGAGTTCAAGGTTAGCCTGAACTACATAGTGAGACCCTGTCTCAAAAAAACTAGGAAATAAATGTGCTAGGGAAGCACCTCTGACATGGGGGAACAGCAAATTCAAATACCCTGAGGCAGGAATGAGCTCGGCTATTTGAAGGACATCAAGAAAACCAATGTGTACTGGGTATGGTGACACATGCCTATAATCCCAGCACTTGGGAGGGTGAGGCAGGAGGATCCTCAAGAGTCTGAGGTCAGCCTGGGCTACACAGTGAGTTCAAGACCAGCCTGAGTACATAACAAGAGCCGTTCTCCAAAAGCAACAACAAAAAGGAAAACCAATATGGAGCCTAGCGTGGTGTCACAGACCTGTAGTCCCATCACCCTTGGAGGGTGAGGCAGGTGGACCACAACTCTAAACGTAGCCTGGGCAACTTAGCAACTTTTAGTGAGGCCCTGCTTTTAAAAAAAAAGCCAGTGGGGCTGGGGATTTAGCTCAGCAGCATAAGAGCCTGCCTAGCAAGTATGAGGTGGTGAGTTTGATTCACGGTACCAAAAAATATAAAAAAATTAAAAAGAGTTGTGGATGTAACAATATGATGGCCCAGGTTTAAATTCTCAGTAACACACACACACACACACACACACACACACACACACACACACACACTGTGGCTAGCATGGAGAGAGAAAGAACACAAGCTGTAAAGGGCAGAAGTTCGAGTGGTCTGGCCTGTAAGAAACACTTATTAAATAGAGATGTAAAGTTTAGGTTTTTATAAATATCTGAGGGGAAGTCAGGGTGGACAAGTGGGGAAGAGACTGACTTGTCACTTTCTGAAATAACGCCTTAGGCTGGGGTGGGAAACAGCCTGTGCCTGGCTCATACCTTCCAGGTCCACGCCGTGGCGCTGGGCCAGATGGAGGACATTGTCCCCGACTCTGCCGCTCACCGGGATCCGCTGGCCTGACCGGTCTATGAACACCACGTTCACCCTGGGGACAGACAGGGGTGAGGATGTGGAGGTGCAATACAAGCTCAGGGGCCGCACATGGTCAGAAACCGGGGTGCAAGCCACAGAGGACTAGAAGAGAGAGAGGCAGATAAAGAACCCAGAGAGAAGCTGCAGGGCAAAGCGGGGACCCGGGAAACCTCGTGGGATAAGGACGGGACACTTGGCCCCTGCACTCACACGTCCCCGGGCCGCTCAGGGCCGCCGCTGTCCCCTTGTGCCGGGCGCCAGCCTAGAAAACACAGTTGGGTGAGCCGAGGCCCCGCAGCGCGGGCATCCAGCCGGTGGACGCGGGCTGTCCCTGGCTCTCGGGATACCTGCTGTCCGGAATGTCCTGGCCGTTGTCCGCGCCGCTACCTCCCCGGTCCTGCTCCACCACGAGCCCCTGGTCGCCCGCAGAAGCAGCGTCCCACTCACGCCGCTCCGGGCCAAGGAGGCGGCCATGACGGACGTCACGTGACCGCGCGGCTGGGCATGCGCTGTGTGGGCCACGCCCACCGCACCCGGAGGATAAACGCAGGGTTTGCGCGGGGAGCCGGAGGACACAGAAGGGCACGGTGGGGCGCCCCGCGGTGTAGTGGGGGCGCCAACGAATGGAGTCATCCAGAGCTTCCACCCGGGCGCCCCCATCCCAAGAACAAGCCAGCTTCGATTTCTTTAAAACCATTTACTTACAAACTTTAATTCAGCAAAGGGTCTGTGTGGGAGGGGGGCCCCGAGACAGCGAGGGGAGCTGGTGGCCAGCCCGGGGTCACCCCGGGCGCCGTCTGCAGGGGGCTGTTGGTCTCTGGCACTGGGCCAGAAGAAAGCCGGTCCGGGATTCTCCTCTGGCCGGGTTTGGGGTGTCTCCTTAGGGATTCGGCGGGGGCGGCCAGCTCCCAGCAGACTGCAGACATCCCGGGATGGGGATGGAGGGGCCAGCCCCGGCCAGAGCCGTTTGGTCCTGAGTCAAGCTTCCGGAGCTCACTGTCTGAGAGGCTCTGGCCTGCGGGGCTGCACCCAGCTTTAAGGCATCAGAAGGCCGGGGGTGGGGTGGGGTGGCAGGGACCAGGGGAGCAGGCAGGACACTGGCCAGAGTGGGCCGCTGCCCAGGGCGAGCAGCAGAGGAGGCTGAGCCGGCTGGAATTTGGAAGTGTGGAATGGAGGCCCAACCAGGTTGGACCTTGAACGAATCAGAGCCGGGGTGGGGGTCACAAGGGCTGGCTTAAAAAATAATAAAAATTAGAAAAGGAAACATGTCAGCTGTCAGAGTTAAAAAGGGGGCGGAGACGGTCTCTGATCCTCGCAGGAGGTCAGGGAAACCTCCAAGGCACTCGAAGGCCCAAACCAGGAGTGACAAGGCAGGAGGGCCGCGCAGCAGCCAGGCCCGGCAGGACAGGAGTGGGCAGAGGGAGCCGCGGCCCCTCTCCCTGCAGGCGGGCCAGCGCTGCGCACCCGCACTCCTCGGGCTCTGGCAGTTGGTCAGCAAAGTCTTTCAGAGAGTTCTCTATTACCCGAAAGGGAAAAATAATAAAATCACAAAACAAAACACCAAAAAGCCCCAAAGCGACACAGCACAGCCCCAAATGTCCTCGGGGCCAGCCCCTTAGAAAATCCTCTTCCGCTTCAGGTAGGAGTCTGCGTAGTGGCCGCCCAGGCCCTGGGAGTGCTGGCCCACATAGCTGCCCTCCGGGCTGGGCTCAGGCGAGGGCAGCAGGTGAGCAAAGCTGCGTTTCTGGCCACCCAGGGGGGTCTGCAGACAGAGGGCAGGGGGACTGAGTGAGGGGGTGCCCCAGGGCCGGGGCACCCAGCCACCTGCGCCCCACCCTCTGCCTGTACCTTCACCTTCAGCAGGTGGCTGTGGCCGTTGGGCCCTGGGCCGAGGCCTAGGAGCCCCTCGCCGGAGCCCAGCGGGGAGGCACCGACTCCCTGCAGGAAGGGGAGATCACAGGTCACTTCCTCACCTCGGGAGGATGGCAAGGGGCTCGGCTGGTGGAGTTTCACATCTGCACCTGCAGCTGTGCCCAGGCACTGAGGGCCCAGCGCCTGTGCTGGCTGCCCCGGGACCCGCTCCTCACCTTACTGAGGTGGCTCTGCTTGAGGCCAGCCTGCAGGCCACTGGTGAAGTAGGAGGTGGGTGAGCCGGAGTAGAAGTGGGAGAGCGGCCCCCCTCCGCCTCCGCCACCGCGCTCACTGAAGCCGCTGGGTGGGGGGGACATCTGCGGAGAGAAGGGGCTGGATGACAAAGGGTCCTCCCAAAGGACTCGGAGTGGCCATAACAAGCGCTGGCCAGCAGGACTGGGGACAGCTGGTATGTGAGGGCCGGCTTGGCCTTAGTCCTCCAGAGAACAGTTCCGAGCAGACGAGCTTCGTGGGGTCAGTGATAAGCTTATCCCAGCCTCCTTCGTGGCCCACTGCCCACCACCCACAGGAGGAAGACCACCAGGACCACTGAGGTCCTACAGAGCTCCCAGATGACGGCAGAGAATGTCCACCCACCCCTTGCAAAATGTAAGAAATAAAAAACAAAAATCTGCAGGCAGCCCAGACAGCCTATGCCTGCAGTCCCAGCTACTCAGGAGCTGAAGCCAAGAGGCTGGTGGGCCCCAGATGGAAGCCAGCTGAAGACCTCACAGCGGGCCTCAGTGCCAAGTGTGTGCCGTGCTCATTGCTGACGGAGCCATCTGTCACACAGCCAGGTCTACCTGCTGCACCAGGGCTGGGTTGTACACGCCGCCCCTTACCTTGTGTCGACTGGGTCCGTGAGGCCCTAGGCTTGGCTCCCGGGGCTGGGAGAAGAGCCGCCGAGGTCCCACATCCTGAATGGGACGGGGAGGGACAGGGACACATGAGCCAAGTCTGTGCCAATCTCACCTGAGCTCAGTTCTGCAGCGCAGCAGCACCAGGGCCCTCAGGAGGCAAACTTGGCCTTGGGGACTGTGACCAGGAGGGGCAGCTAGAATGGACCAGGGGGGTGTGCTGCCCAGGACGGGGTGCCTGGGTCCCCGCGATGACCCCGATGGTTGGCAATTTTGATCCCAAGGCACCTCAGGAACCCTACCCACTTCCCTCCCTGGTGTTTACTACAGTTACTGGTTTGCTTTAAGCCCTCGGGATCAAACGTAAGGTGTGGCCCGCAGGGGCTCAGAAAGTCTGCAGTTTCCGACCAGGAGGAGGCCGGGGGGGGGGGGGGGGGGGATCCCGGAGGCACTAATCTCCAGGAATCAAAGGGGACACAGCAGACAGACAGACAGACAGCAAGGGCTAAGGCCTCACAGGAGACAGAGACAGACTTCGGTAAGTCCGGAAGAGACTGTCCAGGCTGAGAGGGCACGAGGCTGCCAGGCAGGTAGGAAACCTGTGCAGGGCCTGTGTCCAGAGGTTCCCTGCAGCCTGCCTGATGCTTGGTCTGGCACGAGCAGCGCGAGAGCACACGCCTCATCTTGGCACTCTAGGAAGCTGAGGCAGGAGGCCTCAAGCCTGGGCAACTTAGAAAGACCCTGGCTCAAAACAAGAAATAAAAAACAAAGGGCTGGAGATGAGGCTCAGCATGAGGGTTCTATCTGTGGGACCACACATGCCCACACCTCCAAAAGCCCAGCTCAGGTTTGGACTTCAGATTGTTCTGGATTTTATTTATTTTTTTATCAGTACCAGGGATCGAACTGACGGCCACCTGCTTGCAAGGCAGGTGCTTATGCCGCTGAGCTAAATCCTCAGCCCATCGTTCTGGATTTTGAAATATACATAATGAGATCTCAACAACAGAACCCAAACTGAATCGGGAAGTTCATTTCCATTTCAGATACTTCATACATGCGTAACAGGTCATTTTATACGCGATTCTCCGTGCATCTGCATTGTGACTGTGGCCTGTGTGGGAAGTCAAAAGGAGGGCAGATGTGCTCAGAAAGTTTCAGCCCCCAGTAGGCAGGCGTGGTGGGACATGCCTGCCATCCCAGGAGGCTGAGGCAGGAGGATCACCACGGAGACTGAGGCCAGCCTGGGCCACTTCGCAAGACTCCATACCCTAATAAAAGGGCTGGGGGTCTAGCTTGGTGCTCCCTAGGTTCAATTCTAAGTATTATCAAAAGGTGTGTGTAGGGGGAGTGTCATGTGTCATGTGTCACGTGTCTGCAATTCCAGCATTCAGGAAGCTGAGGAGGAGGATTGTGCGTTTGAGGCCAGCCAGGGCTAGTGAGACTGCCTCAAAAGGAAAAGAAAAAAAAAAGGTGCAGGACTTGAGACCTTTCGGATTTTAGATTTGAGGGTTAGGGATGCTACCCTGCATCGGTTGGGAAAAGGGCCACAGGGCCGGCGCTCAGGGATGGCGGGCGGGGCAGCCGGTACTCACTGAGGGGTAGTCGAAGCCGTAGCTGTCGGGCAGCCCGGGCTCTGGGGGCAGGCGGGAGCTGGCCAGGGGGCTGAGCAGGAGGGACTTGGGCGGGAAGGCTTTGCTGCCGCTACTGCTGCCTCCTCCGCCCGGGCCTGGGGGGTTGGGCAGGGGCCCCTCGGCAGGGCGGCGGCCTCTCGTGCTAGAGCCCCAGCCCCGGGGCTCCTTGCCAGCCACGCTGCTGGCTGGGAGCAGGCTGTGGAGGTTCAGGTAGGGATTCAGGGGGATCCGGTAGTCCTTGGGGGGCTCCCCCAACAGCGAGACCTGTGACAGAGGCTGGACTCAGCAGGGGCGCAGGGGGAGGGGGAATGCGGGGCAGGAGGCTAGCGGCGTGCAGCCTTACTTACCCCAGGGGGTGCGGGCAGGGGCACGCTGTCCTTCTGCAGGCCCCTGAGACCTGAGCCTCGGAGCCCCACAGGGGCAGGGGGTGGGGTGAGCTGGGCTGCTGGGGGACCCAGGCCCATGGGCTCCCGGTCACCCCCAGAGGGGCCCAGCAGAGGTGGCAGAAGGGGTGGTGGCTTTCCTCGCTGAGGCGGCAGCTCTGGGGCCAGACCCCCCCCTGCAGAGAGAGGAGAGCGTCGCCATGGACCCAGCCCTGAGGCCTTCTCCCAGGGCCCCAGAGCCAGCAAGGATCAAAGGTGTCTCAGTGCATCAACCTCCAGGACGCCCCAGCTTCCCCGTGATGTGGGCACCCCACTTTCACTGACAGATGAGGAGACTGAGGCCCAGAGAGCCTGAGCCCCCGGCCCAAGGCCACGTAGCTGGGAGCTCACCACTCCTAGGGAGGAAGGCGCCCCGGAGAGGCGGGCAGGCAGGTCAGTGTTACCTGCTGACAGGTCCCCGAGGAGGGCATTGGCTGGCTGAGGCCCAGGCTGGAGGGTGCCCAGGGGCGAGTCTCCCAGGATCCCGGGCTTCTAGAACAGACACAGTAAGCTGTGGATGGGAATGGGGTGAACGAGGGAGCAGCTGACATCACCCCAAGTTCTTGGCAATCATGTACACGTGCAGGAGCTCCCCGGGCCAGTGACAACCTGCCACCCACGTGCTCAGCCTGTGGTGCCCCAGGGCCCAGCACGCCAGGTGTGCCCAGCACGCCACGGCTGCCCAGCCTCCTCACAGTGCAGTGTGACAACAGCCACATGGTGTGTGATACTCACAGAGGACTTTGGCCACAGTGCCATAACGCCTCAAGCACACAGGGTCAGTGTCACCGCCAGACATGGTGACATCACTGGCTGCGTCCCAGCAAAGCAACCCACCCAGCCTGGCCTGCGCCTGTGTCTGCGTTCGGGAGGAGTCGGACTTCCTTCCCTAGCTCCCGGTGGGGCGGGCTTCTCAGGCCACACTGGTCTGGGGCTATAAATAGGTGTGTCCAGCTCCCCCTCGAAAGGCAAAGGTGGACCCCAGCATGAGTGGAGGCGAGTTCCCTTGAGGCATAAGGTGGCATGCAGGTGCTGGGCAGGACAGGCAGGGCTGCCAGCGTGGGGTGCAGAACCCCTGCTGTTACCTTGTGGCTCTGGGCCTGCAGGGCGAGCTGCAGCAATGCTGTGGACAGGGCCGGTCCGCTGAGCAGTGGCATGGCAGGGGGCGCGCCCAGGAGGCCTGGGGAGACGCAGAGAGTGGGCAGTGGTCCCCGGCTGGGCACCCCTCCCCCCACCGTTCTACACATCCCTCACTGAGATGGCGCAGGAGACCCAGGCGGGGCTGGAAGGGGCAGGCTGCACCGCGCAGGAGGCCCCGCGGCCTCCAAGGGGTGCAGCGAGAAGCTCTGCTTACCCTGCTTGCCCCCCGCGCCGCCGTGGAGCAGCGGGTTGAGCAGCAGCTGAAGGGAGGCGGACGGGCCCAGGCTGCTGAGTAGCTGCAGGATGCTGGGCTCGGGCAGGAGCCCCTTGCCACGGTTGAGGGCCTGAGGAGGGACAGGGCAGCTGAGCAGGGCCCGGCTGTAGGGACACTCCGAGCCCACCCCCACCCACTGCTGTGACCCGTCCCGCACACACTCACCGTGGCTTGGGCAGCAATGAGCGCCGCCAGCATGCTGCGGCCTGGGGGTCCCGGGGCACAGAAGGACACGCGCAGGTGGCTGCCCCCCAGGGCCAGGCCGTCAGCCTGCTGCTGCGCCGCTTCGGCCATCTCGGCAGTCTCGTACTCCAGCACAGCGAAGCCCTTCAGCTGCCCGTCCTGGCCACACGCCAGCTGTGGGGAGGCATTCCTGAGGCCTGGGCAGCCACCACGCAAAATCGAGGCGCCCCCCCCAAAGGGATCAGATGCTGCACTGCAGGGGACAGCACCCCTCCGAGGAGGTGGACAGAAGCCCTGCTCCTGGACCAGCCCGGGAGGCTGCCACGTTCTTCAGCGGCAACACCTGAGCCCTTGGTGCAACCAAGGCCACACGGCAGGGGACAGCAGGGGGGGCCTGGCTCAGAGCAGTGCACCCTGCCAGCCGCCGGCACTGGCCAGTGCCAGAGGAGCAACTCCGCCTGGCATTCCCAAGCACTGAGACTCCAGCAGAGGCTGCCAGGCTGGACACCCAGTGGGTTGAGCTGACCAGCCGGCCCCAGAGGCACGGTCACAGCCAGGCAGGGGTGCTCTCCCTCAGGCCCACACCCCTTATCTGCAGGCTTGGGCCTGCGTGTTCCGGGGCGGGCTTGCTGGGCGCTGCGCGTGCTGTGTGGCCAGGACAGCTCCCTCCCCAAACGCTTGAATCGTAGACAGCAAGATGCAGACAAAGAGGCCACAGTCAACCAGGTCAGTGAGGCCTTGCTGCCATGCACCCCTGCCCAGCTTCACCACCCATCTCCTGGGTGCCAGCCCCCTGTGGGGCCACCCCACAGGGAGCAGACTTCGAGGCAGCACCCAACCCTGCAGGGGTGGAAACTGAGGCTCAAAGAAGGCTCCTTTCTAGGGCACCAAGCCCAAGCAGGGGTCACAGGAGGCTACGCTGGTGCCCCACCATGGGACTGGCCCAGGTGGCAATGGCTGTCCTGAGAAACACTGCTGCCCTCCTTGTCCCAGGTCACAGGTTTGGGACTGTCCATCAACAGGGGACTGGCAACTGCCCCTAAAATGACGCATGATACAGCTGCAAAAGGGAAATCTGTTCGAAACACAACAGGGCTAGCAATAAAGCAAGTGGACTTGGGAGGCCGAGGCAGGAGGATGGCAAGTCTAAACCCAGCCTGGAAAATCGGGGAAAGCCCACCTGAAAATAAAATTAAAAAGGGCTGTGGATATAACGTGGTGCTCCCTAGGGTTAATACTCAGCACGACAACAATGACAAACAATGCAAAGCAGAGAAACGAAACCAGGCAGAATAATGGATTACAAAATAACAGGAAGCCGGGTGTGGCGGCACCTGTAACAGCAGCACTCGAGAGGCTGAGGCAGGAGGACTGCCACAGGGTCAAGGCCAGCCTCTGCAAGCATCCCAGATCCGAAAAGGAAAAAGGGAAAGCGGGCCGGGCCGGGCTGGCTCAGCAAGCAGCCTGCGTGGCAAGCGCAAGGACGTGAGTTTGATTCCTGGTACCAAGGAAAACAAAGAGAAAGAAAAGAAGAAAGCGGAAACATACACACTCATGTTGAAACGCACACTGGACCTGAAGTGTTAGAATACCGCATCTCTAAATTTTGGAATATTTGCAGAGACATCATAAGCGATTGAGCATCTCCACTCCAAAAATGGAAAATGTGAAATATTTGAAATCTGAGACTTTTTGAGCATAATGTCAATTCTCTAAAAGTTTTGGAGCCCAGACTCTATACATACTGGAGGCTCCAGCTACTTGGAGGCTGAGGCAGGATTGCTTGAGCACAAGGGTTCGAAATCAGCCTTGGACAACACATGAGATCCCATTTCAAAAGCACAGAGCTGCAGGTTTCAGAGCGTTTCCTGTTTCGGATTCTCAGAGGAGGGAGGCCCATTCTGTGCAATTTTTCTGGAGCAGGGTCAGGCAGAGACGTCGCAGGGGCTTGGCAGCCACTGCCACCTGACCTTCGGGATGTGCTGATGCTGAAATGTGACCCACTGCCTGGTCACAAAAATAAGCCAAACAAACTTTTCCAGAACATCCAAAACATGCCGAGTCGTGGGGTACCTGCTTTCCTCTGCATCAGTACTAAACTACTGAGGCTGAAGCTGGCCCCTCGTGCGGGGCAAGCACTCTGCTGCTGAGCTGCATCTCCAGTTAGGGAGCTCGTCTTCCCTTTCTTTCCTTTTCCTTTCCTTTCCTTCTCTTCTCTCTCTCTTTCTTTCATCCGTCTCTGAGACAGGGTCTGGCTCTGCAGTTCAGCCTGGCCCTGAGCTCACTTTGTAACCCAGGCTGGTCTCTAACTCTCAACGATCCTCCTGCCTCAGCCTCACGCTGGGATTCCTGGCAAGCACCACCACGCCCCACGCCCGGCTGTCCTTTCTATTTTCAAATAGGCTCTTGCTATGAATGTGCACCTCACGCTGGGCCAGGGATGCAGCTCAGCAGCACAGTGCCTGCCTGGAGTGTGAGGTCCTGAGTTTGATTCCTGGAACCAAATACATTAATAAGTAGATAAAGACAGATAAATAAATAAGCATCTCAAACTTGTGATCTTCCTGCCTCAGCCGCCTAGGTGGCTGGGGTAGAGGTGTGCGCCACTGTACCCGGGTACTTTTTCTTGGTGCTGGGGATGGAAGCCAGGGCCTTCCTGCTGAGTTCCTCTGCCACTCAGTCACACTCCAGCCTGTGACACTGCTTTGTGCATTTCTATAGCAAATTGTTTTACCCCTCCCACATGTAGTGAGTATTTTCAAGCAACTATGTAATACAGCAATGAAGAGATGAAAGTCTGCCTGTAAACACTTGGCAGAAGGCCTTGGAGCAGGTTCTGCGGATTTCCTTAGGGCTTCTATCTTGATTAATAAAAAGTTACTGAGAGGACAGAAGCTCCCAGTGGGCATCAGTGCAGCACCCGCCTGGCTCAAGTGCAGGGCCCAGGTCAGCTGGGCCTCTCACTGGCTGCTGACCCAGGCAGCTGGCACGCACGCCATCCCTGACCCTGCGTCCTCATCTGGAAATCGGGTGGCAACCAGGTCTGTCTGGTGGGGTTGGAACTAGGATTAAACAGATGCTCAGCAAAGACTTGGGGTACACCTCAGGGTCTGCTCCTGCCCCGCATGTGTGAGGCTCTGGGTTCCACCATGTAAACAAATGACTCAATCAACACCGGGGAGCCAGGCATGGTGGTGTGTGCCAAAGTCCTAGCATTTAGGGAAGCTGTTCCCTTTGATTCCCACCTATGCAAGTTAGGGAGACTCAGTCTCAAAATTTAAAAATAAAATAAATTTTAAAAATAACAAGCCACGGGGCTGGGGATTTAGCTCAGTGGCATAAGCGCCTACCTTGTGAGAAGCAATCCTGAGTTCGATCCCTGGTACCGATAAAAGTTAAAAAAAAAAAAAAAAAAAAAATAACAAGCCAGGCATGGAGGCACATGCCTGTCATCCCAGCACTCAGCAGGCTGAGGCAGGAGGATCGCTGCAAGTTCAAGACCAGCCTGGGCTACAAAGTGAGCTCCAGGTCGGCCTGAACTGCATATAGACTCTGTCTCAAAAAGACAAATAAATAAATAAATTAAATTTTAAAGAATACAAATGGCTAGGGATGTAGCTCAGTGGTAGAGAGTCCCTGGGTTTGATTCCCCAGTACTGGACGAAAAAGAGGGGCTTGAAGATACAGCTCAGTGGCACAGCGCCTGCCTGGCAAGCTGGCAGGCATGAGGTTATGAATTTAAGTCCTAGTATCAGGGAAAGAAAAAAGAAAGAATATCAAATAAATAGCTAGCTAGCTTAGGGAATGTTGTAAGTAGAGAAATGAACTGGCAGCCATTCAAAGGAACCTGCTCAGAAAGGATGCCTGAGGCCAGCATGTAGTACGCACTTACAGCTCCAGCTACTCAGGAGGCTGAAGTAAGAGGATCAGGTGGGCTTAGGGTTTGAGACCTTATCTAAACAAACAGCCAGGTGTGGTGGCACATACAGGCCTCCAATCCCACCATGAGGCAGGAGGATTGCAGCAAATGTCAGTGCCAGGCGGGGCTACACAGTAAGATCCTGCCTCAAAAAAAGAAACAAAAAAACAAGAAAGCAATACTAGCCTCATTTCAGAGTGGGGAAACTGAGGCACAGACAGACAGCCTGCAGCAGGTCTCGGCCCTGGTCCTCAGCCTCCACACCAAAGGATAAGGCCACTGAGCAAATTCAACGCAGGTCCAGAGCGGCTATGCAACAGACAGCAGCAGCCGTGGGGGCGGGGGAGGCAGGTGGCAGCGCAGGGGCTGAGCCAGGAAGAGCCGTCTGGGCCTGTGCTGGCCCCGGGCTGACCCGGGCTCTGGAGCTGGGCTGTATGCTATGATTCCACAGTTCCCTGTCTGTACCCCTGGGCAGGTCACCTGCCCCCGTGTGATGCCTCTCTGGGCTGTCACAGAATGGTGACTGGCCCCCGCCCAGGTCCTCATTCCTGCCTGTGCTCTGTTGCTCTGGACCAGAGCAGAGCAACACACTGCGGGGCACCCGCTCCCTCGGCCCCGCCCTCGGGCTCACCTGGCAGAAGGTGGGAGCGTGCACGGCTGATAGTGCCCGGCGCAGGGCGTCCACGTCATTGAAGCCTGGTGGCAGGCGGTCCACACAAAGGCAATGGGAGTGCAGCAGGGCTGGAGTGAGCTGGCCAGCGTCTGTCCAGTGCACGTACAGCGTGCGGGGGCCCAGCGGCTTGCCCAGCAGGTCTGACTTGGCACGGGCAGCCGAGTCCTTCTTCATGTACTCGGCGAAGCCGTACCCCTTGGAGTGGCCGGTGTGCTCGCTGTACACCAGGAAGCAACGTTCCAGGCTACCGAAGGGCCGTACCAGCTCCTCGAACTGGGCCTGGGTGAGGCTCGGGGGCAGGTTGGCCACGCACAGCAGCGCATCTGTGGGCTGCAGCTGCACCGACAGCTCGCGATCCCGCAGGCGGCTCTGGTGGAAGGCGCTGATGGCCGCCTCGGCCTGCTCCCCATTCAGCAGGGTCACGAAAGCTGTGCATATGAGGGCATTCGGGGTCACCAGGGCCCCTGAGGACCTACCCCAAACCCATGCCCTCCAAAGCATGTGTGATCTCAGAACAGGCAATCAGGACATCCAGCCCCCAGCTGCTCTGGACAGCTGAGCACAAGCTGGTGCCTCCTGCGGTCACCCCTGCATCCCTCACCATGTGGTGGCTGCACCCTAAGAACCATGTGTGTAAATGCTCCTGCCAGGGTAGGGATGAAGCTGGTCGCTGGACTGAGGTTTAAGCCTCAGACTCTTTGTGGCTTTGGGTCTCAATCTTCCCATTGGCCCAACAGGAATAACAGAGCCTCCCAACCACCTCTCAGCAGCATCCCTCTAGGGGGAGGACCCTGGCTCCCAAATTCAGCCTGGCGGTAGCACTGGCCTACAGCCCCAGATGCCTAGAAGTCAGAGGTAGGGGAAGGCCCTGAGTCTCGGATCCAGGGCCAACCCGGGCAACACAAATACTATCTGTTAAAAACCAAGTCAAACCCATCAAGAGTACACCTGTATTCCCAGCATTCAAGAAGCTGAGGTACAATGAAACTGTAGCCAGCACACACTATAGAGCAAGTTCAAGGCCAGTCTGGGGAAAAAGTGAGACACTAATCTCAAAAATAAAGCAAATCAAATCACATGAGTCAGGCACAATGGTGTACCCTGCAAATCTAGCTACTCAGGAGACTGAGACAGGAGGATGGCAAGTTCTAGAATGGGCCAGACACCCAAAGCATTAATTCATCGCCTATCACTTGCTGACAGCCAGAATGGGGATAAACCAAGGTTCCAATCTGACATGTGTCTGCTCCTGGCCTGCTGAGTAGGTCTCCAAGGGACATGCTCACACCATGTCAGATTCACAGCAAAGGCTCCTGCCCACCTCTCAGTTTTGAGAGGAGGAAAACGATCAGGTCAGGTTTGATCTGATGGAGCCCCTGGGGAAGGCAGGTGAGAGCATGAAGTGTGGGAGGCATCGAGGCACGAGGGAGGCAGAGACAGAGGGGACAGGGACCAAGCAAAGCAGCTTCAAAGAAAAGCAGACAGGCCTGGTGACTGGTCACCTGGGCAAAGTGGGGTAGGGAGAAGGTGAGCCTGGTCTAGAAGAAAACCTGAGGGGTGCCTCCCCCTCAAGAGGTGCGTCTAGGATGCCAGCTACGATGCCTTGGTGCAATGATCAAGGGTAGCATCGGGAACACAGTTCAGGAGGCAGTGAGCCAGGATCCTCTAATCTTTAGGGACTGCCACCACCTGCCCTGGTTCACCCTGGGCCACACATACCTGTCCCTTTGTATTTGTCCACAAAACAGTACTTGAGCTCATAGTCGCTGAGCAGATCGTGTACTTCCTGCAGGAAACGAAGCCAGAGGACAAGATGTTACTAGGGATGGCAGGGAACGACCCAGGGCAGCGGTCAGTGACCCAAGGCAGCCATCAGTGGCTTGGCGACCGTGGCTCAGCCGCCCAGGCAGGCAAGCAACCACCCCTATCTTGCAAATGAGTGGCCACATTATTTGCTCAAGGCCATTAAGCCAACACTGCAGAGGTGGGATTACGGGCTCCTAACACTCCACCTTCAGGGAATCTGCTGAGTCTTTTATTACTGAGCCTCTGTTTGCAAAATTTAATGTTTCCAAACTCCATAGTTATAGAACCACCAATCAATTTTGGAAGTGAGGAAACTGAGGCTCAGAGAAGAAACATGCTGCAGAGTTAGTCAGGGCAGCAGCAGGAGCGTCACTCAGGGTTGCCCTGCCAGGGAGCACAGGCACTAAAAAGCCCACATTGGGCAGCTCGCTCAACTCACTGACCTGCTCCTTTTTGAGGGTCACCTTCTTATCTGCGGACTTTGAGGGTGAAGCCCTGGGCTTGTGGCTCCAGAAACAAATCGGAACATGCATGGTAGCCTCTTGCCCAGGATCTGTCCCCAAATCATAACCGCCTAAGACCTTTAGGGCCCCACTAGCCAGTGCCCACCTGTGGGTTCAAGAAGGCCAATGGTTGATATGTTGGGGGGCTAGAGAGTGGGGACTCCCAGAAGCAGAAACCTCACCATCTCACTGAAGCAGGGCAGGGCAGGGCAGGGCAGGGCAGGGCAGCATATATGGCATTTCGCTGGGTCCAAAGAGCATTGGGGAGCCGTGCCCCAAGTCAATCCCAAGACAAGGGCGCTCCTGGCTGCAAGATTAGCCAAGAGAAGCTCCACAGATCACCCCCTTCGCTTTTCTGGAGATTTGAAAAAGGCTAGCAGGAAACCTCATTTTCCCAAATCCTTTTCGGAGAAGGCTTCCCCAACTTCCGGCTCTCTCCCAGAAAAGTCCATCAGTGCGTGATAGGGAAGGGCACATACACTAACCCGGAAACTTCTGGCTATATGGTCCCCGCCATGCCGGAATAGGCAACTGGGGAAAAGTACAATCCGAGATGGACTCACCTGGAATCCCATTTCCACTTTTCCCAACTTGGCAGCCCATTCACGATCCCCTTAGCTAGTCCAAAACTGCCCGCCCCCTTTAACCACTCAGTCTCGCCCAAGCTAGTGGTCGCCCCTAGCAACGGTCTCCCTCAGTCCAAAGTTGGTTTCTCCCTTCTCCACGACCCCCCACAAATCGTTCGTTCTTGGTCTCTCCCAACCCCGCCAGTAACCCGCGCCGGGACGCCCCTGCTGACGCTCCCCCTTCACAGATGCCGCCACTGGTGTCGCCTGGTTTCCCCCGCGCACGCGCACGGTGGTATTTCCCGCCACGCTCTCACACCGCCCCCCCATACCTGGTTGGTCACGTCCCCCGGGAGGCCCCGGATCAGTATCTTGCGGCGGTTACGAAACTGTCTTTCGGTGTGTTCCAGGCGTTTCCGGATCTCTTCTGGATCTAGCGGCAGCAGCTCTTCTTCAGGCGCCCGGCGCTCTGTGGTCTCGGTGGCTTCAGCCTCGGCCCCAGGCTCCGGGCTTAGCGGGGGCCGGTGAGTAACGGACACGTCGGCCGCCATCTTGGGAAACCCGGCGCCTTCTGGGACCAGCGAGACAGGGCGGAGCGGCATAGAGCGGCAAAGAGTACGAGCCTACCGATTGGTCGAGAGAATCCCCGCCTCCCTCCAGAGCCTTCCAGCCCATTGGCGAAAGCCCAGCCAGCCTCTCAGAATAGGGGACGCGTCAGGGTCGCCATAGACACCGCCCCCTTCCGTAAGCCTCACTGCCATTCAGTAGAAGCGTGGAGTGGTGGAGAGAGCCCAGTGGCGCGTATGGACGCCAACCAGACTACGGAGTTTAAAGGCTTTATTGGTGGGAAATTCCAGGGTACAGCCAAAGTCCCGGTTGTCTTTGTCCCAGAATCCCGACATCCCCCAGCTCAGGACGCCTCTTCCCCCGTTGTGTCTTCAGGCTCCCTAGCCGTCAGGGGCACCGAGTTGCTTTGCTGCGTCACGTGGTAGATGTCGCACCGTTTCTGCTTCCCGAAGACACATAGTAAGGCCCCTGAGATAATGACCACGCCCAGGACAGCTAGCACTATCATGATGATGGAGACCGAAGAGAACTTCGAATCTGCGCAGAGAAAGCTGGGAGTAAATATTCGTCTCTGGACCCCCGTGGGCTTCCTTCTCCAGAGCCAGGGCGCTTCTTTGGCTCCTTGTCCCGCAGCTTGGCCTCCTGGCAGTGGTAACTGACTTTGTAGTGCGACAAGGAGCAGGATACCGAGGGGTACCGCATGCCCGGAGCCTCCTGGCAAACAGCCTCGAGGTTGGGTTGCCGAGGTCCTGACCGTGCAATAGAATAGTGTAGTCTCTGCACTGCATGTAGTGGGGACATTTGGCCTGATCAGTCTTTTTGTTTTTTCAAGACAAGAAAGACCTTCCTACATACTCCAGTCAAACTCCTGGCGATCCTCCTGCCTCAGCCTCCCGAGTGCTGGGATAACAGTGTGCCACCACACCTGGCTGAGATGCTCTGTGTAACCACCAGATTATTGGATACCCCAAACCCTTGAGACGGCAGGGGAAAGTTAAGATAAGGCAATAAAGATTTAAAAGGTTAAAGTGACCAACTCACTCAGGACATGCAGCTGGACAGCCGTGCTTTTATATACAAGCTCTCCAGCTACCTCGAGAGTGGCGTTGCATATGAAGTGGCGTCCGTCGTCGCTGTCAGTGGCAGTTAGCTGAAGCTGGGCAGGTTTCCCCGGAGATGGGGCCCTGATTCCATCCAGTATGACCTGGGCTTGGGATCCGGCCGTGCAGGTCACATTCACTGTGGACCCCTTGGTGACCCTGGTCTCGCTCAGGCTCAGATTGGGCGCCGGGAAGCCTAAAGTTTTGGCAGGGCATTGCCCATGGACTTGGTCACCGTGACCATCCTCTGGGTCCAGCTGTGCCCTCCTCCTATACCTTTCCTACTGGGTGAACAAAGAAGCAGTTCTTTGGCACCCCCTCCCCAATTTGGGGCGCTTGCGAAATACTTTTCAGGTTACCCAGGCCTTGCCTATACTGCAATTCTGTTTGGGCAGCTCAAACCCTGACTTTCGGCTGTTCATGCTATGTAGTATCCGCCCCCATACGCTCCGCCCTTGGCCGGGAAGCCACGCCCCGGGGTTTTAGGCCACGCCCTTCACCACACCCCCTCTTACAGTAGACTGTTGTCAAAGTCTGGGCATAGTGACTCACGCCTCCCAGGGTCATGTTGCAGCTGATCTTCTGCGTCCCCTCCTGATCCAAGCACACAGTGGCCGAGGCCTTGACCAGGTCACCATCCCTTGTAACTACAGTAGTCAGCATCTGGTTCCCCATCGAAAGGTGCACCTGGGCCTCGGAGGCTGGGAAAAGCCCATCCAGAACACAATTCACTGGCACCTTCATGCCCACCTCCAAGGACCTGGGGGCCAGCAGGTGCGGCGCAGTCACCGGCAGGGCTGAGGAGAAGGATAGATGTAAGCAGGTGGCTAAGAGGGACAACGTCATCTCTACAACAGGATCCTTGGATGTATTTACTGTATTTGGTTTTGTTTTGTTTTGTTTTTGAGGCAGGGTCTGACTATGAAGCGGAGACTGGCCTTGAGCTCATGGGGATCCTCCTGCCTCAGCTTCCCTAATGCGGGGATGATAGGTGGACACTGACCTCTTTCCAAAGTGACGTGAATTTCAGCAAGCGTCACTCCCCTTCCAAGGACCTCTGTTTCCCAAGAGTCCCCTCCCTCCGAGCCCACTTCTGCAGCGCCTCACCAAATGTCCGGAGCTGCCTGGCGGCCGAGGTGTTCACAAAGAGCTCTAGGCCTTCAGGTCGGAGGTCCAGCTCCGTGCGGCACGAGAAGTTGGCGCCATGGTCATCTCTGCCCACCTGCACCGTGGCTGTGACCTCCCCAGGCTCCCCGACGACCTGCTGCCTGCTCAGCTCCTCCTGGTCCCATAGCAGCACCGCGGTGAGCCTGTCCCGGGGTGCTCCACCCATTATGAGGCATCGCAGGGTGAGGTTCTCACTCACGGGCTGCCAGGGCGGCAGGCGGCCCAGCTCCACCCGCTCTGGAAACCCTAACAGAGAAGAAGCGGACAAGGGCAGTTAGCAGCTGGCCCTGTTTGAGTTGTTTGGTCTTGTTTTGAGCTAGTGTTGCCAAGTTCCCCAGGCTGGCCTTTAACTTGCATCTTCCTTCCACCAAGACTGCTAAATACCTGGCTTACAGGCAAGAACCTCACCAAATGGCTAAATTGCCCTGATGGGCCTTGAGTGTGTGATCCTCCTGCCTCTGCCTCCAAGAGTGCTGGGATTGCAAGAGTGCACCAACACCCCTGGCTTCTTCTGTGCTTGTAAATGCTGAGAAACTGGAATGGTCCTTAAGAAACCAGTGACAGGGCAGAGAAAGGATTCATCTACGGAGAGCAGGGATTTGGGGGCTCAGTGCAGCTTAACAACAGAGCACTTGCCTAGCGTGCCTGAGGCCTTGAGCTTGATTCCTGGCACTGAAAATAAGTAAATTCATAAATAATCAATAAAAAATATTTTTTTGAGTGGGAGTCTTGTTATAGAGTTCAGGCTAGTCCTAAATTTACTATGTAATCCAGCCTGGCCTTAAATTTTGCACTGATCCTCCTGTCTCAGCCTCCCAAGTGCTGGGAGAGGCATGCGCTACCACATCTGGCAATGAACGATTTTGAAAAGATCTACTGATACTCCGGTAATTGATGTATTTTGCAGCTGCTGCCCTAGTGTACGGGGTGACCCCTGGCCTCCACCCCCAGGCACGGCCACCTACTGTACACAGTGATGTTGGAGGAGGCTGTCACTTGCGAGCTGCCGCACAGGGCAGAGCATATGATGGTGCTGTCTTCAGTTAAATTGCTGAGCCAGAAAGTTGCCTAGCCTGGGCCGCTGCCGTTGAGCTGCTTCGGCAGGGATGTCTCCAGTCCGAGGAGTGAAGGGCTGGGGCAGCCGGCGCTGCAGTTAACCAAGACAGGGCCACCAGCAGCAGGCACCGCGGCTGGGGACTCCAGGTGCAGCTGGAACTTCTGCCCCTGGGGACCTGGAGGAACACGAGGACGGCGAACTGTGGTTTTTCCGTTGCCCACAATCTACTCAGCAGCAGGTGCCACCTCCCTCCATGCGTGAGGAAGGCAGAATCAACGAGGGACGGGCAGCGCTCAGTGAGGCTGGGAAGATGACCCAGCCAACAGGAAGTGATCAGGGAAGGCACCCTCCATGAAGAGGAGGCCACCTGGCCATGGTTTGCTTTAGACAGGGTCTCACTGAGCAGTCCAGGCTGGCCTTGAACTCACTATGCAGCCCAGGCTGGCTTGGAACTCTCAGGGATCCTCCTGCCTCAGCCTCTGGAGTGCTGGGACGATGGGCGTGCACCACCGCACCAGGTCCTGTGGCCAGCTGGCCAGGAGAAAGGGAAAGTGATCTCAGAAGCAGGAACGGCAGAGGCCAGTGCTGGGGTAGTGAGGGCAGCGTTGCAGAACGGAGAGCGCCATGACACGTGTGCTGTGGGCGCACACGTCAGCAGCAGGGATCTGACCAGGCTGGGGCTCAGTGTAGGATTCAGCGCTTTCTTGCTGCTGCCGGAGGAGCCCTAGTCAGGTCTGAGTATAACGGAAGAGTTCCCTGTCACCCGAGGCCTGGGTGTCGCTCGCTCGGCCAGTGAGAGAGGCTTCCCTTTGGGCTGCTGGGGACCCTGGCTAAGGCCCAGCCCCGGCCCTCCCAGCCCAGCACCTCACCTTGGGCCAGCAGACACAGCAGCACGACGGAGATCCACGGGATCACGCAGGTTCCCCACAGCAGCCTGGCAGGCATCATGGTGGCCTGAGAAGTTGCCCGTGGGCCGGGGAGGCGGAAATGAGCGGCAAGGATTGCACAAGCAGCGCTGCACTTTGCCTGAAGGGGCAGGGAGAGGAAGCCCCGAGCCTCGGACGGGGGCCAGGGTCCACCAGCAGGACAGGGGGGCTCTCAGCTGCACAGCCGGCTCCCAGAGGGGCCTGTAGGAAACGCTCAGAAAACAGGCAGATGCTTTCTGTCCCCAGCTGGGTGAGTGTCTTCCGGGGGAATTTGGGCACAGGGTGTGGGACTGACTCAGAGAGGAAGTTAACAAGAGGTCTCCCCCTTTGAGGCCAAAAGGTAAGATTTCCTTTTGTTTCGGTTTCTTTGTCTTCTCTGTACTTAGGATTTCCTACGCTGGGTGTAGACTGAACCTGCCACCCTCCTGCCTCAGCCTCCCAGAGTGCTAGATGCATGCACCACCAAGCTGGGCTTGCTTTCACTGTACAGTTCAGTAGCATTTATTAATACCGTCACATTGGTGCTTAACCAGTATCACTTTTTTTTTGGATCAGGGATCGAACTTAGCCTTGCACTTGCCAGGCGGGCACTGTGCCCCTGAACTATAGCCCTGGTCCTCCAATACCACTCTTTTTTTGGTCTTTTTCGGTTTTATCGGTACCAGGGATTGAACTCACGACTGTCTGCTTGCAAGGCAGGCGCTTATGCCGCTGAGCTAAACCCCCAGCCCTCCAACACCACTCTTATTTCCAGAACTTTTTCACCATTCCCAACTGCACCTCTAAGAGACAGAAGAGGTGGCGCATGCCTGGACTCCCAGCGTTCCGGAGGTGAGGCAGGCGGATTGCTGTGGGCGGCCAGCCAGCCTGGGCTACAAAGTGTTCGAGGGCCAGCCTGAACCACATGGGAAGAACATGTTTCAAAAAAAAAAAAAAAAAAAAAAAAAACAAAACCCAAAGTGGCCGGTGGTTTAGCTTAGTGGCATAAGCGCCAGGGTTAGAGGAGTGCGCCACCACGCCTGGCTCCTCACGGTCGAATTCTTTGTGTGCTGGCACAGCACTGTCATTACAGCTCGTGGGTATATACACACACACCCCACACCAGGAACTGAACTCGCCACGCTCGCTTGCGAGGCAGCGCTGTGCTGCTGAGCTGTGTCCCAGCCCCTGGTTATGTGTTTGTGAGATACGTGTTGAAGCGCTTATAAACACAATGATAATGATGTCTGAAATTTGCTTCAAAATTATCCAGGGACTGCCAGGCATGGTGGCACACACCTGTCATCCCAGCACTCAGGAGGTGGGGCAGGAGGACGGCCCTGAGTTCGAGAGCAGCTTGGGCTCCACAGTGAGTTCAAGGCCAGTCTGACTATACAGTGAGATCGTGTCTTACAAAAAATAAAGTGAGAAAGAAAGATAGATAAATTATTCAGGGGGGCTGGGGATTTAGCTCAGTGGCATAAGCACCTGCCTTGCAAGCACGAGGTTGTGAGTTCGATCCCCGGTACCAAAAGAAAACAGAAAAACCACCCAGCTGTGGACTCCATTCCCAGAACCAAAACAAAGAAGGGAGGGGAGAAAGGGAAGAGAAGGAGGGAGAGAGAGAGTACAACTTAGCAAAGGTGGCAGAGACCTGCAGTTCCAGCTACCTGTGAAGCTGAGGCAGGAGAATCTCCTGAGCCTAGGAGTTCAAGGTCAACCGGGATTCTATAGCAAGACCTTTTCTCTAAAAACAAGACTGGTTGTAGGGGTTGGAAATTATTAGCCAGCTGATGATTAAGATATAGTTTCATTACATTTTTTCTACTTCTTTTTGAGACAGTTTCACTCTGTAGCTCAAGCTGGCCTTGAACTTGTTATGCAGCACCTGCCTCGGCCTCCTGAGTGCAGAGCTGACAGGTGCGTGCACAGTGTCACCCCGTTTCTCCCAACTCTTAAGCACACTTTAAATTATGCATAATGAAAGTTTTGAAAAGAAACTAAATCCACAGGAAACCCTGCATGTGGGCACCGATTGTGGCTTTACGCATAACTGCCAAAACTTAGAAGTCACCAGGGTGTCTTTCAGGCGGGGAATGGGTAAACTGTGGCACATCCTGACAGCGCAGTGTCACTCAGTGCTAAAAATGAAAAACCACAGTGGAGGTGGACGCCTGTCATCCCGGTCACTCGGGGCCGAAGCAGGACTGCAAGGTGGAGCCCAGTCCGGGTATTTACTTTTTTATCTGTCTTTTTGAGACAGGGTCTTGTCAGGCTGGCCTTGGGCTCACTTTGTAGCCCAGGATGGTCTCGAACTCACAAGGATCCTCCTGCCTCAGCCTCCCGAGTGCTAGAGAAGCTGTTTGAAAATAAAAATTTAAGCAGGGCTGGGGGGTTAGTGCCAGAGCTCTGCCCAGTGTGTGTGAGGCCGTGGGTTCCTGCCTATCACCGCAGTCCCAGGCACAGGGAGACAAGGAGAGCGGGAGGAGGAGGAGAAAAGCAACACTAGAAATGAGCTCGCAAGCTACAGAAACAAACGAAAGAAACGGAAGTTTGTATTTCATTAGGTCACAGAAGCCAGTCTGTTTTGGGTTTTTTTTTGGTACTGGGGATCAAATTCACGCTTGCCAGGCAGGTGCTTACGCAGATGCCAGTCTGAAAGGGCTTCATATCTCCAGGTGGCTGCCAGGGTGATGGGGTGCACCAGAGCCACCCTCTGAGTTAAACTTTAACCCAGGCCCAGAATTGCCAGGTCCGAACACAAAGGGAACAGGTAAGCAGCTCACCCAGTTTACACAGAGAAGGCTCTGGGCACTCACCTGCACTTCAGCGGCCCCAATTCCCACGTCACTGACTATGCCATTATAACGCCAGGCTCCTCCCCCGGCTTTTGATGCTATGGCAGCTCCCCTAAGTGCCATAAGGGGTCAAGAAGTCCACCACACATCTGTCACCCCGGCACTCAGGAGGCTGAGGCAGGAAGATCACTGTGAGCTCCAGGCCTGGCTGGGTACCATGGACTACATAGCAAGACCCTGTATCAATAAAAAACAAAAACCAAGACAAAACGGAGTAACAACAATATCCTATGTTTATTAAGCACCAATCTACAGGTCGCTCTGCTGAGCAGTATTTATGGGCCAGGGCCACCTCATGGACAGTGCACATCAGTCCTGTGAGGTAGCTAGCTGGGCCATCCCAGGGCTGGAGGGAGGCCCAGAGAAGTTACACAATGCTCTGAGGTCACACAGCAAGGAAAGGTCAACCCTGGCAGTCAAATTGGTGAGGCACGTGGGCCTGTGGGGGCTCTGTACATGTAGCAGGAATTACTGGGCACCGCCATCTGCCACCTGTGTACCTGGTACAGGTGCACGCAGGGGTGGTGGTTTCGGTTTTTTTGTTTAATTTTTCGTGCTGGGGATGGAACCCTAGACCTCTGCACTGAGTTACATCCTCAGACCTTTAAAAATAATTTATCTTGGGGCTGGGGATTTAGCTCAGTGACATAGGCACCTGCCTTGTAAGCAGGCGGTTGTGAACTCGATCCCAGGTACCGATAAAAAAAAAAAATTTATTTTTGACACAGGGTTTTGTTATGCATTCTGGGCTGGCCTGAGCCCACAGCTGTCCCCCTGCACACCACAGCAAGAAGTTTAACAGCGACCTCTCCTCACTGCAGTCCACAATGTTATCCTCAGCTGCCGGCCACAAGGACCACAGGCACCAGGGGTGGAAGAGGAGCTTATCTGAGGCCCGCGGAGACAGCGGGTCCTGTGTGTCAGTCTCCGGCAGAAGGCCTGCTCAGCCCCCATCCATCCTGGGTGCCTTGGGGTCACAGCACCAGTGCAGATGGAGTCCACCTTGGGGGCGAGCCAGGCTGGCCTCCTGCTCTCAGGTCCTCGCCTCTGCCAGGACAGCTTGGAGCCATGGGGAGCAGGCTGCCCAAGGCCTCAGCACACAGTGAACACGGAGGCGGCCTGGCCCTGGTGTTTCTCCTGCTCCGACTTGAGGATGGGAACCAGGTTCTGGAAGGTGGGCCGGAAGGAGGCCTGGGCTTCCCAGCAGTTCTTCATGAGGAGATAGATCTGGCGGAGGAGAAGCGGGCTGCAAGACTGCTGCTTCCTGCCAGCTCAGTCTGGGAAACGGACAGGGCGGGGCGGCTCACCTCCGGGGGACATCTGTCTGGCCGGGGCAACCTCTCTCCTTGTTCCAGCAACTCCGTGAGCCTCAGCACAGTCATCTGGCCCTGGGTGACGCCTATGAGCTCCATGAATTTCTAGGTACAAGCCACATGAGCTTTTTTTTTTTTCTTTTTTTCCCCCTGAGGCAGCAAAGACCACCAGGCAGAGGCCAAGAGCCTGGGATTCCAAGGTCACAAGTTCTAATCCCACCTCAACACTTCTCAGCTGTGTGATTTTGGATTTCTCACCAAGCCTCTCTGGGCCTCAGTTTCTCATTCCTGAAATGGGATGCTAACCCTAACCACATCTACCACTTTAGGTTGGGATAAAGTTACAAAAATTAACGGGGAGTAAGCCTCAGTCACAGGCTTGCTGTTAGAAAGCTTCTCAGGAAGTGGGTTTGAATTCTGAGGACTAAAGATTTCTGTAAGTTTTTTTTTTTTTTTCCGGTCTTTTTTTGAGACAGGGTCTCGCTAATGCAGTTCAGGCTGGTCTTGAGCTCACTTTGTAGCCCAGGCTGGCCTAAACATTGCAGCGATCCTCTTGCCTCAGTCTCCTGAGTGCTGGGGTACAAGCATGAGCCACCAGGCCTTGTTTGTAATTAATTTCTTGAAATGAGGTTTTCATTATGTTGCCCAGATTGCTTTTGTGAGTCCTAGACTCAAGCAATCATCTTGCCTTAGTCTCTGGAGTAGCTGGATTATAGCTGTGTAGAAAGCTTCCAAGGAAGGCACAAGTTTTTTCTTCATTAAATACATCTTGCTTAGCCCTGCCCCTAACCCAGGCCTGGCCAATCACTGAAACCCACGGATAAGCAGTGATTGGCTAGAAAGTGGATACATGAGCCAAGTTAGGCCAATCAGATAAAGTCCTGGGGTTTATGTGCGGGGGGAGGGATAAAGGAAGACCCTTGGTCCTCATCATTTCAACAGCGTTTCTGTTACACAGCCCTGCTGTAAGAGTAATGGTACCCACCTGTCTCAGCCTTTGGGAGGCTGAGGCAGGAGGATTGCAAGACTGAGCCTGCCTGACCAATTTACCAAGACTATGTCTTAAAATAAAAAGTAAAAATTTCTGCTGAAGATGTAGCTCAGTGTTCAGACCCTGGGTTCAATCCCTAGCACCCCTCCTACCCTTCAAGCAGCCCATCTTCCAGATCAGGCTGTGGCGGGAAAAGCATCACTAGAGCGGAGCGCAGGGCTTCGCTTTTGCCTTCCTAATCCCCCACCCTCACTCCAAGAACTCGAATGAGGGGCACAGGCCTGGCTCTCACCGAGGGCGGGCTCTGCCTGGAGTCACAGTACGTCAGCAGCTCATACAGCGTGACACCGAAGGACCAGACGTCGGACGCATAGTAGAACTTACACTCTTTGAGGCACTCAGGGGCGTACCTGGGGAAAAGGGGCGCTCAGGTCTGGGGACTGGATTCAAGCTCAGGGGGTCTGAAGGTCTCTCATCCTATTTGGGACCCTATAGGGTCTTGGGGACAATCCAAGATGGCCCTGCCCTCAGCCTGGTCCCACCCGAGGCCCCTCCCAGGTCCATGGGGAGCACCCTGCCACCCAGCATCCGCTGCGGGCACCTGGCCTTTTCTCAGTGACTCGGGGATACCCCCACCCCCAGGCCGCGCTCCGCCTGGTCACCAGAACACGGGGCTGTCCCCGTCCTCGCGCACGTGGTAGTACTCGTGGCCTTCAGGCACAGCCTTGGCCAGGCCGAAGTCCCCGATCTTGACGAGCCTGTCGTTGTCCAGCAGCACATTGCGCGCGGCCAGGTCGCGGTGGATGTAGTGCTGGGCGTGCAGATAGGCCATGCCCTGGGGCGGGGCGGGGCAGGGCACCATCAGGAAAGCGGGGTGCAGCACCCAGGCGGCAGGATGGCTGGGCGACAGTCAGGTGAAGCCTGGAGACCCGGCCACCTGGGAAAGCAGGGCGGCTGGCTGGTGGCGCCAAGCAACGGAAGAAGGAACTAGATAGCGGAGGCGGGTCCCACAGAGGAGCGCGGGAACTGGGAGGGGCTGGGCGTGGCCACAAAAGCGAGTTAGGGGGTGCGCCCGAGGGCGGAGTCAGATGAACAGGACCCCAGGCAGAGGCCGGAGACTCGGTTCGGGAAACAGGAGCAGCAGCGTGGCGGGCTTGGGGAGCAGGGGGGAGCCGGCCCACCTCGCAGATCTGCTGGGCAAACAGCAGCAGCTGGGCAAGGCCGACGCTGTGCCGGGGCAGGTAATCTCGGAGGCTGCCCAGCGGCACGTACTCCATGACAAGCTGCACCGACTTCTCGCCTGTTGTGGAGAGGCCCCAAGGGGTCAGACGGGGGGCCTAAGGCACTCACCCCACCCCGAAGGGCTCTTCCTCAGGTAGAGGGAGAAGGCAAAGTCTGCGCAGGGGGGAGTCCCATCCTGATCCCCGTCCCCGGAGGCGGAGGTTCCTCACAGCCCACCTTGGGGCAAGCAGGCAGCCCAAACCCTTCAAAGTCGGATCCAGACTGTCCGGCCACACCCCCAAAGAGGAGGGGATTCTGGGGAAGATCCTAATTGGTCATGCCAGGACGGCCCCACCCACAAAGCGCACCAATCACTTCGGCCCGTGGCCACACAGTGATTGGCTACAAAATCACTAGCTAGCCCCGCCCCGGAGCACGAAGCCCCGCCCCGCGCCGCCCACCTTGGTCCTCACAGCAGCCCTTGTACTTGACGATGTGCTCATGGTAGAGCGTGCGCAGGATGTCGATCTCCCGCCTCCAGCCCGAGTGGAGCTGAGGCCCACAGTCCGCCTTGAGGGATTTCACGGCCACCATCTCGCCAGTGCCATCGTTGTTTGGGTCATAGCAGTACAGGCTGACCTTGCCAAAGTGACCCTGGCCAGAGAGTGCGTGAATGTCAACCCACCTGTGTTCCCAGGCCACGCTCCAGCTAGATCCGTTTGTAAAGATTTGAGCCCCGCCTGCTGCGTGCCCAAGGGTCTCCTTAAGGGTTCCAATCCCTTACAATCCCAAGCCCCTCCCCCTTTCACAGGCCCCGCCCATTCCCTGCAACCCAGCCCGTTCTCCAGGTTCTGTGCCAGCCCTGCCAGGCCCCGCCTCACCTCCCCCAGATCGCGGATCTTTTTCAAATAGCGCTTATGGAACACCGTGGGGTCTGACGCTGGTGACTCGGGGTTCACAGTCGAGATGTCCGCAAGACCTGGAGGAGCCGGCAGGCCCACAGTGGGGGGTTCCGAGGTGGGCCTTACTCCGCTAGCATCCCATCCCAGAGGTAAGGAAAGAGCTACACAGCCTGAAACTGACTCCTCTCCCAGCACACTCTGGGCCCCACTGCAGGGACCGTGGGGACCCGGAGCCTGACACCTTCCCACCCACCCCACGCCTGTGCCCCTCCCCAGGGTCCAGGCACCAGGTGGGGCTCACTGTGGGGCTGCAGCCGAGTGAGGTCACGCAAGATGGTGCGGAAGGACGGCCGCTGGGCCCGCTCATAGCTCAGGCACTGGCTGGTGACTGCGGCCAGCTCAGGGCACGCGGGCTCGGGCAGCTGGTGCTGCTTCTGGTAGAAGCGCTCTTTCTGCGGGGGCAGGGAGCAGCCAGAGTCAGCACCTCACCTGGGCTCACATACATCCCCCTCAGAGTGGCAAGGTGGCCTGGCAAGGCGCCTACAATCCTCCTTCCCATTTCCCAGAGGAAGAAACTGAGGCTCAGAGCCAAAACTCAGCCGGACTCACTGTGTCCTACAGGAGCACCTCAAGGTCACCTTTCCTAGTTAACATGAAAGCCCCAGGGCCTTTGCACAGGGAGTGTCCTCTTCCTGTCTGCCCTTCCTACCCTGGCTCACCCACCTAATTCTGAACTTAGATAAAAGCTCCTCTGGGAACTGACTGTGGTGGTAGACAACTGTCACCCCAGCACTCGGGAGGCTGAGGCAGGCCAATCACTGTGAGCTCAAAGCCAGCTTGGGCCCCAAAGTGAGTATAAGGCCAAACTACCCAGGAAGACACTGTCTTGAAAACAAAAAAATGACAGCTCTCGGCAGCCCATCCAGCTGCCGTCTCAGCTGGTCACAGAGCCCTCTCCTCCCTGCCCTGGTCACTTCGCCCTTCCTGGAGAGGTTAGGGAGAGATGCCCAGCTGAGTACCTCGGAGGGGGCGCGGCCCTGCAGGGGCACCTCGCCGTCAAAGCAGATCTCCAGCAGGGTGGCTCCGAAGCCCCACTTGTCCACGGCTGTGCTCAGGCTGCCGGCCCCGGTGGGCAGGCTCTCGGGCGCCGTCCAGGGGATGCGCTCCACCCGCTCTGGGGGACAGGGCACGGTCACCACGGGTGAGCAGAAGGGCAGCCCTGCACTCAGCCCCACTGACTCCGGGGCCACTCACCCTCCCTGGAGAGGGCACCCAGCCCCACGCCAGGGTCACTGAGCTTGATGAACGGGCTGGTGCCTTCTGCCAGCCCCAGCCGGGCCAGGAGGATGTTCCGGCCACACACATTCCCGTGCACCAGGTTCTTGTCCTCCTGGCATAGGATGGGAGGAGAGGGGTACTGCAGAGGCGCACAGATTCCACCTCTAACCCTTATCCCGGAGGCCCCCATGGGAAAGACAATCCTGGACATTATTGAGATGCCACTACACTGTCACTGTCCCCAGACAGCACAGGGCTGGGGTAGGTCTGTCTGTTCTCCAAGACTCACTAGTGGCTGAGGCCCTTGGCCAGGTACAAAAGGCCAGAGAAGCCCACCACTGCCCCAGGGCCTTGGCACTTGCTACTCCTTCTGCCTGAAATGCTTTCCCCAAATGTCTCATAGTACCCTAATTTACCTATTAAAATTTCACTTTTCAAATTTTTTTTTGGAGACAAGGTCTCATTATGTAGGCTGGCCTTGAATTCAGTGATCCTCCTGCCTCAGCCTCCTGAGTGCCAGGATTATAGGCATGTGCTATCAGAAATGAGGTATAGCCTACAGGAGGCGGCGCTGAGGTTCCAGGCAATCTAGACAGCACTCTAAGGAGGGACCTAGCATCCCGAATCTGGTATCCTCTGGGTCCTGGACCAAACCCCTGAGGGGCTGTCTGTGGTTTTCTCTCTCCCAACGGGAACGCAGTCCCCGAGCACAGGGATCTGACGGTTTTGGTCCCTGGCGCTGTCCCCAGGGTTTAGGACAGGGCCTGGGAGCCAGGGTACAGTTGACAGTAAATGCAGGCGGAGAAGGGGCGCTGGGAACACATGACAGAACAAGGAGGGACCAGGACGGGCAGGGCAGGGATCCAGGGGACAGGACAGGTTTATGGCCAGCTGTCCGTCCCCGGGTGGGCACAGGGGCCAAGAATGTGCTGTAGTCACTGGCCCCCAACATCCGGGCCGCCCAGCACACGTACCAGGTAGCTGAGGGCGCTGGCCAGCTGCTGGGCAACCACCAGCTTCCAAGCCAGGGGCACACGGCCCCGCTCCCGCCGCAGCCACACGTCCAGGGGCCCGTGCTCCACGAACTCAGTCACCATGATGTCTGCAAAGACCCAGCGCTCCAGGGGCCGCCTCCCCTGCCTCTGCTGTGGCCCTGCTGGGGAACCCTGGCCTGGGACTTGGGGGCTGGCGCTGGGGCAAGGGACAGCTTTGTGGTGGGACTTGACGGAGGACAGGGACCTGCGGAATGAAGCCCAGGGGAGGCAGAGGAGGCCAGGACACTGGCTGCGGGAGGGGTACGCACAGCAGTGGGGGTGGGCGTGGGGACAGAGACCACAGGACAGGCACCTGAGGCCCTGGCGTGGGGCTGGGGTCACCCTTTCCGTGCATCACTTTGTTTGTATCTTTTTTTTTTAAAGACCACAGATGGAACCCAGGGCCTCTGCACTGAGCTGCAGCCCCAGCCCCACCCCTTTGATTCTGGGACTAGGTCTCTAAATTGCTAAGTTGCCCAAGGTGGGCTAGAACTTGCGATCCTCCTGCCTCAGCCTCCCAGAGTGCTGGGGTTGCAGGTGTACGCCACCATGCCTGGCACGTGGGGTTTTGAGGTGTGTGCAGAGGTCTGGGAGGCCTGGGGTACACAGGGCAGGGGTCTGCTGGGCCACAGCTCTGATGGCCGGAGGGCCCTGGAGGCAGCAAGTGTCAGGTGGGAGATGGGGACCGACACAGTTGGGAAGGGGGGCGGAATGAGGTCACCGTGCAGACAGGGGTCAAAGAGTAACCAGAAGGGGAGGTCAGCATCTATGGGGCGGGGAACAGAGTGCAGGGCAATATGCACTCTGTAATCCCTGCAGTCTGGGAGGCTGAGGCAGGAATACTGCAAGTTTGAGTCCAGCTTGGACAACTGGGCACCTTGGCCAGGAAGAGTCAGCCATTGGGTTCAGCCTTGGTGCCGGGGTCTGGGTGCAGCCCCGGGGGCGGGCCAGGCGGGGTGTGGGGTACTCACTCTCAGAGCCACGCACGCAGACACCGTGCACGAAGGCCAGGTGGACGTGAGACACCTGGCTCATGAGGCTGGCTGTCTCATAGAAGGCCTGTGGGGACAGCGGCTCAGCCGGCTGCGTCCTCCCCCACCCCGCCGCCCCCCGCACAGACCCAGAGCCCTCGGCACACGCACCAGCATGATGTCATGGTGACCTGGGTCCAGCACCTTCAGCACCACACGCAGCTCCTGCCCACGGCCCCCACTGGGCTCCCCAGAGTCCACGCCATCCTCTTTGTCCTCCTCGGGCGTCCCCACTCTCAGGAGACCCTCATACACGTTGGTCCTCGTGCCCTGGCCCAAGTGTGACAGCTGTGGGGAAGGGCACAGAACTCCACTGTGAGCCATGCCAGGAGTGGAGGCCCACACCTATAATCCTGCACTCAGGAGGCCGAGGCAGGACGAGTGCCACGAGTTCGAGGCCAGCCTGAACTGCACAGTGAAAACAAAGACCATGATGCCCGCTCCCACATCCCCAGGACCCCTAAGTTCTGCCCCGCACTCTGTCCGGGCTGCCACCCGCCTACCTGGGTGATGTCATCCTGCTGGACTCTGTGGAAGCTCAGCTGGCTGAGGTTGAGCTGCCGGGTGCGGGCCTGAGGCCCCCGCTTGATGATGAGGTTGGAGATCTCTGGGGACAGAAGTCCAGGGCTGAGTGGGCCGGCCCGGCGACCCGGACGCCACGGCCACCACGCTGTGGCCCTCGTCCCTCCTCGTACCTCCTGGCCGGGGCAGGCAACACCTGCGCAAGGAGAAGCAGTGGTCCCCAGCCCGGAGGCAGCAGCCCCGCAGGGCGCCCCGAAGGGCGCGCACGCTGGGGAAGGAGCGGTCCCAGCCCTCCAGCACGAAGCCCCCGGCCTGCCGCTCGACTGGAAACCTGTGGAGGGACACGCTCCGCACACCACCGTCGCCCGGGCTCTGGAAGGACAGAAGGGTTAGTGGGCGAGGCCCAGGGAAGGACGGGCGAGAGCCCCGCCCTGCCCGCTGGAGCCAGGCTCAGGCTCACCAGGTCCCGCTGGGCCACGGCGAGGAGGAGGCGGTCCAGGTGGCTGGCGCTCCAGTGGAAGAGGTAGAGTCCGTCCTCCAGCTGCAGCTTGGCCCGCAGGAACGGCTCCCTGGAGGTGACAGGGCACCTTCGGTGACAGTGCCACCCGGTACCACGGCCTGACCCACACCCGGCCCTGAGCTTGCCCAGAGGCACAAAGAGCCGGGACATCAAGAGCAGACACCGGGGGCTGGGGATGTAGCTCAGCGGCATAAGCGCCTGCCTTGCAAGCAGGCAGTCGTGAGTTCGATCCCTGGTACCGATAAAAAAAAACCAAAAAGACAAAAAAAAAAAAGCAGACACCAACCTGGCAACGTGCACGAGAAGGAAACGGCCACCCACGCTCCACGGGCAAAGACCCAGCACGGACACACAGCGTGACACTCATGGCCACTGAGCCACACACCGGAAGGATGCCGAGCACAGCCATATCCAACTGACCCACAGGGCAACACAGAGCTCGTATTTGTCAGTTTTTCATGCCTAGGGACGGAACCTAGAGCCACTGCACCATGCGACGTCCCCAGCCCTTTTTGCATATTTGAGACAAGGTCTAAGTCGCTAAGTGACCCTCCTGCCTCAGCCTTCCAAGTGCTGAGGTGACAGGTGTGTGGCCACCCTGGCGAGGCCCATGTGTTAAAGGCTTGGTCCTCAGCATGGCACCGTGGAAGGTGATTGTGACTTCTGAGACACAGAGCCTATGAGAGGGTCACACAGCCTTGGAGGGGACTGCAGGCTCTGGGTTCTTGAAGGGGACAATTTTGCTTGACAATACCCTTCGTCAATGTGCTGTCTCCCCACAGGAGAAGGCACAGAGCCACTGACAGCAGCCCAAATCTTCAAAACTGGGCTGACAGTGGTGGTGCACACCTGTAATCCCAGCACTCAGAAGGCTGAGGCAGGAGGATCGCTGTGAGTTCAAAGCCCACCTGGCTACATAGTGAGTTCAAGGCCAACCTGAACTACCTAACAAGACCCTGTCTCAAGAAACAAACATACAGCTGCACACCTGCAATCCCAGTCTTCAGGAGGCTGAGACGGGAGGAATACTGGGAATCGGAGGCTAGCCTGTCTCAAAACAAAAACAAACATACAAACAAAAATTCTGAACACACACACACAGCAGACAGTTCGGAGTTTCGGTCTTTTAGTGCCCACGGTAGCCGCCTGTCCCCTGCCCTACCGCCGTGGCCACTCACAGCAGAGGCCCGTGGATGCCATCCTGAATGCTCAGGACCAGCCTTGGGGGAGCCACCTCATGGCACAGGTAGTGGCTGGAGTCGGCCGTCAGGCGGAAGTAGCCGTCCACCAGTGCTGCGAAGGACAGGGCGGCAGCCCGGGAGGGCAGGCTCATTTCCTGCAGGCAGGGGGACGTCAGGGGACGCACAGGCCCAGGGCGCCCCGGCTCCCCCAGCCCCATCCGCACCAAGCACTTGTTGTCCTGCCGGTGGACGCTGACGCGACTCTCCTTCAGGACCACGTGGGTGACGTCCCGGAAGTCGCAGAAATAGGTCCAGGGTGGCTGCTGCGGCCGGTCTGCCGGCTGCCCCCCTGCCTCCCTGTGGGCCCTGGCCTTTCTCCCGGGCACCCCGGCTTTCGGATTCCAGCTACCAACACCACTGCCACCGGCGCCCTGAAAGGACAGTTGAGAAGGCAGGGAACGGAAAGATCTGGGGGTTCCCCATGTTTCCCACGGGGGACAGACAGGCATCAGGGGCCAGGGAGTCACACTCGGGTGTCACACGTGGCACCAGAAGCCACGCCCAGGAGCCACATAGCCACGGCCAGAGGGATGTTTCAGGCTTATAATCCCAGTACTTGGGAGGCTGAGGCAGGAGGGTTGCAAACTCAAGTCTAGCCTGGGCAACTTCATTAAATTTCATAAAGGGCTGGGATCTAGCTCAGTGGAAGGGCCTCGGAATGTAAATGAACGGATGAAATACAGACGCCAGAAGCCAGAGCTTAAGGCAGCAGAGGACACTTTTGAGGCCACCCTCATCCCCTGCAACGGTCACAACCCAGATCACAAAGCCGTCCCTAAAGCTGCAGTCTGCAGAAGTCAGGAAAAGCAGGTACACGGAGGCTCCCCTTAAACAATGAACCCAGGAGGAAGAAGGCTGCCCCACCCCACAGGCAGATGGGCAGAGTCCAGCCAAGGCAGAGGGTGCCTGTCCACAGGCAGAGGGTGTCAGGAGTCCAGCCAAGGGGTGCAGGCCCCGCGCCAGGCCCACCCAGAGCCCCGGGGTGGGTGGCGCCCTGCTCACCTCCGGCTGTACCGGGCGCCACTGGATGCCCCCGGTGCCCGTGACCAGCACCTCGTGGGTGGGGGGTCCCGGGGACGAGGCGGGGTCGGGGGCTGCGGGGGGCTCCCTGTCGGCCTGGCACAGCAGCTCCAGGTGACGCACCGGGATGCGCTCGGCGCCGAAGCGGGGCGCCAGGTGCTCCAGCGTGGCCAGGTACTTGACCATGACGGCCCGCCGGGACAGCTGCGCCGTCCGGAAGGTGCGCACGAAGCGCCGGAAGACGCTGCGCAGGCGCAGGCGGGTCAGCACGCTGTGCTGGCGGATCTGCTGCCGAAAGGAGCTCGGGATGCAGCGCGTGAAGCTGGCGAGACACCAGGCGGGCGCGGTCAGGGGCGGGCACAGCCTCAGCGGCTTGGCCTCCCCGGGCCGCCCCTGCTTCACTTAGCCAATGAGTGCGCTGTCACAAACACGAAGGGCTAAATGGCTGGGGCACACCCACGGTCCCAGCTGCTCAGGAGCCCGAGGCAGGAGGATCCCAAGTGCCAGCCCATCACAGACAACGTAGACACTGTCTCACGATAAAAAGGAAAACTAAGGGGCTGGGGACTTAGCTCAGCAGCGTAGGCGCCTGCCTTGCAAGCACGCGGTCATGAGTTTGATCCCTGCCACCGATACAATAAATAAATAAATAAATAAATAAAATTGTAAAAAAGAAAAATAAAATAAATTTTAAAAAGATGGAGCCCCGCACGGCAGCACACACCTGCAATCCCAGCACTCCAGAGGGCTGAGGAAGGAAGATGATAAATTCAAGCCCGGCCTGGGTAATCTGGTGATGTAGTGACAATCTGTCACAAAATCAGAAATTAAGACAGAGCTTGGAGGGGTCGGGGATCTAGCGCAACGGCACAGGGCCTGCCTAGCAAGCATGAAGTCCTGAGTTCAATTCCTGGTACCCAAAACAAAAACAGCTTGGGAAGTTGCTCTGTGCAAAGGCCCCGGGTACAACCACTACTTCCACAAAATGTGGGGATAACTTCGGTTTTTAAGACGGGGTCTCACTGTGTTGTTCAGCTGGCCTTGAGCTCGAGAAACTCTGTCTGCCTCAGCCTCTCTGATGACCGCCGTGTACCATCACACCCAGCAATTTTTATCTTTAAAATGTGACCCGGGCTGTGTTCAGTGCCTAACCTGCATAACAGGACCCTGCCTCAAAAAACCTGGGCATGGTGGCACAAGCCTGTAATGGCAGGATTCAGGAGGCAGAGACGGGAGGATCTCCGGGAGTTCATAGCCAGCCTCGGTTACATAGTAAGACCCTGTCTCAAACCACCTCCTCCCAAAAAAACCCCAAAACTGTTACAGCAAGCGACCTAGGTGGTGCTGGGGATGCAGACATGAGACTTAATTCAGAAGCCGAGCGGGGACAAGCCTCACCTGAAGCACCCGGCCACCGAGCTGGCTTTTATTCAGAGTCTCAGCGCGAGAGGAACAAGCAGGGACCAGAGCTGGGCAGATTTTCTTGGAGAGGGGAAGGACATTGGCCAGACATAAATGTCTCCCTAATCAAAACTTGTGGTTTGGGGCTGGGGATTTAGCTCAGCGGCATAAGCGCCTGCCTTGCAAATAAGTGTGCAGTCGTGAGTTCGATCCCTGGTACCGATTAAAAAAACAAAAAAAACAAAAAACCTTGTGGTTTAAACATTCAATTCTCGCACTGTCTGTGTGCTTTTTGCCCAAAGCTTAATTATTTATATGCTTTTGCCCTGGATTTTAATTATTGCTTCCTTACAGAGCTTATGTGTTGTTTTTGTTTTTGGTACTTGGGATCAAAATGACCTTGAACTTGCCAGGCAGGTGATTGTGCTGCTGAGCTAAATCCCCAGCCAGAGCTACGCGATTTGGTCCCACGGTTTAAACATTCATTCCTGGGCAAGTCCCCTCCAAAAAATAATAAAACAAACAACCAGGATATATCACGCATAGGTACAAATACCCTGTGATGAATGCGATCATTCTTGGTATATCAAAATTATACCAACAAATAATTCAACATAATAAAATAAAAACATAAAAATAAACCAGAGGTGGTAGCTCAGCCCTCTAATCTCAGCCCTTGGAGGCTGATGCAGGAAGATCGCCATGACCTCAAGGCCAGCCAGCAAGTGCAAGACCAACCTGAACTATGTGGCAAGACCCAATCTCCAAACAAACAAACAAACTATAAATAAACAGTAGTTCTGGGCTACAGCTCTTGCCTAATGGAGATGGGCCAAGATGGGTCCCAGATGATACAAATAAACATGTAAAATTTTAAACTATAGTTGTTGGTGTCACACATCCCCTTTTTACTATACTTTTCCACACTGTTAGGCTCACTATTTCAAAGGACGTACTGCACTTTCTGTGTGTACGTGGTGCTGGGACTAAAATTCGGGGCCTTCGCTCTGAGATACATCATGCGCCCTTCTTTTAGATTTTAGTTTGAGCCTGTGTCTTACTGTGTTGCTAAGTTGTCCTGACTGCACTCACCCTGGCAAGCCTCAGCCTCCTAGAGCACTGTGATGACCACCATGTCCAGCACAGTTCACTTTTCACATTCATGAAATGCAAGCACCCCAGTAGCAGGACTTTTTTGTTTGTTGTTGCAGCTATGTGACTGTACATAATAGGTGCTCAATAAGTGCTTGTTAAATGAATGAATGATGGTAAGGCAATACACAAGGCCTACCCTGGCCCCCGACGTATGGGGCATCCTCACACCTTACTCAGTGTCCCCATTCCTTCCCAGGCACCTGATCTCTTTGGCCACCTCCTCCAGAGGGACATTGCGGCAGAAAGCAAGGTGGCAGAGGTGTAGAAATGCCATGCCCAGGCTCTCATTCTTAAAGTGGTGGATTTCCTCCTCACTGGACAGCTCCCACAGGGATATCACATCATTCACAAACTCATACTTGCCCTAGAGGTGAAACAGCAGGCATAAAGGGAAATATGAGAATGCTTCCACTCATTTGCCAGAGAACTGTAGTTTTCTATTTTCAGGTACCTTGTGGACAGAGACCACTGTTTGTGAAAAGGTCAAAAACACAGCACACACATCCCTGCTGCCCACTCTATGCCTGTGGCAGACATCATTAATCTATCCCTGTACTCATTCAACCATTCATGCCAAAATATCCCAGATGGAATGAGTTGACGTTACTCGCTATATTGAACTAGAAAGGAAACTAGGGGTTCCTTTACTACCCCTGAGTCCACCCAGAAAGAGTCCCATCTCTCCAGCTCAGCTCACACCTGCTCAAAGAGGTACTCAAAGGAGGCTGGATCCAAGACTTGTATCCCCTGCTCCGCCTGCTCTGAGGACACCTCGGGCCCTGGGAGTCTGCAGCGGTACACAGGTGGCTCGTGCGGGTTCATGCCATGCCAGTTCCGGAAGTAAAACCTGTGTGACAAGAAGGGACGTGGCAGGGGCTTAGCACAGGCTCAGGCCAGCTCCAGCAAAAGGAGGATGTTGGGGCTGGGCTGAAGCTCAGTGGCTGAGCACTTGGCCGGCATGCGTAAGGCCTTAAGTTTCATCACCAGCACTGGAGAAATAGTAAAAGGGAAAAAACCAGGCATGGTAGTGCCACTGTAACAGCAGCCCGAGGGGGCTGAGACAGCAGGATCACAGTGAGTTCAAGGCACCCTGAACCACACAGCAAGGTCCTATCTCAAAGGACATAATAACAGAATGAGAAAGCGGGCAAGCCTTCCAGGGGCCTTCGCCCACCTCATGCGGAAATACAGTGTCTGGCTTGTGTCTCCAGAAACTTCCAGGATGTGGTTTGGGGGCAGCCACACTTGGGCATCAGCATCAAAGAGAGCGAAGAGACTGAAGCAGGCTGGTGTGATGCCTGGAATGAGAAAGCAGAGTTCAGGAACCACGTCATCTATTGCGATCACCTCATAGATCCCCAGACCACTGGCTTCCTCCACTGCCCGCAGGGATGGTGCAGGCGGGCACCTAAACACAGAACTACATTTCCCAGCATGCCTTGCAACTACTGTGAGTTCATTGGCCTGGTTCCTGGCCAATAGGACGTAGGCCAATAGCATGTGGGCCAATAGGACACGCACATTTCTCTTTCTTTGTTTTTGTTTTTTTGGTACAGGGATCCAACGCACAACCTTGCAATTGCCAAGCAGGCACTGTACCATTGAACTATATCCCTGACCCTGGACGGGCACATTTCTGAGCCTGGAAATTAACCTCCTGTTACCTTCCCTTTTATGTCAAGTGGCAAACCTGTAAGACCAAGGTGACCCATTCAAACTGCACTGATTAGAGCTAAACGTGATTGTCTTAAGCCAAGAAGATTTAAGGGCTGCTTATTACAGCAGCAAAACATATCCTGCAACTCACAGTATTCTAAAAGCTGCTAGCACTTTTTGTTAAATACGTGAAAGTCACCATTACTACTTTTTCCACGTTCTCCCTCTCTTTAGGATCCATCCACCTCTCCTATGGTTTGGATCTTTTAAAAAAACCAAAAAAGTGAAAAGTGAGTATTTTACAGGACAGGGGCTATAGCACAGCAGTACAGTACCTGCCCAGGAAGCACAAGGTCCTAAGTTCAATTCCTGGTCCAAAAATAAAAAAATAAAAATTGTGATACACAATGGTTATGTGATTTGGCGGGGACTGGTTTATGGAGGCAGCATATTGAAATCACATATTTCAGATCTTAAATGCCTCTTAGTGGCATTTGTGTTAAAGGCTTCAAGGTGACTAAATTACCCAGATTAGCCTTGAACTTGTAATCTTCCTGCTCTAGCCTTCCTAGTAGCTGGGACTGCCTGTGTACCACCATGCCTGACTTTAGGTGAAAATATTAAACGTATATTATTAATTATTTTTCAGAAGCTTCCTACAGGATGATCTATTAACTTTGACTAAAGTCCCTTTTGCTGACTGCATTGTATTCCAGCATTTGAGCATATTTCAGCTTACTTGCCTAAAGGATTCATGATGGTCTCTCATTTTTCCCCTTTATGAAATGAGGCCCCCAGTTTGGTACAGTGACCTACACCTGTAATCACAGCACTCCGGGAGGCTGCAGTAGGGCGATCGCAAGTTTGAAAGCTTCGTAGGCAACTTAGTTAGTGAGACTCCGTGTCGTAAAAACTACACAAGAGCTCGGGCTGTAGCTCACTGTGATGGCCTCGCATCCAATGCTCAGGGCACGAAAAAGGAGGAAGATGCCCTCACAGGCGCCCCCGGAAGGGGTGATGTGTGTGTGAAGGGAAGATCCGCAGGCGCCCCACGTGGCCGAATCATCCTCTAAAGTGACCGCTTTGAACCGTCCGGCCTTCATGAGAAAACAGGACTCAACCTTGGGAGTCTGCTGCCCAGAGCACCAACCAGCCGCTCGGCTCTCTGCCTAATCGGGGTTCAGGAAGCCCCGGCTGCAGCAAGGAGGAACCGGACTGGGCTTCTCCTCTTTCTGTTCTGGTTTCAATTCCTGCCCCTCTCGACAGTGGGTCCCGCAGCCGCCCCACAGGTCCTGTGCTTCCTCAAACACAAGGAGCCCTCGGGGCTCTGCGTGAGGTCCCCTAGCTGGGTGGGTGTGGCCAGCCCGCTCAGTCCCCCCTCCCCATGCAGGCCCGCCTGCCCCCAGCTGCCCCAGGACGCCCTGCACTCACCGACTTGCTGCGCCACTCGGAGGCAGACCTCCTCAGCTGTTATTGAGGCCTCGCTGAAGGTGACCCAGGGCTGCCCACCACCAGGGCCAGCCCAGTGCAGAAGGACCCGCAGGCCTCCCGCAGCGGCCAAGGGCTGCAATTCATCCCCGTCGGGCTGGCCGCGCCTCGCCGAGCCTCCCCACTGGCACAGAGGCATCCTGGAAAAAGACAGCCCCGAATGCTGAGGTCTTGCCCCCGGGAAAATCTCGGGGCCCCCTGGCTGTGCCCCCTTCAGCACCTGATTCTTTCCTTGAACCTCAGCTTCCACATTCATTTGACAGCGCCCGGGACTGGTACACATTCTTAACAGGGGTGGTGACCCGGGCCCAGAATATCAGCTCTCTAGGAGGATCCCAAGTAGGAGCCCACCCAGCATTTGGGAGGCTGAGGCAGGAGGATTCCTGTGAGTTTAAGGCCAGGTTGTGCCACAAATTGAGATCAAGGCCAGCCTGAACTGCCAGTGAGACCTTGTCTCAGACAAAAAACAAAAACCCAAATGTAAGCCCAACCAGTATGTAACTCAGCAACTTAGCTAGACCTAATCTAGCCGGTCACAGTGTGCATGCCTGTCATCCCAGCCCTCAGGAGGATGGCCACAGCTGGAGGCCAGCCTGGGCTGCACAGCGAGACCCTGGCCCAAAAAACAAAACTGCAGCTAAGTGCCCCAGCCCTGGTTTCAATTCCCAATACCACACATCAAGCAACCAGTAAGAAAAGAAAAGAAATCCAACCCGAACCACCCTCCCTGCATGAGCTAGGCAGGCAGGTGGGGCCAAACAGACCTGGCGGTACGTTCCAAAGCTTCCTGTGTCCAGTCACGAAGTTCACTTAGTCACTCTGAGCCTCAGTTTCCCCATTTGGAAAATGGAGGTGCTGGGAATGTCACCATCCGAAGCTGACCGTGAGGTTTCTGCGCGGGGCTGCATCTTACACCTTCCACACAGACCTTGAAAACAGGTGTAAGAACTCACACACACGGCCCCAAGGAGAAAGGAGCCACCCGAGGGCTGGGTGTGGTTCAGTGGTCAGCGACCACCCAGCTCAAGCAAGGCCCTAAGTCCGCACTCCAGTGCTGCCAGTGGTAAACAAAGTGACCAGGGATGCTCCCAGCATCACGCCCAGCCCCTCACTCTGTTTGCCCACCAGTCCCATCCTCCACATCTGTACCAGGACTGCTTCTCTGGAGCCTGGGGAGTTTGTGTGCCAGCTCAGTCCCGGGCCCAGCTCGCCAGGGTCCACAGCAGGGGCAGTCAGTGACTGAAAGGACCTTACTGAGACAAAAGCGAGGCGGGGGGTGGGGGATGAGGCGGCCACACTGCCTGATCTCTCGGGCTGCTCCCCAAAGGAAGGGTTCAGTGAGATGAGGCAGAAGGGCAGCTGTGGAGGTGCACGCCTGTCATTCCTGCATTCAGGAGGCTGAGGCAGGAGGATCGCAGCCAATTCACAGCCAGCCTGAACTGCACAGAGAGGCCCTGTTTCAAAAGACAGAAGGACAGAAAGAAAGCAAAAACAGGTGCTTAGCCCAGGGCCTGACACCGCATAAGCGTCCAGAAACTCTGGCTATTACAATCCGCTGAGTTTGGCATGATATCCCGGCGGTGCAGCTTTGGGGGAGCCCACTTCCTCCTTCCCCGTCTCTACTGGACCTAGGTCCGGCTTTGAAGATGGAATCGAAGTGAGGTCTGCATCTTGGAAAGCTCTAACCTTTTACGCCCCAAAACCCACAGACAGGGCTGGCCCGGCAGTCACCGTGCAGTGCACCCGCCAGACATCCGTCCAGCCTAGAGGCAGCGCCTCCTCCCACCCACCGCGTGCCAACCACATCCAGTGCTTTCCTGAAGACCGGCCGAGCGCATCCTTCCTCTCTTCATAACTTCCCGAGCGTACCCCTTCGCTGTTCCCTTCCAAACTCACCCTTCCCGGGAGACACAGGCTCGAACTTGCGACCCTGCCCCACCGCCCCCGAGAGCAGCTGCCTGTTAGCCGCTGACGATTCTCCACTTCTCATTGGCCGCCTGAAACGCGCATGCCCGCTGCTCGCAGGCGCGCCCCCCTTCAGGCGCAACCACTGGGTGTACGCGGGAACGCGCCTCTCCGATTGGGCCTATGCCTCACTCGTGGCTTAGCGGTGATTGGTTAGATGGGAGCCCGGATACGCACAGTACGTGTGATTGGTTATTGCGGGAGTGGGCGGAGATGCGGAAGCGGGTGCCCGCAGAAGCAGGCGGAGCGGCGGGGGCGGCCTGCTGGCTTACGCGATCAAACTCTGGGCCCGCCTCGAAGTTCAAGGCTGCTGCCGGCCGCTCTCTAAACCTCCAACCCCTGGCCGTGTGGCTCGCATTCCTTCCTTTCCTATCTGTCTGCCTGGGCGCTCACCTCGCGGGTTGGGCCCTTTTTTCCGGGATGTGTGTGTGGTCCGTCTGCCTCAGTGCCACTGCAGCCCAGTCCTCTGATGCCCCCTGACCGGCACTTAGGAGGCTGAGGCAGGAGGATTGCTGCGAGTTCGAGGCCAGCCTGAACTGCATAGTAAGACCCTGTCTCAAAAAGACCAAAAAGAAACAACAAAACAAAACTCTGCTTGTCAAAGTCGGTTTTCGGGACCCTTTTCCCAAATAGACCTTAGCTTCGGCCTTGGTCCTGTCTTTGATTTACCCAGTCCCGTTGTAGCCTAAAATCCTAAATGATCGGTTCCCTGTCTGTCCATCGTCTCTACCCTCACCTCTGATGGGAAAATTCCAAGTCTGCTTCTAGCCAGAGTGCCCCTGGCCAGAATCCCAGGCAAAAACCTTGGAAGCCCGAGGCAGGAAGACTGCCGCAAATCTGAGACCAGCCTGAACTACCTAGGGAGACCCTGTCTCAAGAAACGGACAAAAAACAAGTTCAAGGTGAGCCTTGCAAAGCTTACGATGACTGTATCAAAAAAGGGCTATACATGTAGTTCAACAGTAAGAGTACTTGGTTCAAATCACCAGCAGCGACAATTTGAAAACATTTTGTTTTGAAACAACAGGCCGAGTTTTCAGGCCAAGAAAATATAAACCTGTCTACCTGTCTGCCACTCAGCTTTTCATGTTGAGTCAGCACCCCCCCCCCCCTTTGCTCACTGTTTGGCTCCCAGCCTGATCACTGCCTCCCCATTTCACTGGAAGCTCCTCTGGGCATTGGTCTGAACGCCTGATGTCTGGTCTGTGATGATGGTGGCACCACAGGGGCCTGAAGGGGGTGCTCCTGGTGTGTCCCCTCTGTCCGGTGAGGCCAGCCTGGAGACGGAATGGACGGGAGCCAGGATGCTGCTGTTTTAGGACTGTGGAAAGGTCTGGTCCTGCCCTTCCTGCCCAGCTCCCTATCTCTGCCAGCAGCAGTCCAGGGGCAGGAAGCTGAGGTGGCCAGATTCCTCAACAGTGGGGCCCCGCGTGAATTCTGGAGGTGGGCCATGAGTGCTCAGGGGAGCTGGGATCTGGCATTCAGCATGAAAGGAAGTGGCGGGGAATGTCCGATGAGGTGATTTCTAATAACAATGATGGTGATTATCCCCTGGACAATAATAAACAGTTCCTATGTTCCCAGCCAAGAGGCAGGGCTCAGGGCTGGGTAGTTAGCAGCTGCTTCAGGTTCTTTTTCTTTTTCCTTGGCTTCTGTTTGTTTGTCTGTTTGCCACAAGGTCTCACTATGTGGCTCAGGCTGGCCTGGAACTTGCTGTCACCCTCCTGCTTCAGCCTCCCACGTGCTGAGATTGCAGGCCAGTGCCACCACACCAGGTGATCAGATTCTTTCAAACAGACATTGCCAGTTGGCATGGAGCAGAGATCCATGACATCCCTAGCAAGGCTCCTGTTGTGTCCCCGAGGCTTTTGTCCTTCTGGGCGTCTTAGAGCTGCTGGCACCCAGCACAGAGGACCCAGAGTTGTGAGTGGCCAGGTTTGCCCGGACCGGAGGGGCTTCCCCAGTGAGGGACTTTCCATGTGCAGATGCAGACAGTCCTGGCCAGGCAGGGCCAGTGGCTGGCCACTTTCCAGGAACATGAGAGTCGGGGGTTCCCCTGAGCTGCCCCCCACACTGGGTGTGGCCTCCTCTAGCTCCCGTGGAGCCTGGGAAAAGCCACAATGGGCCAATTAAGGACTAAGACGCCACTCCTTTGTGTCACTTTGAATGGCAGAGTTCCAAAAACAGGGAGCCCCCCCCCCCAGGGAGGTGTCCTTAGGGGGAGCAGCTGGGACTCTCCAGGGAGGTCCTGTGCCCTGCTTACCACTCTGGGAAAATTACATCAGCAACCACAGGGTAGAAACAGTGATAAAGATAACCACTAACGTGGGTGCTAAGGCACGAGTTCAAATCCCAGCTCTGCCCCGAGAGACCCCAGGTCGCCCTGAAGCTTGCTATATCTGCCTTCCCCCACCAAGCAGGGCTGTTCAGAGTCCCAAAGCGGAGGGTCGTGGCTTCAGAGGAGTTAACAAACACACAGAGTGCAGAATGAACAATAAACTCTTTTTTTCTTGTTTCTTTTTAACTTTTATCGGTACTGGGGATCGAACTCATGACCGCCTGCTTGCAAGGCAGGGGCTTATGCCGCTGAGCTAAATCCTCAGCCCCAATGAACAATAAACTCAATTTTTAAAACAAGGAAACAGAAGCCAGGTATGGTGGTACATGCCTGGGATGCAGGAGAACTGAAAGTTTGAACCCAGGCTAGGTGAGTGAACTTCTTTTTGTTTTGGTACCAGGGATTGAACTCAAGACCTCAAGCTTACCAGGAAAATGTTTGAGCTGCTGAGCTAAATCCCAGTTGACTTAACTTCCTTTTGGAGGGAGACCTGTCTCTACAGACAAGAAGGAAAGAGGGAGAGAGAAAGGAAGGAAGGAAGAGGAAGACAGAGACAGAGGCAGGCTGAGACGGCTGAGATGTAAATCACGGTGAAAGCCATGGATTTAATCCCAGTACCACAAAAATCAGACACGGCTGGGCATGACGGCACACGTCTGTAATCTCAGCACTCGGGCGGCTGAAGCAGATGCATCACTGCTAGTGTGAGACCAGGGTGCCTGCATAACTCTGCTGATTTAACATTTCTCGCTCTAGCCCTTTCCACTCACACATGGTGTTTTACAGAATGTTTTGTTTTGAGACAGTGACTTGCTATGCAGTTTCGGCTGACCTGGAACTCACAGAGATCCTCTTGCCTCAGCCTCCCAAGTGCTAGGATTCACTGGCATGTGCCCTTCCCCCACTGGGTGTGATGGCAGTGAACTCAAAGGCAGCCTGAATCACACAGTGAGACGGTCTCAAAAAACAAAAACAAAAAACTATCTTTACTTTTCAGACGGGGGATTGAACCCACCGGTGCGCTTATCACCCAGTTACACTCTCAATCCTTCTGGTTTTGAAACAAGGACTCAGTCATTTGCCCAAGCCGTCCTGCAACTGGGAATCCTCCTGTCTCCTCCTGTTTATGAGCTCAGCAGCTCAAACATTTTCCTGGTAATCGTGAGCCGAGATTTCAGGCATGTGCCGAGATGCCAGATAAGACCACCTCTGTGGCTGGAAGGGGCTAAAGAGGGAAGCACCAGGATGTCCAGGGGAAGATGGGAGGAAATAAATCCAAACCAACACCAAACGGCCCCTCCACCGGCCATTGTCTGTGGTGACAGCCGGGGACCTCACCCGGTTTGCAGCTCGCTGCTGCCCCCTGGTGGTGCTGGCCTGAACACCCAACAGTGCAGCGGCCCTGGCCTCCATCGTTGCCATGGAAACCGTTTCTTGCCAGTGTTCTGCCGGCCTGGTCCCTTCCCTGTGCTGGACACTACAGGAACAAAGAACACTTACAGGACGGAGGAAGTGAGAACGGGCGGTTCAGGCGAGGCAGGTGAGACAAGGCGCCTGGCACTGAGCTGCGGTCCAGGGGTGCAGCTCCTGGGCGGGGTATTCCGGCCGGGGTGGGTGTTGGGGCCTGCTGTCCTGCGGTATTTGGCAGCGTGGGCTTATCTGCAGTGCTGGGGATGGAACCCCGGGCCTCTGGCATCCTTGGCAAGGGTCCTACCACACAGCCACAACTCCCAGAGCTGGTCTTCAGACATACCCCAGGCTGGTCTCATGTTTATGGAGCCTCCTCCTGCCTCAGTCTCCAGAGTGGAGGGGCTTACAGGGCTGAGTCACACACACCAGGCTCACCCTGGCAGTTTCAAAGCACATTGTTCACAAGCAGCTGCAGGTTCCCCAGGCCAGGGTGATTTTTAGGACCAGAGGTGATGGTGGCACCCAGAGAGTGACAGGTGGTGACAGGGAACCCCAAAAACATAGGGCTTGTTTGGTAGAACAGTACTGGGTACTGAGCCCAGCACCTTCCTGCTGTGCTACGTTCCTGACTGCTTTCTCATTATTTGAGACTGTCTTGCTAAGTTGCTTAGACTGGACTCAAACCGCCAATCCTCCTGCCTCAGCCTCCCAGGTGCTGGGTCGGCAGGCATGCACCAAGCCCGGGAGGAGCCAGGATTTTTTTTTTTTTTTGGATGCAATGCGTCTCCAAGAACAGGTGCAAGGCAAGTCTGTGCTGTCCCTGTCCCCTCCGCTTCACTCAGTCCCCCTGTGGCCTCTGAGAGAGCATCAGAAATCTTTTATTGGAGGATCGTGGCTGTTTCCCAAACAGAAGCCTGGACAGCAAGACCTTGGGCGACCGGTGCCAGCGGGGACCCTCCCCCACCCAGGGGAGCGGGCTGCCTACCTCGGGCCCTCCCCGGACCCCCAGGCCTTTGGCATAATGCTGACGGGGGCTGCAGGCAGTGAACCCCTGCACTCGACTCGACTCGACTCGAAGCGGAGACAGGAGGAGCGCGGGGGCAGGGAGCAGGACAGAGGGAGGCGGTGGCCCGGCTGGGGACAGCAGCGAAGTGGAGAAAGCCAGGTCGGGGAGACGGCGTCTATTTCGTGATTCTAGACAGGGGCACGCGGAGGCCTGCAGGCCGGTGGGCAGAGGCTGGGCTGGTCAGGCGCTGCCATCCTTCTCGTCGCCCGGCTTGGTGACGGTGTCCAGCAATGGGTCCCTGGGGCCCGCCTCCTCCCCC